TTGTTAGACATTAAGATAACAATATTTACAATATTATTTGATTGTATCACTACTTAAATAAATTATTTTTATTTTATTTAAAAATAGTATATAATTTAACTATAATATTATACATTAAAATTTTGTATCATTTAAATAACTAGAAGTAGTAAACTCGTAAACAATTGGGGATAAAACTGAACTAATGGTCGCTATACTTGTGGGTCATTATTAAAGGAAAGGCATATAGACTACATAGAGACTCATTTTAGTTCAACAAACATAAGTGTTATACTAATAAAAATAATGACACAGTCTATCACTTTTAGTATCGTATATTACAATATACAGTATATTACATAAATTTGTATATACTGTAAACTATTAATATATTTATATAAAATTTTAATTACATTGAAAAATATAGTTTATGTATAAAAATAGAGTATTTAAATTTATAATTTAAATTTAAAACTAAGTTATAATATTTTCAAGGTATATTATAAATTATAGATAATATATCTAATCTATAATAAATAATAAAATTAGCACCTAATGGGCGGGTTTAAGGGGGCTAAGGGAGGTTTAAAGTTTAAGATATTAATATATTTAAAATATAAAGTGCTATTTTTACTAGTAATACTAGTAATCAAAAAAAAATATTATTTTAGTTTGTATTATTATTTTGTTTATATTCATGTTTTTAAATCAATTTAATTTTATATATAGAATAATTTCATTAAACCGTTGATTATATTAACTGTTTTGTTAGTATTCATATCTTATACTATATTAATAATAATCTTATAATACGAAACATACTTACAGTATATACAGTGCGTTCCATTTATTTATATTTTATTGAATTTAATATTTTCTCATTGAATTAACATTCAAATAGTTTTTCAGTGAAATATAAATAAATAAAATAATTTTTTAGATTATGAGAGTATTATATTAACAACTGTAACATATAGTCTTTTTAAGGGTCATTTTATCCTTAAAATGACATCAAATGTCAGGCTATTCATCATATTACAGTGCAATTTTAATTATTATAAAATTTTAATGTATAAATTATAAAAAAAATTAACATTGTTTCTATGGCTGTTTTAATTTCTATACAATTGAATCGCTGTTTTTCTTTACGCGCTATAGTAAACTCATCTTAAAATAGTTGGTATCGTTATAATTGTTGACAATTGTATTTTATATCCTATAATTTTCATTGATTTATGTTAATTCATTAAAATGTTATTTGACTTTAACTGGTGTTTCTAAGCAAATGGAACGCCCTGTATATACATTTGAGTCACATTTTATTTATACAATTTACAATTTATATTATTTATTAGTTAATATAAAATTTAAAAGCAATTTGTAAATTATTAAAAAGACAATTCAAACATTAAAATATTCACCAGAATATGGACCAACTCTAATAAAAATTAAACCATTATTTTTTACACATTTATTATACATTATCAAAAGCACAGGATTGTTATGTGGTGTTAAATATAAAAATACATAATTATAATATATATATATATTACACATGAATGTTAGTGTACAGAAAAATAGATAAACTATTTATATATTATTTTATATATTTTTAAATATTATAATTTTTTATAAAAAATAAAATTATCTATTTAATGTTATTATTTTTTAAATTAATACTTTTGATTAAAAGCATTATTATCATTAAAAGCAAATTCAAATAAACAACATTTTAAATGAATAAATGAAACTAAACTATAACTTCAAATAATTTTTCAAAACGTATATTCTATTAAAACGAGTTATAAAATATGGTATATATAGTATGTTATATGGATAATAATTTTTATTTATTTTTTGCAATGTATAGTTTTATGATGTGCAAAATTTTTATCCATAATTTATATATGAAAATAATAATATAATAAAAAATGATTAGCATTTAATAATTACTAGTTAATAAAAACAAACTTTAATTTTTAAATAACGTAGAATTATGTAATTGATTAGATTAATAAAAGTATTTTAATTGCTTAATGTTTTAAATATTTTCATAACTTAAAAATAATTTTATAATATGATAGATAGAAAATTAGCAATTGATTACACTTTGTTGAAAAGTATCAGTTATTAACATAATATTTATAATAAATTTTATTTATTATATTATCTTTTGTTAGATTAAATAAATTGATAAAATCAAAATGTTTTTTGTATTTTTGCAAAAAGTACTTAGTTTTTAAAAAATTATATTTTGATAAGAATTCCTATCTAATAATTATATAAAAATAGTCACATAATTACAGTATATTGTTATTGATATGATTCACAATAAAAACTGCTTTATTTATTTTATAGACTAATATTTTGATGTACTATAGTTTATGTGCCTCGAAGTAGCAAACTGTATACCACAAACACACATTATTATTAAAGTGTTATCCAGTTAGGTCGTCCACATTTTTTAGTACCGAATTTATATTAAAACTTAATATTTTATTGAATCAATGTTCATTTAATCTTCAAACTGTAAAGTTACTTAAGTTATATACAGTATATTAAAATATTTAGTTTATTAAAATTTTGACAGTTATATTTAGTAAATTTTTAAAATTATTTTTAATTATTTATATATAATTTTATTTCTAACTTGTAAGTTTATTTTAGCAAACAATATTTTATTATAATTTATAAATCTTATAAATAATTTTTATGTTTATTTATTTGAATATCCCTTATATTTGTGGACGTCTTATATCTATAACACCAAACAAAATTTTTATCAAAAATACAGTATTAAAGCTTTAAATATATATATAATTTTAGTATTACTAGACTTAGAATTAGTAGAATAAAAGTTTTAGAATAAATAAAGTAAGATTTTGTTTGAGTAAATAGAATTTAGATATAAAAACTAAATATTATTTTTTAAAAATAATAATATAAACAATTACTATATATTCTTTATATAAATTTATATCAAGCTATCAAATATTGTATTATTGTTTGCAATGCTTTAAGAGTTTTAATTATAATATGAATATAACTTTATTAATTTCTTTTTATAATTTTGCTATTGTAAATAATTGTAAAAATTAATATTTTATATTTGTAAAGTACAGTATATAGTTTTTTTTATTCTAACAAAATTGTTTACGAAAATTGGTATTAAAATAAATGTGAGACGATTACTAATATATGCGATAAAACTAAATTTGTTGATCCATTAAATATATACAACAATGTTTGCTTGTGTTTGTAATTATGGTTTGCTTTAAAACTATATAACTATTTCTTTGTTTTGTGTTTAGCATTTCATAAATAATTTTCCAAATATTTTAATAAAATTTTCATTTATTCCAAATAAATGTTTTATTTGTTTCAAAGATTTATATTACAGTTATAGTTGAAAATTTCCTTAAACTAAGAATTCAGTTTTAATGAGACTGTAAAATATTGATATTATTTATATATTATATAATTTGATTATACATGTATTAAATGCTGAGAATTGCAATTTTATTAAATAATACATAAATAATACTTTACTATTTAATGTTTATTTTCATTACAAGTGCATTACATATCTTTTAATCAAATTTTGAAATATGCTTGATACTAAACAAATTTGTTGTATTTAATTAAGTTTAATAAAATTAAAATATACATTACTATAGTTTAAATCAATTTATGCTAAATCAAATAAATTTTATTCTAAATGACAATATTATATTCAAACAATACATAAACTTTGAAAACAAATTTACATAATGTAAATATCATATCATTGAATTCAATAAATTTTCCATTTAATTAATAGTTGTATGAAAAATTCATAAACTATTTTATAAATATATTTGAATTATTTGATATTTTTAAACATTATTTAGAAATTATTGATTATTTTAAACAAAAACATTGTTATTAACAAATACATTATTATAAAATGAATGCTTTTATATTTATTGTATATTTTTAGTCATTTAAAAAATTGTTTACAAATTTAGATTTAAAATATATTAATAATTTTTAAAAAATCACATAAAATAAAACTATATTAACGAACAGTTTTTATTAAAATAATTAAACATTGTATTAATATAAATACAATAAATTAAAAATACTATGTTTTGATTACCACCAATTTATAGTTTATTAATACTATATTTTTAGAGAGTATAAATAATCGAATATATATAATATATATATATATATATATATATATATATATATATATATCTGTGTGTGTGATGTAATTATGTATACGTATAGAATTTACTGTATAACATGACATTATATAGTATAAAAACATAGTATAGCTGATATGTAATGAGATATCAATATAAGAAAATATGTTTTTTTTGCATATTTATCTACTGATATCAGTATAATGATCAGTTAGTTTTGATTGATTATACAATATTTTCAATATGATATAAATCATGTGTTTCATTAACAAACTTAAAAATTAAGTTAAATATACAATATTTAATATAAGATAGTAAATTGTAATATACAATATTGTACAAAACATACGCATAATATATGTTATATGATATATAAGTGAATGAGAAAATAAAACAAATCCTATCTATTATATTATAATCCGATTTTTACAATCTATTGAACACTAAATTCTTTATGCGCTGATTCCCAAGTTTTAAAATATAAACTCAATTATGTATATTATGTACAGTATTACCGTATATTGTATTAAATTATAAAGATATGATATGATATTGATGTTTGTCATATATACAGTAATACATATATATCTAGTTAGCAAAGTTATCTTTATGTAAAAAATAAATTTTTGTGAATTGTTTTATTAAATTATACATAATTTAAGTGTATAAGCAGTGGCCTTGGGTTTAGTACCACTTGGTTTGATTCGGCAATAATTTTAAGCAGTTTTTTGTATTGAAGATGAAAATTGAGTAAAACAAGTGCAATGTTGTGTTGCAAATGATTAATGAGTGTTGTGTTGTGAATATATAGGAACTGATAGTATGATTGCTTACCGTCTTTGTCGTAATGACTCCAGACTTCCATAAACTGAGTGGACGTCAAGTTCTTGAGCTGACGAGTATTCTTGTCGCGGAACTGACGCATGAAATTCTGACTGACAGATGATTTGACTCCCGTTTCTGCCATTCCTTTATCTAACTAACCCTTTTAGTACTTACTTTTTTTTGACAAAAACAGTTAAAACTGTATTAAAGTTTGAAGTATTGATAAATTCAACTTTTGTTTATTGTATGATATGTTATACAATGAGTAAAAGTATAGCTTAAAGAGTTTATTCTTGTTTTTACACAATCAAAACAATTGTTTTCTTTTAGAGAAAGAATTGAATATATCTATTGTTTATATCAATTGATGGGAAATGGGTTTAATAATAAAGCAAAAACAGTAGTTTGTGAGACACCTGTGCTCTCTTATAGCAAAACACTATTGAACGATAGTCACTGACAATAAGTTTAACAAGACTTTAGTTGGTGGCACCCGATGTTTGTGTCTTTCATACGATGAAGTGGTATACATGAGCAGCGCATGCGATCGATCAGTTGCACCAAAACTTATCGATCGTTTGTTTAGATATTCTCCACTAAAACTAAACTAAAAACAGTATAAAAATCTTATCCATTAAATGGTTTTATACTTATTCAGTGAAAAGAGAGAGAGAAAGAGAAAAAAATACATTTTTATCTTTTAAAAAATTTTATTCTATATTATTCTTAAAGATTTTGTTCTTTAAAACACAAAAATTTATGACTTTCTTTATTTGAATGCCTTTTGTATACTTTTTTTGGTAGAATATATGAGTGAGACATACAATATGATCAAACACCTGACAAATCGAAAGGAATTTCTGTTTTAACGGCAACTATAGATAGAGCACTAGTATTATATTATAAAGGCTTATACACAATGATAACTGTTTTCATGTTTATGTCATTTAGCATGAGTTACACAACATATATGATGAATGAATCAAATATTTTCCCTCAATATAAAAGATGAATGAAATCATTTTCTTTATATATATATATATACATATTATATATATACAGTATATACACTTATACTATAAAAACTTATTGTGTTTTATCATATTTATTCTAACAATCATTTTAAACAACAATAAGATACACTCTTTTATGTATTACCAATACTATTACAGTATATTTAGAATATATAACTAAAGACATAATTTTATTGGTTAAAAATTCATTACTAATGATATGTAAATCAATATATTATTATTAAGTAGAAGTGAACTAAATAACTTTACTTAAAAAACTAATAATAATCTTAATATTTATTATTATTATCACTGCAATACATTGTTATTTTTAAAGTGATATCAAGTTATAGTGTTTATTAATGCAATATATTATTCAATTTTATTAAATTATAAAATAATTGCTATACGTTTCTTTAAATCTTTAATCTTTACGCAATCTTTAAATTGAAAATTATAATAAATGAAAATAAAATAGATTTTTAAAACTATATATATATAGTAAATCAAACATTTAGTAAAAATATTAAATTAGTGTATACTAAATTTTAAAATTAATAATAGTATAATAATATTAAACTTTAAAATATTTTGAGACAAATATTCCATAACTTATCTTAAAGTATTGTATATGTATATGATTTAAGTTAAATAAAATCAAAAATACCTATCAATGAATAGACAAATATTGGAAAAATATACTTTATTTAGTGTTAGTTATATAATAGTTTTTTTTTGCATTTTTTAATTTAAAAAATGTATTTATTAAAACTATAATTAAATTTATCTCAATGTTTAAAATTAAAAGATAGGACTTTTTTTTAATAAATTCTCCGGAATAAACTTCTATAGAAATTTTAGTTTATTATTATAATATTTAATATATACTATAAAATAATTTTAATATTATTGTCAATTAATAGATTGTGAATACATTAAATAATTTATAATATTATTTATAATTAAAATGTATTATAAAACTATAAATATTGAAAAAACAAAATAAATATAAAATAGTATGTCATGTACTGTATAGACAATGATTTATTTTGAAAACATTCTAAAAATTTATGAAAACTCAAAATATCTTTTTTTAATTTTATATATTTTTCTTAGTTATTTCAAAAATTATACTACTATAATATTAATTAATATTAATAACATTAATGTTAATGTAAATAGCATTAATTATTTATAATATACCACATATTATAATATACTGTACTATAATGTAATACAGGACTGATACTGTAATTTGCACCAAACAATTAAATTAAAATGAATTTAAATATTATTTGTTTAAAAACATATCTTGATCATTTTTTATAAACATAAATAAAATCTATATATCAATCTAAATTTTTAATATTTTATTTTGATAAATTATCTAGTTTATTTAATAAATTTGTTTATATTTAAATAATTTTTTATTAAATTTAAATAATAAATCATTGCAAACATTGCATTATATTTAAATATTTTAAATTTTAACTTAAAATGTATTATTTAAAATTAGGATTAAAATTGAAAACTATTTGTTTAAATCACTAAAAATTTACATAAAGCTAGTAAATATTGTTTATATAAAATAATCTATAAGTTAGTAGTATTTAAATTATACTTGTAATGGCTAACCTAACCTCCGGCTTATATTTCAAAAACATTTATTTTAGTCATTTAATATATTAAATAATAAATAAAATTAATAATTTAGTTAATACTATATTAATTTTATACAAAATAAATGATGATTTTTAAAAGTACATTAGTTATACTTACCATAAACTACTTTAGAATATTAATTTAATTTTATGCATATATTTAACAATACGTTACACAAACAACTGGTTTTTACAGAATTTACATTTACTTTAATATAAAAAATATTATAACGTATATTTAAATATTAAAATCATAATACAATACCAGTAATATAATTAATATAATTATAACATCAATAGATCATTTCAACATATTAAAATTACTGCAAATATATTTTTATTTTTAAATAATTGTTTATAAAATTTTAATTATTTTACTACTAGTAAATAAAGACCCAAAAAACTTAAATATAATATATTAGTAAAATAGATAATTTTGATATCTAAGGGAAAATTATTTTTTTGGAGATTATTTATTATTATTATAGGTAGTAAATTTTATAAGTTATTAATTTTAAAACCAAAATTATTTCCATTAATGCGGTTAAAATTAATAATATTGTATAACTATAAATTATAGTCTATACCATAGACTATGATATAATGTTAAGTACATCAGTTATAATAATACAGTATATAAAATATGACATAAAATAATATGACATAAAATAATATGACATAAAATAATATGACATTATTCTTTAATTATGAAAAGCGATCTATTGATGAAAACTTACTGTACGTTAAGTTACATAATAATGTATTATTAATGCTGTGTAGATATAGTAAATATTCAATATAGTATTTATAAAGTTATATTAACTTTCTTGTAGGTTATAAACTCAAATATATTAAAAACATATCAATTGTAATTTTTTAATTTATCCCCTCTCTAAATCTGATAATTAGTGTTGGAAAAAAGAGTAATTTATAAAATAATAGAGAAATTTCTAGAAAGTTTCTAAAAGAAATTTCTATTTATGGGAATTTATGGTTAATTTTGTTTTGTCGATATTTGTTATCTTTAACATTGTTTTTATAAGTAATATTTAAATATTAGTATTAGTATTTTAATTATTAATTAAAGTAAAAAATTTATTTATTTAATTATATTAAACTATGATATAATAAAATGGTGAATAAAATTTTACAAAACTGATTATTATTAAATAATTATAATTATTTATATAGGTATCCCATTTGTATAATATAGTATTATACAGTAATCTACATTATATAGTATAATATTATATGTATAGTAGTGTCTCATTAATATATTTATAGTTTTACTATATCTATAGATATGGGGATCCCATAGTATAACAAAAAAGTTAAATTTCTATAGAAATTTATTCCTGAGACTTTCTAGAAACTTTCTCAGTGAAATTTATTAGAAACTTTCTATTTGCCCATCTCTACTGATAATTAAAATGTTTGTGTATTTGTAAGGACAGTATTTGAAAAAATCAATGATTAACATCATTAGTAAATGTTAGCATTATATGTAATAATATTAAGTGCTAATTAATTAAAATAACAAATCAATAATCAATATATTATAGTTATCACATGTTTTTACAATTTAATAAAATGATATATTTCAGATGCTTTTTATATTAATAATAAATTGATGACATTATTGTATAGTAGAATATTTAATCAAATAGATAGATAACTATTAATCATGAATATATAGTAGTTTAATATTGATATAAATAAATATGTATAGAGTTTCTATAAATATAGGATTGTTATAAAATTAAATAAAATTTGTACAAAAATTTTGATGAATACACATTTTACTTTCTGTGACTTATTCTAATATAATTTATAATATAATTTTTATTATTAATATATTATATAAACAATATATATCACAAATGATAAATAAAAAATATGGAAAAATAATTATTTACTTGTTTAATATTATTGTTAAAAATTTGATAGTTTTGTTTATTTGTTAACCGTAAGTACTGTACAATTTTTAAGTAAGTTATAATAATATATTATTTATTTACATAATTTAGTTATAAGACACAACTAACACACAAATTAACTTTTTAATTTGACGTTGAATATTCAATACAAATATATATTATATATTGAAATATTATATAAAAATGTTAAATATAAAATTATTAGTATACTAGACAATATTCTAAACAAACAAAAAATAAAAGTGTAGAATTTCATAAATTTGATTTAAAAAATACTGGACACTAATTTTTTATTATAAATTTAGAATTAATTTTATAAAATAGTGTATTGTCCAGGAAAAAATAAATAAATATTTATAGATTAATATATTATATATATATATAGGATTTTTAAACGTCCAGTATTTTCCTCAACAATACAAATTGAGAAATTTGTAAAAATTGTTGTAAATTTATAATAAAAAATTACTGTCAAATATTTTTTTAATTAAATTTATGAAATTCTACATTTTTATTTTTTAATATTGTCTAATAAAATTACTGACTATTTAAAACCTTTTAATAGGCCTATAAAATGTTTTCTAATTTTTGGTTACAATCAGAATTTATTAAAACTTATATTTATATAATTATCGATTTTTGAATTGTTAGCTATACTGTACATTATGTGTAGAATTTGTAAATAAAATTTTTATACTATTTTTTATATGTGTTTCACTAATCTCTTAAGTTTCCTCTATCCGGTTGTCTCGGAAGTTGACACCAATCATGATTGACCTATTGGTATAGTATAGTCCATATATTGGTAGTACATTATACTGTTTTATTTTACACTACATTTTATTTACATTATTGCACTACTATTTCAATAATCATTTACAATTATTACTGTTTTTATTATTGTCGTATATTACGGTTATTTAAATGATTTTTGATTTATTTAGATAAAGTAATTACTTGTAAATTATAAATACTATAATTTTTTAAAGAAAAAAACTTTAAAATTTATTCACATCATTAACTCAGTCAGAAATAAACCTATTGCTAAAAAATCAAATTGAATGAAGTGATTGATATTAAGTACCGGTATTTATTTGGTGTCCGATTTAATAAAAACAGTTAGATTGGTATCTAATGTCAAGTATTGCATACTATTGTACATTAAAGCAGTGTATAATCGATTAGTACTTCAATTTGGTGTTACTGTAATTGAGAACCAACTCTACATTTGATACTCTAAATAAAAATCAATATTCCATAAGATATATATCATATATATATATATATATATATAATATAATTATAATTTTTGAAATAAATTCATTATTTTTTGGACATTTTCATGCATTTAAATTAGACAACTATTAGTTCATCAAATAAATATAAATATATTTAGCAACTATTTAACAAATATATATTTTTATTGAAGTAAGTTAATCAAAAAATAAATAAATAAATATTTAATAAAAAAATAACGTAAACATTGATGAGATGTTTACTTGAAAACAAAAATAACATTTTCACATATTTTTGGATATTTTTGTTGTTTCTTTACTATTACTTTCGTCATAACATAAGAAAAATCGATTAATCAAAACATATTTATTTGATACATACTATAATATAATAGATTTTAGTTTTATTTGTTTTATAAATTAATAACATACACACTGTTTTAAAAATTTTAACTATAATTATATCACATAAATCAAATATAACAAGTAATGTATATATAAATTTTAATTAGAATATAAAATTTATATTAATATTAATATTTAACGTATTTATTATAAATCTTACAAAATATTTAGTTGTTTTTATAAAAAAAAAGTAAATGAATTATATTATATGTAAATTTATTAATATTTGTTAATTTAGCCAAAATATAATAATAATAATATATTTAATTAAATTCAACTTGTCTTAAAAGTAAAAAATAATAATAGTTAATTAATTTAATGTTTTATAATTAATATTGTTGAATATAAATGAATTTGTAAACTATTAATATACTAAGTAAAAATATATATTGTATACACTGTATTTATTTTAAATTAACAAAAAATAATTTAATATTTTTAATAATTTCTATTATTTAGTTAAAATATCTATTAGTTATATCACAAATTATATCAATTAAATAATATTTAACAGTTTTAAATTAAACTTTTAATTATCAACAAGCCTTAAAAACTTACCAATTATTAGTAATTAATAATTAGATATAAAAATTTAAATAAGAAATTGATTAACAATAAAATTATGAAATTTGACTAATAATAACAAAATATGTCTAATGAATGAATTATTAGTTCAAAGAAAGAGTAAATTAAATTGATTTTTAATTTTAAAAGTTTGCTTTCATTTCACGTATTCATCATATTTACAGTTATCGGTCAAAACGTTGGAATGAATATCAATGAGATTTTTGATGTAAAGCTTGTATTGAAGTTAATGTAAATATGTTAACCTTATTAGTGTATATATAGTCTATTTTTCTATGTATTTGCAAATTTATTTAATATTAAATAAAAAATATAAATTTCAATTGATAATATTCATAAATTATCTTGTGATGTTAATAATTACTATTTTATTTAATAGAAATATTAGTAATGTAATGTAAATTTATACTGTATAATATATTACTATTAAATAAAATGATAATTATTAATATAAATATTAATCTTTACTCTAAATTATTAATATTAGAATAAAATAATAAAAATATATGCCAACAATTTTCATGTAATTCTAATAACAGTAAATATTTCATAAATGATTAATAAGAATATATTTATTTAATGATATATTTGTTAATAATTAATAAAAAAAATTTTGTTACAAAAATAATAGTAATTTGATTTAGGGTTTTAAACCAGAATTATATTTAATAATAAAATATACTATAGTTTTGTGCTAAACTAGAGTAAAGTACCAAGTACAAATATCAAAGAAAATAAAAATTAGCTTAATTTTAAAAAATCATATTTATATTAAATATAAAGTATATTTATTTTTAAGGTTTTCATATAAACATTTATTAAATTAAATCAATTTGTTTGTAAATACAATTACTGCTAATGAATATATTGTTTCAAATATAACAAATAGTTTGTTGGAATCTAAATTATTGCGATCAATAAAACCAATGTTTGTTACAAACCTCTATAATAATTGTCGTTCAAATAATGCCTTAAATTAAGGACTCACTATTAAATTATGTTAGTATGGATATTATTTAATATACCGGTAATATATATATATATATATATATATATACTGTCTTAAAATTTATTTTATATTATTTGTTGATATAATTAATTTGTAAAAAATATAGTCAATATATTTTTATTTAAATCATTAGCTTATTTGATAAATGACTACTAATTTAAGTACTGTATCACCGAATACTATATTATAGTTTAAATATCTATTGACATATTATCCAACTGTAAGATAATTTCTCGATAGACTTAACGAAACACTTAATTACATTCTTCAGTATTTGAAAATTAAATTATAATTTTTTTATTATACTTGTTTTATATAGTATTTATTGAGCATCAAAATAATTAATGTTATTTTATTTATTATAAAATACTAAATTTAAATGACAATGCAATAAATTTATACAATATATACATTTATTTTAAGTATAACTTAGAAAAAAATTAACTGTAATCATAAAGTATACCATAATTGTAACCAAACTGGTAATAGGGCGGTACAGCCAATAGGAAAGATCCATTGGCCGTATATATACCAGTCCTCTATATAGAAAAGAAGACACTTTTTCTGGGCTTCAAAAGCTATGACTAAATGCTTTGTTAGTGTAAACTCTGGGTTATAATAGATGGACATTAAGAGCAAACACAAGTAAAAGATTGACAGCGGATGAACCAATAATAGCAAAATTGAATTCATTATCCGATACCATAGTCTTAAACTAATGGCTGTTAGACAAGCAATGGGAACATAAATCAGAGTTAAGAAAAAAGCAAGAGATATATTGACGAGTGATATACAACACAATAATAATGCAATGTTTAGTAAACTCAAACATTTACGTGAATTGCGGTTCAAATGATTGCATCTCAATATGGGATTCATTATATACATTAAGCAAACACTTAACAACGTGTAATATATTACATCACGTGTCTCATAATTGGTCACTAATTGTGAGTATTTCTCAACAAATATGGGCACCAAAAGTGTTAGTATTCCCAAAGCATGACAAACAAAAGTAAAGGGAATACAATTCCATAGATTACCACTCTTTTCTGTTATCTCTTCCTCTGACTTCAGATACAAATATAAAGCATTCAAAACAAGTGGAACAGCTATGCAGGCAAATGGTATCATATAATAGCCAATTGATATGTACCGTCGGGTTGAGGTCAACAAATAGAAATAATACGATCGATTGAATCGTTCCAATAAATTGTTAAGACTTCGGAATATGCCTTCAATGACTCTTCCCATTTGAAGTAACGATACCTTAAGGTATGAGCTTTTGGTTGCTTCATAACCTTCCAAAGTAATGGCTTGAATTGAAAATCGTTGAAAGAGTCCGTGAGCTCCGGTCGGCAAACCAATGGCTTGAGATATCATCATCGATGCTGTAGTCGTTGCATATTCTTTCCAGAGCTCAAACTCATCATTTTCTATGGGCTGTGACTTTCCATGAAATGTTGGACTAACTGACTCTCTCGTACATAACTCGACTGCAACGTTAAATAGATCTAAATTAGGTAACTGTCCGTTTAATCCTTCAATCTTTATGTCCAAATTGCTGAATATGTGGGAATGAATTTCTAAATTAATGGCTGCTTGAATAGCACCGGATCGAGAGTCTAACATTCCGTGGTTTAAGACAGGAGTGACATCAATGTTATGATAAGCGTTAAGCCATGACTGGATGCCAACCAATTCGTATTCATTAATCAAAAATATTAAGTCTTTGGCCCAATAATTCTCACCTATTATTTAAATAATAATTACAAATCGTAAAATCAAGCGGTTATTAATAAAAATTGTTTAAAAATTTCTAATACGTGAAAAGTATTTGGCCAGAGATATCATTAATGCAATTCCCGGTAATGTTGAGGAATGTTGACTTAGTTTTGTCCGATAAGGAGACGAAAGGACGATGGCTTCAGTACTTGCCGTTCGTTCACTTCTTAGTATTGCATAAATATTTTTGCCTTCAAATCGCTTTATTAAGAGAACAATCAATTAGTTCATCAATAAAATGGTTAATAATTTAATTCATTATAAATACCGTTTTATCACCAAAAGGATAATTGAGTGTAAAATTATGTGAATAGACTTCGAGACCAATTTGCTGGAACTGTTTGATGAGCCAGTTGTAGGGCACGACATCTTGAGGTAATTGTTGTGCCACTTGTTCCAGTTGTTTCAATGTCTCGTCGGTCATCTCTTTATATGTGAACTCTCTCTGAACCAAACCGGGAAGTAATGCATTATCACTGAAATAGGTTCGGTCCGATTGACTCAACAATATAGCGCTAACCACCAAACCCGACAAGTATGACAATATCGATAACTTTGACCAGTGATTGGTCACCAATTTGTACAATATATTAGTCTTGTTATTGCCATCGGATGTGAGTAAACCCATTGTCGACAATATATATGATAACAACAATCAGTGATAATGTTGTCTACACTTAGCTCTCATTCATTCATTCATCCCATTTGTATGTTTGACTATTGACTACACATTGACTACACATTGACTACACCTCTCACTCTACACACTTGCAGTACAATTGAATGAAAACATTTGTTGATAAAATTGATTGAAATAAAGTTATAAACGTCTAAACATTGATATCAATGGGTGTCTCAATGTGTGTGTCAACTGATGGCTATTAATGGCCTAAAAGTGAATCATTCACTCATTGATTAACTGTTTGTGTGTTTTGTTTATTATTGTAATTATGTTTTAGATTTTATTTATATTTATTAAACACTTATTTAAACGACTTATGTATTAAATAACTTAATTTGTATTTAAATGATTTATTTAGTAGTGTTTTAACTGAAAACAACATTGAAATGCAAATTGTGTTGAATTGACGTTAATTTAGTATTTATTGTTAATTAAAGTTTGTTAAGGATTTGTGGACATCGATGTCGACCAGACATAGTGGTAGAGGCGGTCACAACGCCAACCTAATTGAGATCAAATCAAAGGTAAGTGTAATGAATGATTGGTTACCAATGATGACTAAAGTGATGTTTTTTGTGGTCAGTTTGACGCCGAGTTTCGTCGCTTTTCATTAGACAGAAGCGAATTACATAAATTTGATGACTTCTTCAAACTCATTGAACACTTCCATAAACTCTTTTCCGTATCCTTTTGTATCTTCTATTCGGATCCAATTCACGGAGACTTACTTCCAATCAATAATAACGACAACTTTCTAAGAGCCATACTCTCAGCCAAACCATTGCTCAGACTTATTATACAAAGAAAAGGTTTGATATTTTTTCAAATTTATTTTAATTATATTTTTAAATTTACCATCGATTAGATAATTCAATAATTTAATTAATTGTAAATTAGGTGAGAGTTTGGAGCACTTAAATGGGTTGTCGAAAAAGAAAAATTTTTTAGGTTTAAGTAATATTCTTCCTCTGCCTTCCTCATCGTCACCACATAAAAATAAATTATCAATTGGTTTACCCGAAGACTTTCGTCAGGTGTCTTCAATAATAGATGTCGATATTGTTCCTGAAACCTGTCGACGAGTACGACTCGTCAAACACGGATCTGACAAACCGCTCGGTTTTTATATACGCGACGGTACTTCAGTTCGTGTAACACCACACGGCCTCGAAAAGGTGGCCGGAATTTTCATATCACGACTTGTACCGGGAGGTCTGGCTGAAAGTACTGGCCTATTGGCTGTTAATGATGAGGTGCTTGAAGTGAATGGCATTGAAGTATTGGGAAAGTCATTGGATCAGGTCACAGACATGATGGTAGCCAACTCTTCCAATTTAATAATTACAATAAGACCAGCCAATCAACGAAACATTCCCATCTCAACAATGCGCGGCTCTTATTATCGTTCATCACAGTTATCGCAGGATTCAAGTCATAACTCGGCATTGAGTGCATCTGATGATGAAGAAGATGAGGTCAAGGATTTTATCACACCTACTGTTAATAACATTTCCACCACTGCGTCAAGTATTTCAAATGTTAATATAATTACTACTACTTCTGCTACAACAACAACAACTACTACTACTACTACTACTACTACTACTAATACCAATAATAGTATTAATAATATTAATAATACAAATAACAATAATAACAATACTTCAACAAATAATAGTAAAAGTGATTTAATTAATGACAACGATGTGGTCACGCTATGAGTGGTCGCCGCGCTTTACCGTACATCTCAAATCAAATGCTCTTTTATTATCTAAAAAAAGGTTTTATTTCATTGAAATTCTGTTTTTAACCATTAGTTTATATTTATTTGGATTTAAATTATTAATTAATGAATTATTATATTGAGTTTTATATTTACTTTAAATGTATTTTAATTATTATAATTTACCAAAATTTTATATATTCATATCTAAAAAATTATTAAAATACAAAATGAAATATAAATCGTATAAACGAAATAATGCCACGAAATGTATGTAATTGTTAATCCGTCCAAAATATGTTTATTATTAAAGTTCCTCTTTTATACATATATTGTACTATACTTTAAATTATTTAATATAATATAATTTACGATTTTCAACAAATTTATATAATTTACACTTTTAAGCGATTATTATTTTACAATATTTAATATTATGTTTATAATATAAGAGAAAACTAACGCTAGCAGTCGTGGCCGAGTGGTTATGGCGATGGACTCGAAATCCATTGGGGTCTCCCCGCGCAGGTTCGAATCCTGCCGACTGCGATAGAATTTTTTTTAATTTTTTTTTTGTTTTTAATGTATAATAAATGGTTTAAAATATATATTTTTATTAATTAAATTAATAATTACATATATTATTATAAATATTAAACACTATTTGCAAACTTAACAATTTGTTTCTTTACAAAATTGGCTGAATTCATAACAGACAAGACATTAGAGGGAATCAAATTAAATAATTGTTTCATTGAATGAACGGCTGATATCATAGCAATTGATTTAAACTGTCGTTTGCTTTCAAAATCAAATAAACAACTTTCCAGTCGTTTACTACAATCTAATGGATTTTGACCGAACAGACACTCCCCTCTTGAGAGATAACTTTCAATAGTTTGTGTCAACACATATACGTCTCCAATACCCAAATTAAGTCCCTGACCCGCCAATGGGTGGATTCGATGGGCGGCATCACCTACAAGACATCTCAATTAATTATTTATTTTTATATATAAAAGTATATAAACTATAATTTAGTACTAAACCTAATAAAACAATCCTATTATTGTCTTTGGAATCATTAGGAGATCCAACAAAATATGGAAGTGTTGTACTAAGCTTTAGAGGAAATGCAACTCTTGAATCGGTTACCACTGAATTGATTTGTGGCACTGAATAACTGACATTTTCATTACTTATCATTGATTTTGGAAAAATACTATCAATTATTCCATCAAATTTTGAGACAATAGATGAAGAATTTGAGTTTTCTGTCTTAAGACAATCATTCAAATGTTCAACAAATTTGTTTTCATTCATTTGCATCAATTGTTTAACTAAATCTTTAGGTACACTCCAAACAAGTGAACTGTAATCTTGATTAAGAGGTAACAATGCTATAACTGAATCATTAATGGAAACGAATCTTTGAAATGCAATATCATTATTAGGATTTCCAAAACCAGAAGAAACATTAAGTGTGGCCACAATTGCCATCTCTTGCAATTCGTGCTCAAAATTAACTAAATTTGATTTTTGGCGAACTGTTGATTGAAATCCGTCGCAACCGATCAACAATTTTGTGACTAAACTACTTTGCGATTCATTTTTTAAACTTTTTGTGTCCACTTTCACAGAATTTCCATCACTTTTAATGTCAGTTACAATAGTCTCATAACAAACGCTATCATTAATTTGATTTGTTTGTGATTGAAGAGCTGCTAACATCCTATTATTCTCGACAATAAAGCAAACAACATCATTATCATCATTGTCTTCACCATCAAAATCGTGTATAAAATTGATGGCATTTCTATAATTCTGAGACCAAACGAAAAACTCTTTGACAGGTTTGGCAAACTCTTTAAATTCATCCCAAATACCGATTTTCTTAAAAAATCTTTTTGATGACTTAGTTATGGCTGAAACCCTATTTGAAAACTGATTATCTTTTCTTTCTAAATGATTGTCTGTTTTGATCTGTCTTTCAATTAGAAGTATTTTATGATTCTTAAGATATGAGCTATTCTTAAGGGCCACAAGTGTTGAAAAGCCGGCAATTCCGCCGCCGTTTATTATTATATCATAATTATGGCTATCATTGTCTTTGTTTGATGTATTAGTAGATAAGTGTCTTTTAATTAAACTATAACTGTATCCAAATGTTTGTCGGCTAAGATGTCGAGCCGTCAAATGAGAACCAATAGTAGTAATTAGTGAAGACATGAGTAAATCGTCAGATAATTGCTGTTTATATAACAAAAACATTTAATATTTTAAAATTTATATATTAATAGTCATTTCATTGATAGTTTCAATACAATTCAATGATCAAAACAATTGTATTCATCATTGAATTGTATTGAAACTCAGATTTGAGTATTACTTAAATTATATGAATCTAATTATTAATAAAAATATTTTGTTTATTCCTAACTTAGTCGGGAATCTTAACAAATCAATTGAAGCAAATATTTTAAGTAAAACTATAAACTATTTTGAGAGTGCACTCAACTATCATAACTACAATATTTTTAGATCATTATTAAAGTTATTTCAATGTAAAAACTAAAATGTAAAATAATAGTTAACGTCAAATCAAATTATTAGATAACAATTCATTTTACAGAATTTAATCAAAACATAATTAGTCTTTATTTTACAGCTAATTGTAATAATTTTTTTAAATAAAAATATTTTTAATAATGAAAATTATTTTATACAACTTCATGAAAAAACTTGAATTCATTACATAGAAAATAACGTTCATTTTATTTTCAATAATCATAAACTGTATTATATATTATATACAGCTGTTTATTGCGGATAGACTTCTGGATCTACTCTTCTGTCGGGTCCGGTGTCCGACAAGAATCGGCCACCAAATGATACGACAGACAGAACAGAAATGTCTACATTTAAAAGTAAGAAAAATACACACTTTTCGTTACTTTATATAATTTAAATATAAAATTTAACAATAAATATAATTAAATTCAAAAACTGAATGTAAAGTATTAAAGTAATAATTTTATCAATAAATTAAATTATTTATTAAACGTCAAGTAAATTGATTCGTAAAAAAGTTATCGTTTAGTTGAAAAAATCACTGATAATTGTTTCATCAATTTAATAATATGTGATATTATTAGTAAAAATAATCACTAATAATACAGTTATGGATTTGTATTATACAAATCATTAAATTTTGTAACCGAAAAACAGGAATCGGATAGGGATTCAGTGATTTAAAATAAATGGACAGATATTGGCCAGGGATGACATAATGGTGTATTGGGACAGACAGTATTTAAATTAGAAAAAGTTGCATGGTACAATTATAGGTACAATTATAGGTACAATTATGGGTACAATTATGGGTATCATATATATGAGTAAACATGTATTTAAACATTTGTTTAATAATATAATGAGTTTATTGAACCGTAAATAAAGTACAAGTTTGCATACAATGGGTCATCAATTGACACAAATATAACCTAAACTTAATCAATGTTTTTGATTATATTTATCATTAAATAAATCGTATAATAATTATTGAAATAAGAAAATCATTGAATACTTACATCACTTGCTATTGAAATGGTTTGAAGCGTTGATTGAATGAAAACATTGTCTCAAATGTTATGTATTTTTATCAGTGAATGCATTCAAACAAATGAGATGTCATTTCAATAGTCAAGTGTTTACAGTCTTATAGAGAGTACTAATAGACTTGTATTTTCGATATAGTTTTAGACCTTTTTTATGTTAAAAGTAATATTAGTTACGTATAAAAAAAGGTAACACTTGTTGGTTGTGTTTATGTCAACAATGTTCGGCCCTTTCTTCTGATTAATGGCTCAATAGATCCGACATTAGAGACAACGCCTCTCTTGAATGTCTTTAGCTTAAGACTGAACTCATTGTTTATTTATATATTGATAGACAATGTATGCATCGATAATAAGTGCAATCCATTGACGAGTGACTATCGGAGCTAAATATGTCATCCATTGCTTCAAATAGTGTTAATAATAATGTCTGTGATTTCGATTACACGAGAAGTCATGGATCTAATTCTTACCGCAAATGTCTTCCATATTCAGCCAACAGAAATGCCAAACATATATCATATTTGAATATACTATTAGTGTTAATAATTACCTCAATTCTGGTCACTTGTATTGAGTCACTTGAGTCGGTTGGTGACCACCCGATACCCGTCGGTAAAGTGTTTCGCTTAAAGTTTCGTCTGGATTCTGACTATCGACTTAAGTATCTTAACGTAAGTCTGGCTGGAAATGCAACACTTGTTCCCGATTGGATTTATCTTAAACGTGATACCAATGAACTTATAGCTGTTCCCTTCGAGAAGGGTGTCTACTTCATTGAAGTTAACGTCAAATATTGTAAGATATTATTATTAATCAACTCTAAGACTCTTTAATCGATATATTTCTTAAAAATATCAATTCATTTCAGATGGCAAACAGTCTTACAGTGATATCTTTGCATTCAATGTAGTCGACAGTTCTGTTTCTTCTACGGCTAATCAAGTAATACCAGAAAATCGATGCGTTATTCGACTAAAACAATCGTTTGATGGCATATCAGATGTCTGGCGTATCATTAGTTCACTAATGCCTCACAATTTAGTTACTAATCAAAATTCTAAGACATATGATGACTGGTTGCTTAAGTTTACCATTTCTCGTAATCCCAACAAAGAATATCTCATTACATATGACATCGACAGCTGTGACATCAATAGCTATGATGAAGAACATGACAGCAATGATAAGATTCATATCAAACTTAAGAAATTAGGTTATGAATTGGATGTGGTTCGCATCTCAAGAAGACATTTACCCGATGGCCAACTGTATAGTGAATTAAGCGATTCTTCATCACTATATAATGATAATCAAGTTTACGACAAAATCAATTCACATAATCGCCGTTATGTGAATCCAACTCCTATATTAGCTCCGAGTTGGGCCACATTAACCACTTCAACCATTTTATCAGAAGGCGAGGATTCGACTCCAGACCCGGTTTCCAGAGTTCTTATTCCTTCAATGACTTCCCCGACAGTCAGTCTCAGTTCGGCCTCACTATTAATACCATCAATTGATCCATTAGAAAATCAAATACTTGGCAAACATGATGAACGACATAATAAATATAAAACTCGTTTGATATACACGACACCCGTATTGGCACCCGAGAGACCAACTATAGTCGATTCTGATTTATTAACACCTATTCTGGTCACTCCAACACCAACTTTTCATACAATATCTGTGGATTCGGCTACAATACCAATAGCTCCCAGTCCATCAGTTATTGCTGAAGTGACGGTATCACAAATTGAAGTAACCACTGAAAAGGAAAAACCAACGACTAGTCCACCTGAGATTCCGAGTACTTCAGCGACTCTTCCAAATAAAACTCCTTATATTAACAAAAGGATTCGAAAATTGGATATCACTTCTGGTAAATATTGGAAGTATACGATTCCTGCGGAAACTTTTGTTGATTTTGAAGACGGGGACACACGTAAACTTAAGCTCACTTTCCTTACATCGACATCTGATTCGACACAAGAACAGCCATCATCTGAGTTTTGGATACAATTCGATCACGAAAATCAATATCTTTACGCTCTACCCACTGATGAAGATATCGGAAAGCATTTGTTTAAGTTAGTGGCGGTTGACTCAAGTGGTGCTCACGTATCAGAAACACTTGAAGTTCATGTACGACAGCATATGAAAACCCGTGCCTTTACTCATATCTTTACCCTTTCGAGTGTGGTTTGGGATCCTTTTCAATTTGCTGCCACTATTGATGCCACGTCTTCCCTTTTAAAACGAGTGGCCACCAGAGTCTTTGACGACAATGATATTAAATCTATTGCTGTCCAGAAAATTGCCAAAAATGAAAGGGACAACTCATGGTATTATTTAATTTTATTGTGAAAATTAGTTTTATTTAATGTTTATTTGATTTATTTTAGGACAATTTCATGGACTAATGATACTCTTCAATCACATCCCTGTCCTCGAGAAACAATCCAATCTCTTTATACACGTTTACATGACTCACATAAAAAATATGATGACTCAGCTGAACCAAGTCGTCTTTTGCGACAAACAATTGGACCAGAATTTAGTGTCCAAAGAGTTAATTTGAATTTTATAACAAAAAGCGCGTGCGGTTCGTATGAAATGCCAGATAATGATGAAAAGAAACCAAAAGAGAACCCAGTTTTTCGAAATCGTATCGGAAAGTTGGGTCCATTTAAATTGGGTCAGGCATTCAAATATAGGATACCTGAAGATACTGTGTTTTCTTCGGGACGACAGGTCGGTACTCGTGACTTAATACTCAACATTGAAGCCATAGAACCGGCAGAAATACCAGAATTCATTTATTTTGATTCTGAAGAACAAGAATTGTTTGGTTTGGCTATTAATCATAAATGGATCGGTTCTTATGAACTTAAATTAGTAGCTGAAGATAATATAAATGGAGGAAGTGCTTATGATATATTTTCAATTGACATTGTAGATGAAATAACAGATCCATCAAAACAGTATACTTTTGAGGTACTTATAAATCTTATGGCACCTCAAGGTAGGGATACACTTAATGCTAAGGAAAAGGTAGACATTGTTAATCGTATATCTTCGGGTATGTTCAGTGACGGTGATTCCAATGCAGTTCATGTTTTAAGCATTAAAACGTATCAATACGACGGATTATCACCTGCTATTAGCGATGATAATTATTTAGGTGAAGAACCGGAACCGGATTCTCCAAATAAAGAGCACAATCATCACAGTCGTCATAAGCATAGAGAACGTAATACAAGAGATACAAATACTTTATATTACTTTGAATATAAGTGGACTAATAGTACGATCCATGAAAAAGACGACAAATGTCCGAAAGATCTAATCTCAGAAAATGTATTGAAACGGATTTTTCAAAGAGATTACGACAGTCTTAAGGCTCACAAAGAAGTTTTCGAACCTAACTTTGATTTAATTAATGTTGAGTTCCAGCCATTAGGTGTTTGTACGAACTTTATGAACACTAAAACTCTTGGTGCACGTCCTGTACCAATCACTAGTCCTCCTTCAACTATGTGGACACCAACACAACAGCCGACTCCCCGAGAAGATGAAGATTTAGATAATGTTATAGACATCGAAGACTCAAATGAATTTCTATTGACAACTATCATACCTCCGGTGGCAATACTCATAGCTTTGATATTTGCAGCTATAGTTGGCTGTTGTTTCCATAGAGCAAACAAACGCAGAAAAAGTATTGAAATCTCGTCGCGATTGCCCACCGATTCTGCTCTCAATGAAAGAGAAGCATTCCTTCAAAAAGGAAGAATTCCTATAATATTTGAGTTCGAACAACAACAGCACCAACAGCTACCACAACAGCCCCAGCAATACAATATGACGCCAGTTATTATGCCGCCCTCACAACAGACATCACAACATATTCCTCCACAACAGGTCTGTCTTTAATTATACCAAATAACAACTAATAACGCTTTTCATTTTTATTGAACAGATGACACCTTTACGACAGCTAAGCAGTAGTACAACGGGTACTAAGCATACATATCAACCACTTCCTCAATCTGGAAGTCAAATGAGACGACAACCGCCTCCTTATTATAAATAATAGCAATTAATGAAATATTGAGTCAATGATGAGTGCCTTCTATGCAATACAATTAGACTAATGCTATGATTCCCATAAAAATATTTAATATGTCATTACATAATTAAAAAATGTAGTAAAAATAAGGAGAGGCAGCAAACAGTGGGATTTTATGGCACCAGACTCTGGCACTGACATTGATCCTCAAACTAATTGATTGCAAACTTCTTAAACCATTATCTGTAGTAAACTTTTGTTGTTTGTGTGCCTTTTGTTAATCGTTTCCAACTCTATGTGTGCGACACTTACAGTATATCACTATAGTATTCAAATTAATATCAAGTATTAACTTAAACAATATATTTACGTCAATAACTTTATAATTTGATTATTTTATTGGAAAATGCATTTTTATTTGATATAACTATTTTTATTTTTAACCATATTATTTAAGATTTTTAATATTATATATTATATTTAAACAAAAATATTTGTAATATATTCTTAATTTAATATAATATTAATAATGACTATAATTAATAATAAATTATACTTGAAATACAATTTTAATATAAACTAAAAATAAATGTTTTTACGGTAATTAGGAAACAAATTATATTAACTTTATATTGTTTTCATGTGTATATCTAATCCACAAATAATAGCTATAAAATAATGAGACGTTTGCCGATAGACTCTCGACAGTAATGATTGCCAACAAAATTAGTCCAAAACTTATGCTATATTCGTTGTGTCGATCTATTAAATAGTGAATTATATAATTTAATTACAAATAATTAAATATTTTATTTAATTATCAAACCTATGTTACAAAGACATGTGAGAGTTATAAAGTCATTGACAAGAAATGACAAAATACCGAAACTAAATATTGTGACCGCAATTAATGCATATTTGAATTGAGTTGTCGATAATAGTCCCGATGTTATCACAATTAAAGCTATAATGCAATGAATAATATCGCAGCATATCTTACAGGCAGTCGGGTATTGACGCAATTGTTGACTTGATTTAGACGTACAAACAGTTAACAAAATTACGATTAAGTAAATCAATTTCATTACATATAATATAATGAGAATTATTAGTGTCAATACAAAAGCATCTATTGATAAATTCAAATATATTGTATAAATAATTTAATATTTTAGTTGTCAATCATTTCTCATTTGATCAAACCTTTAAGTGTTTCAAGAAAATCTGGATCAACTACTTCTTGAGAAACAACTGTATTTCTTACATTAGTTGACATTTTTATAAAACGGTTATTGCTTTCAGATATTGGATAATAAAAAATATATAATTTCATTAATTATTGTCTCGAGAGATGTTTTAGTTAAAAATTATTTGAATTAATAAAACCAAAAGAATATATCAAATATTCACAACTAATTTTTAAAATGTCTGAAAAAGATAAAGAAGAAGTCAATTCATTTAAAGAGAGTGTCAAACAAAAGGCCTTAGAGTTGGTTTCACAACAATTTCCGCATAAAATACTTAATTTGGATATTATTTCAAATTCTGACGAATTTTCTTTTAATTCTGGTCTCAAATCATCGGATATTAATATTCCAATTCCTGACCACAAATCCAAAGAATCGTCTGTCAAACAAAAAGCTATGAAAAATGGAGAAAAGTCTTCAAAGAAAATGAATGTATTTATGGATTCAGACGATGACGACGATCTCATTATTGCAAAAGCATTTCTGTTTCCAAACGGCGCCGTCGAGTCTAACAATTGTTTTACAAAAATGATGGAAACAGTAAAGTCACGAATGATTGAGTTGACAGAAGATATTCTTCTGTTAAAACTAGGGATCAGTTTAATGGTTCCTAAAATAGAAGATGGAAACAACTTCGGCGTTGAGGTACAACAGGAAACCATTGAAGCCATAAATAGTGTTGAGACTGAAGTGCTCAACAAATTTGACTCATTTGAAAATTATTACGAAGCAAGAGGTGATCTGATCGCCAAAGTGGCCAAATATCCGCACGACCAGGACTTTCGAGTCGCTATTCAAGAATGCGACCAAAGATTCCACTTAAATCTTTGTCTCACATTGACTGATATCCGCAACCATTACATCAATCTTCATGATTTGGTCACCAAAAATATTAACAAAATAAAAAATCCGAGGACTCAGGACAACAAAGATTTCTTGTATTAAAAGATAATTTCATTTCTTCTTTTAATTATATACTAAATTTTCTATAAATTTAATTGTATTTAATAATAATGCAAATAATTTGCAAATAACTAAATTATAAACATTTTTGTAAACTATTTTGCTTTTGGTATAAAAAATATAAAAATTGTATTCAAATTAATTAATAAATTTGTAGTATTAATGTATAATAAAATGCATTAATTTTTAAACTTTTGCTTTAATGATTGAATCCATTTCTTATGATTAAGTAGTTTCATATTTTTATGCTTTTGTGCGTTCATTATTGGAAGAGATTCAGAGTTATCTGATTTGATCGATATGTCACTGCTTATGGAACTAATAGAAGATTGAGTAGAAATCAATGGTGGAGCTGATGGTTGAGGTGATGCTTCATGATTGGACGGTAAGTCAATTGTTTTAATGGAAGTTATTTTCAAAGAGTTAATTGAATTGGAAGAAGATATTGATGGCAGTTGAAGTAAATTTGGTTTATTATCATTACTATGGTTTTGTCTAAAAACAATCGATGAATTGCTAACATTATTACTAATGGATTTAACCAATCGATTCCACGCCCAGTCATGAGTGTCTACACTTCGAGTCATATCAATCTTTGTAAGCATACGTATAATTGGTGGTAAATCACACTTCTTATAGATTATTGGAATCAATTTACGATTCCTTTGTTCAATAGCCAAACCCGTTGCAAACATTGTCTGAAACTCACATTCGCGACATTCAAAGAAATCGGGCGACAAAATAATCAATACTTTGTTACATCGTTTGTCAATTGTTTCTGCAAAGGATTCGTAAGCCCACGAACCAAGACATAGGTCTCTGTCTCTGATAAACAAACGAAACCCAATCTAATAGTCAACAAATGGCGATGCATTAAATCGAGTTTAATTAATCAATCACTTACTTGATCCGACTCAAGATATTGAGATAATTGCTTAACAAATTCAAAATCTTGATCCGCATAACAAACATATGCGTCATAAATGATAACTTTGTGGTCATCTGATTGTAGACCACTTGAAGCACTACTCGATTCACTCTTCACTATAATATCACATAAAAATCACTTTTAATTATAACTAATGATATAAAACTAAAGTCAAAGATGTCTTATACCTGAGGGTAGTATTGATTGTTTGTATTTATTATAATGTTTTGCGTCATTCATCAAAACAGGTGTCATATCGTCGATGATATCAAACCTTTCAATTTGTTCCAACATTTGCAACAATTTGCCAAAAGAAGAATCACTTCTGTTTTGATATCTGTCGAGCAAACCATTCAATGGATCGTTAGTTCGCATCAAAGACTCGATGACGGCGTAAGAAAAATCCATTAGTTGTGCTAATCCGCGGTAATCACGACAAAGACCTTCAGAAGTTGTAATATATTGTTCATAATTAAGATATTCAGACAATTGATGTCTTGTGGAGACAGACAGCGCTCGCAAAGGTATTTCAGATAAATCCGTATCAATTGGTTGTGACATCTCTATAGAGATGGTCTCCAGTCATGACATTTGCATCAATTTAGACAAAACTAAGACATCAATTGTTTCATTAAATATATTCAAAAGATATATCACTGACTCGTCTATTGTTATTAAAATTATTGATTAAATCTTTGAATCAGTTGTTAATTAAATGTCAGACAAAATGTAAACAAAATGTATTTCATTGTAAACATTGACGAAATCAGTCATTCATTCACTGATTGGCTATAAATGAGTGTATTATAGGTTAATGTATTAATGCAAACATGTGTTCAAAACAATGAATGTATTATTAATTAGAGGTTATATTAATACTAATTTTATTTATAATTAATTTTGATTTAATATTAATTAAAATCAATTTTATTTATTTAGTGGTTAACGGTTTGACACGATTGTCACCAACAGTGACCAGATTTAGTCAATCGATTGCATTTGAGTCAAGTATTTCTGTTATACCGAAGGAATACACAAAAGACTGGAAACAATCGGAAGAATACACCAAAGATTTGGTATAATTTGTATGAAATGTGATTAATATATGAATTAATGACAAAACATATGTATTGTTGATTTGATAGCCCGACCCAACTCTGGCCAATCCATATAATAAGCCCAAGAAGTTATGTATTTTATGTAAATATGGTATTAAAGTTGATTATAAGGTAAATAAATGTTAAATAATTTTTTATTAATTGATAATCTAATGGATCTTCTTATTGGTGATGTATAAGAATACCCAACTTTTGTCTCAATTTGTTAGTCCATATACGGGACGACTGTATGATAAGCACATCACCGGCTTATGTGAAAAACAACATCAAGTGTTAAAACAAGAGTATGAAAAATCTGTCGCATATTACCTGATGTCCAGTGATTTTCGCGAACCAAAGTACGCAAAGGATCCTAAACTGTTTGATCCAACACGACCTCAACGACCCAATCCTTATTGATATTTTGATTGTAATTTAGTTTTCATATCATTTATTAAACAGACTTTAATTAATTAAATGTTTATCATATTTGAAATTAAAATTAAAATTTATTCGGTTTTTATGTAATGAAGATATTTTTGATTTGGGTGTGAATTAAATTACTAAATCAACAAAATTATAATATAATAAACATTTACGGTATTTAGAAAAAATTTACAATAAATTTTATACATTAATTAATAATTATAATATATTTTAATTTAAAATCTAAAGATTTAAAACTTAATGACTTAAATTATATATTATATTACGGTAGATTTGAAGTGTTTACTATGATTAAGCAAATGATTAAACAAAAATATAAGTTATATAATATTACTGGTAATTCAAAATATAGTGTGATTTTTGTTGGCAATTTATATGGTGTATAGTATACATTGTATACTTTATCTCAATATTTTTTTGGCAAATGATTATAGTATTTAATTTTTTAGAGATTTTAGGAGCATATACTGTATAAATAGTAATGTATATAATATTTATGATTGAAAACAAATGTTAATGATTTGAAATGATAAAAACAATTTCTAATCCTAAAACACTAAGACTATTATTATTAACATAAATGAGATGAGATTTATTAAAGACTATTCAAAAAATAAATATTCTTTGGTTTAGTTTTGACTAATCCTTTTAATTTCTGTCACTTAAGCTCTTCTTCGATGAAGAATTTAATTAATATTTACAGCAAATCACTCAATCATTTATTGTGTGCTTATCTTTAATATATATCTCATTTAAGACTATTGACTAATTTTTGATGACTTTTTTTATAACAAATATATATGCATTTATCGGTTTTGACAAAATGACACTTTAAGTCTAAATCGATTACACAATACTTTATAATAGTGTATATAATTATATGTATATAGATTTACACAAAATAATGTTAATTTCAATATATATTTTTAAGTAGTGTATATTTATATATAATTTGTATTTTCTTCAAATATGAGAATAAATTATGAATCAAAGATAACATATCCACAAAAATATCATCTTATTTAGCTTTTAAGGAATGTTTTAAGGAATAATTGAATTAAATCTAAATAAACGACTGAGTCGTTAACATTTTCTTTCACAAACTGTATAATCTTATATTATTTCAAATTTTCAAAATAAATTTGTGGTAAATTCCTAATCATATTATGAGTGAAATCCAATTAAAATTTGTTAAACGTGTTGATTGTTTGCAACATTACATTTAGAAAGCATTCACTAAAGCTAGTGTTGAGGAAATCAATACAAACGCCATGTATTGGTAAACAGCAATAGCACTGCTGACCACAAGATATTGTGGTGGAAAGGGATCCGCTTGAGTTGACCATCCGACTGGATTGTGGGCAGATATCTTCATCGTGTGTTCTCCCGAAGGAATTTCAACATCAATTTCGTAAGTATTGTCTCCCGACTGACTCTTGAAGGCTTTAAATTAAAATTAGTTTTATTTCATTTAAGTTGTGATAAAAATTGAATTTTATTAGAGATTACAATCATTAAAGTAAATGTGTTGCTTATCAGAAATTTCCAGTTTGTAGATATCAATCTTTGGTTCAATATTTGTATTGTTAACCGTTAAAATCAATTTTCCTAATTGCAATCATAAAAATTATTATTATTATATATTAACACACTATAGGATAATATTAAAAATAATAATCAATTACTAATACCGTTATCATATGAATAATTAGCAAGCATTGGTTGTATCGGTAATTTTCCAACACTTAATTCAAACAGATGTCTGGCCTCTCCAATAGTATTGTTTGCTTTGCACTGAAATTTTCTGATCATATTATTGTTTGGATCATTGAATCTATTTTTAATTTTATCAATATTTTCATATTCGATGCCCAATACACTCATATTTTCAGCGTTTGTTATTTTATGCTTAATGTTTGCTAAAAACAAATACAAAACAAAAATATTAATTAACTGCACAATTAATTAAATAATATTATAATTAGTAATACAATTTTCAATGGATAGGCCGTGTCCTGTATACCATTGGAATTGGGCAATAGGGTCGGCATTGACCAGACAGGTCACGTTGACAAACACCGGACTATTTTGTTGGTCGTCATCCGAAATCCAAACATATTTTTGTATATTTTCCGGGAATCGAGGTCTAACTATACATTTTAATAAAAACTTACTAAAATTATTGTCTATTTTTATAATTAATTTTTTAATACAGTACATACACTGAACTCTCAAATTTATATCAATATTTTTGACATCAGTCAGATATGAGTTAGCGTACTGTCCCTCACAGGTATAGATGCCCTCTTGATCTTTGTTGAGATTTTTTATATTAAGAAAACTTCTGATTATTTTCACTTCAACCGATTGCTTCGTTTCTGAACGAACAGTGATTTGCTTTTCGTCTTTTAAAAAAAAATATTAATAATTATTATTTAGTTATATGTAATAACTTATTGAATGCATTCTATATAAAAAATATTAAACATATTTACTAAATTATATCATCAAAAAATACATGCATTTTATTGTAACAAAAATATATAAACTATCAATAAAAACAAATCAATGTTCACACTATTAACAATTTAAATAAATTAAATGATACAAACTTTCACCGATAGGCACGTTGTTGTGCAGCCACGAGACCTGTGCTTCAGTTGTTGGATCGGTTTCGGGATCAAACTTTGCACTACAAGTCATTTTATAGTTATCCCCCTCCACACCCACGTATGAGTCCTTATTGCCTATTATTTAACATTTAATAATTAACCATAATTTTTATTATTTGTATAAACTGTATAAATCAATGCATACCATCAATATTAATTGAATTGTATATTTTGAGTTCAAACTTTTCAGAAGAAATTGTTTTTTTATCCTTTATATTAGAGAAAGAAAAATATAAATATTTAGTCCAGAAATTAATTGTTAATACAATACTAAAGCAAACCTTTGTGTGTCTGCACTCATAAACTCCTGAATATCGTTTGGAAGGGTTTACCAGAAACAGCTTAACAGAGTCGCGGGAGTGTTGCTGATATACGGGTGCCTTACTGTTATCAGTTATGGACTCATTATTGCTTAACGAATACCAATTAATCACACCTTTACGTAAAATAAATCAATAATCGTTAAAAATGTTAATAACAAATGTTTAGTCCATAAGCCATATGTCATACCGTCTCTCAATTTGCTGTCTTTATTACAATTGACAAACAAGTGCTGAGTATTCCAAATGGCTTTAAGTTTGTCGTGAGGTGTGATTCGGACACCTTTTTGATGCAAATATCGTTTCAATTGAAAATGTTTTTCATATATCAAACATTAAAAATACTTACTTTCAATCAATGTTTCAAAAGAAGAGATGATCATAAAAATCAAATATATTGTAACGACATTTGTTCGCAAACTATCACTAAAACAACTGACAATTGATTTAATCTTCATAATTGTTGAGCAATTTTATTACTAAAATAATTGTGATTTATTTGTGAATTATCAAGTTTTTAATCAATTATTTATATATATATATATATATATATAAGAAATTGAATTTGCTTTTCAATGTTTTGTTTAAACTTATTTGTTGCACAACTTATTAACCACTAATTGATTGGAATAAATGCTAGAAAAATGAAATACAAAATATTAAATATTTGAATTCAAGCCAATCATCTAAATATTGTTTTATAAATACATAAATAACAAAGGATTATACATTCAATATTAGATGAATCACCAGGGTAGTTATGCATTTTAACACATATACAGTACATTAACTTGTATTATAATGTAAAAAGTACATCATATGAGTACTTATAATATTACTAATATTAAATACAGTAGTTATATAGTTATATAGTTGACAAATAATTTTATCATATTCTTATAACATTTGTATGAATAGGGAATTAAAACTTCAATTGTAATGTCAATTGAATGCTACTCAAAAATATTCAATATTCATATAAAATTTATCTGATAATCAATATAAATAAATTTTAAAATTTATATACTGCATTAATATAAAACTATATATTATCTTTGTATCAATTATCAATATAACATTGATAATAATTGTTTAATGAAATTTTAACCATAAAATTTTTATCTAACTTAAATTAAATTAAAATATTTTATTAATTTATTCTATTTATATATATAAAGTATTGTATTACGGAATTGTAACAAATTTAATACAATATTTCATTATTAGAATTACTGTATATTTAAACACAAATGGTTACTATTAATGGCTAATTAATAATAACTAATAAATAAGTTAATATTATATGATAAACATTGTATAAATCATTAATGAAGTTATATTTAATTTAATATAAAATATATTTATTTTTTACAGAAATTAATTACTCATTTCTTATTGAGATCATTGAAAATGTAAAAATTTAGTTGACTTTTTAATAGCAAAACATTTTATTAATAATAGTTTGTTTAAATCATTTATAAGGTCATAATAGTAATATCGATGAATATATTTGTATATCATATCATATATAATATTATATATGATATATAACATGAAAACTAACGGCGTTTTTATAATTATAGTGAACATCAAATGTCAGTGAAATTTCATACAAACCTTAAGCTTAGAGAATAATAATAAGAGGTTTATCTTTTGGCGTTGAGATTCACAGATGGTTTATGTTTGCTAAACACTAAATAATATTATTATTTTTATAATTTTAATTATATTTATAATTATTTTTAACAATAAAATTAATAAATAGATTGTTATACTCTGTGTGGCAATGAGTGCAGTGTTTGTATGATTCGTATGCAGTGTTTTGATGTGTGTTTCAGTTGTGCTCACAATTAGTGTCTCATCGAAGCACTGAATAACAGACAGACAGTAGTTCTGCCCCTTTGGCGACACAACGCCCTAACTATCCCTTCAAATGTAGTCTCTATTCAATACAACTCTCCCTTAGTTTACTGACTCTCCTCTCTCTATCTCCCAATTCATTTCAATTATCTTCCTTTTATCTGATCTACTGTTCCCAACATTTCAATTCAATCTGTTATCTTAACTAAATAGATATCTAATCATAATTTACTCGAATTACACTACTAAGTGATTTCCGTTTATCAAAAAAGAAAAAAAATATTTAATAGTGATTATCAGATAATCAATAATATATTCATATAATTTATATTTAATTTTACGTTAAACTATTATGAATTTTATATATAATCTTACAAATATATCAACTAAAATAATATTATATATCAAATCTAATATATATATATATAATAAATTAAAGTTAATACAGTATATTTTTAGTTAAAATAAGGATAACATTAGATAAAATAATGGCCCGAAAGCAAGTAATGAGAAACCAATGTATTGTTGTGTTTTGAACTTAAAATATAATATTTTATTTTATTTGCTCTAAATTCTCGATTCCTTAAGATATCAATACATAAGAAATAGAATTCAATACAGAGTTATATGAAATACTATTTTACTTTATGTCATAATATTCTGTATTACTATATATTGAATAAACAGTTGAGAGTTTGCGCCAACAAATTGTAACCAAAAATTATGTTTAATATACTGATTGCTATCATTGACTGTGATTAACATCAATTGCATCTAATTTGTTGACATCAATGGATGCAAATGTCGAGTCTCTTCAATGATAATGCAATGTATGACTAAAACTATTTAATTGGTTTGTCATTCAATTGACTACTTATTTATGAAAATGAGTGGTAAATAGTTTTCAAGAGTACCTCATATGAGTCATAGCTATAGTTGGCTGCACTGCACTGCACTACATGTATGCAGTAAAACAAAACATGTTTTACTTATATGACTCCATATCTAATGGCATATAAGTTATACGATATCATTGACTGCATTGTAATAAATTTTTGTACTAATAATACAATAATTGTAATCATAATTATTAGACAAACTTTTCCACAAATTTCTATATGTATTAAATAATAATCACTAAGTATTCATATTTGAGATATTTTTAAATTAGACTTTTAATAAAACTTTATTTCTTATTTAATTTGCATTTTTATTGAAAATTATTTAATATATTTATTAAGGAATAATGCTCATGGTCAAATTTATATACTGTACTGTATTTATATTGAGAGTACTTTTATTTTCAGACTCAATTTGAGACACTATGTTATGTTAATTGCATTTCATCCATAAATTTAAGTATAAATTTAATATATATTATTATACACTGTAGTAAACATAACAACATTTTATTGTTACATTTAGTGTTAATTAAATGTGTATCTGATTTAATCAAACTTTTGCCATTTATTTAATATAATTTATTTTTATATGAAAATGTTGTCCAAATTTGTTGAAATAAAACATTTTTCAGATAAACTATTTTGTGATATCCTGTAAAATACTAATACTTATAGACGTTATGTTATAGACTGTATGTTAGGCTTTAGTGTATAGCAGTGTATGAACACAACAACAATAACATGAGTGCAATGTTTTGATGAAACCAATGGTTGACTTAATGTTTGCATTAAAGCCTTCAAGTATTGCGTAGACATTGACTGAGACTTACATCTGAAGTCAATATTAATGATATTTACTTTGATTTGATCCACAATTTGACAACAATTGATGACTCACTGAAATAACCAATTGATGGACAACTAGTGATAGTGTTGTGACCAGTGATGGCTCAAGCAATGGCATTGCAAGGCTTTGATGATATTATTGAAGAGATTGAGAGCAACAATAGCGGCACAAGTAATGGTCTGTCGGAGACATTGTGTCCAACAATGGAGCCAATAGTGATTCGCGGCAACGGAAACATCACCCTATTTGGTCTTTCAAATGGATTCGCCGATACGTTTCCGTCATCTTTGTTGGGACGGGTGTCTCGTGAAGAGTTTGAGAGTACTGTTCATCGGATCAATGCTTTACTTCGGACACAACACTCAACTAATGCCAAACTTCTAATACTTGGATGTCTTTGCTGTTGTTGTTCTTTAGGCTGTTCTCTTCTGTGGCCAACTCTGGCGCTCTCCAAGAGAACCAAAAACTCGTTGGAAAAGGTATCACATCTTTAAGATATAATTATATGATTAAAACCATTAATTTATTTATGATATCAATAATAATGATATTTCACTATTAATAAAATATGTCATTGTTTTATACAATTATTATATTTTATCCAATTATCACACATTTGTTTGATTTATTTATAATATTATTTGTATTGATATGATTTGATAATACGGTACATAAATATTGATTAAGTACTGTATATATTGTCTTAAAATAATTAATAATAAATATTTACTATAAATATAATAATTAGGGATTGGATTGACTAAGAGAAAAGTTAATGAAGAATAATAATTATTATAAGTCAATGAAAAACTAATTATTGTTTTATTGATAAAAAATTATTCATCAAAATTAAGTTATAAAAATAGTCTAATGATTTAATTGATATTTTATTAGCTATTATCACATGAAAACTACAAACTTTATCATAAATTGGGTCTCAATTGGCGATTAGCTAAACAAAGATGTCATACAAATCATTCATTTATGGAGTATGTATTAGTCATTGAATTTTTACCGAAACTTCATTTATATCAACCCGACTAATGGCCAGACATAATATAATGTGACAAATGATAAGCTATTGTTGACCTCAAGGATTGTGTGGTGAATCTCATGACAACACAACCTAACCAACACATTATTAATCGATTATAATTTATGTAATTATTATTATATTTAATATAAAATTATAAATTATAATATATGTACAGTATATTCAACATATTTTATTATTACCGTAGTATTTATTTTATTTATATAGTTATTATTAATTACTGTATATCATTATTTCATTGTATAATTTATCAATCAAATGTCACCCATTTTAAAGCAATTTTTGACACCAAATATTAAATTTTGTTTTATAATTTTGTTAATTTCAATTATGCTATACAAAAATCTGTGTATATTTTATTAATTCTAACTTTTAATTAAATTTTGTTTCATAATTGATTATTAAATTAAAATAAATCTCATATATATATATTATTACAGTAATTGCAAATAAAATAGTTAAATCAATATAATGTTTTAACTTAGATTTAGTATTCAATTTATTTAAATTATTACATTGTCATTGGACAGGGTTTAGTGATATAGTTTGATAATGTATTGATAAGCCATCATAAAGTAATTGTGTATCAAAACATTTAAACTAAATTTCCCTATAATTATTGATTTAATGACAAAGTAATATGATCCAGGTAAATTGAACAAAACGTTTTCATGTGACTCAACACAGGTATGTAAAAAAGTGGTTACAATATCTAAATCACTATAAAAGTATTTGACTGATATTTGAAGAAAATTATTATTTAATTTAAATTAATTGATATTTTTATTTATTATACTGTATTATATTATTTACATTTTAATAACAAATCTAAATGTTTATTACGTTAAATAAAAACTAAGATATTAAGTTTAACAAAATTATTATACAAAAATTAATTCAAATATTTTTAATTAAATAATTATAATAACATTTTGAATAAATGAAAAATTTTATAAGAATATAGTATTGAATTACAAGAATTTTAAAAGTAATAAATTTGATACTCTTTTGACAATTTTATAAATATTTAATAAGATTTACTGAATCCACGCATTGTATTGACTGATCCATTGAATAGTTGACACACTTTTCAGTCAACTGTTTGCCTATATTTGCGTTTTACTCAATCAATGAATGCAAACATCGGTTTTTGAATGCTTTATATCAATATAACAACAAAACATTCAATTAGTTTTCAATAAAGTCTTAATTACTGTTATATTAATATTTTCATTTCATATCAATTATTCATTTAATATATTTAATGACAAATTGCATATCACGTCAATAATAATAATAATAATGGATTTAAATATTGTCAACGATTGTCATAGTCATCAACAAGTGGATGAAATTAGTCAACAAAATGTCAAATGTTGTCAAAACATAGACAATAGTAATGGCAAACAATTGACAACAAAACGAAATCTCAGTCCACAAGTTGATGGCAAAGCAAAGAAAGTCAAATTAACTGATGATATCAGACAAGTTGTCGAGTATTTGATAACCAAATCATGCGATATTCAACTTATTTCACAACAGTCACCAACAAATGGTCATCAAAGTTATAGTCATAATAGTTATGGACAACAAAGTGAAGACAATAAGACACCAAATACACAAAAAACACCGAAACAAGTGAAGTGGAGATCAAATATAATTAACCATAACTTTAACGAAGATTCACTAAATGTAAAACTTTCGGAAACTTATTATTTTTATGGCACCGGATTAGTGACCGGAGAAGCGGGAGATATGTTTGGAGGGAATCGATTCCAAGGATTTTCAAGACATTTATTCAGTGATTCCAATGGTATTACGATTGAACTCTGCAAACCATTTATTATAAATAAAATAATCATTGAAATGGAAGACAAGTGTCAACTAAAGAGACCACAATTTGCTTATAAAGTCTTGTTTTCAATCGATGAATGTATGACTGAGTGGCAACTGATCCAAAATTTTGATCAAACGGTCCACTTTGGCAAACAAAACATATGTTTTTATCCACGAATTGTACAATACATCCGTTTTATTGGCACTCATGGACTCTACTATAAGTCAGATAATGATTGCGATCCAACTATTTCCAGATATTTTACTTTATTGATGTTTGACTGTATTTTTGACAAAACGCTAATTTCATGACAATTTTTTATAAATTTTAAAAAATAATATTTTAATAATAACTATTAACTATAGTTCCTAAGTTAGGAATCCTAACTATATATATATATATATATATATATATGTTTTTTATCAATACAGTACAGTATATAAATATAAAATTTAAAGTTTTTACACAATTTACTTTTGTATACTATTTATTGAAATTATTTTTTTTGTATAACTTGATTATTATATATTTTTTAATCTAATTAAATTTTATGATTAAACTTGATATTTACAATAATTATTATTAATAAAGTCTTTAAAGTTTTAAATAAAATTTTATTGAATCATAATTTATAAATATACTATTAAAGAGTTTAAAATAGTATTAATATTGATAAATACTTTATAGTGAAAATTATTCAATATATTTGTTCAATCAATTGATGTTTAAATACCTGTATTTATAACTATTGCTTAGCGACAATAGGAAGAAGTGATGGGTTACCACAACAAAGCTTTTAAATGATTACAACAAATGACTCAATTGAATGACACCAATAGTGATGCTCTTGAATGTAGTAGTGATGAGTAAATTGGTATTTAATTAATTGTTTTAATGGCTATTGACTGGGAATATATATTTTCAATCAAAGTCGATGATCTCAACGATGATAAGGCAGAGATACTTTTCAACCAATTAATTAAGGTTTCAAATAATATAAAATTATTTGTTTTGTAATGTCTTATAGTTTGTCTTATATGTCAACTTTGGTTATAATATTATAGTTCAGTGGTAATGATGAAGATAATGTCCAACGATTGCAACGTCTCTTCGATGTTTGCAAATGTGTTATGCAAATCAAAGCACTTCAAACACAAGTGGCCATCGAAGAGCTGGAAGACACAGTCAAAAGATCAAATAAAAATGAATCAGAAATAAGAAAAGAGTTGGAAATTTATAAACAATCAGATGGTAGACCAGATAATAGTAAATTTAAATTCAATGAAACAAACAAACATATTATTGAATCCAAAGAAAATGAAATAATTAAATTAAAACAAAGAAATAGTGAATTACAAAATAGTTTGGATTTAAGAGATAGAGAAGTGATTGCTTTGCGATCACAAGTAGAATCACTGAGAGATGAAATTGAGAACCAAAGACAAGTTGAAGACAATATTGTCGAGACTCGTGAAGAACCCATTGAAAAACTACGCGAAAAGAATAAACAAATTCAAACACTTCTCGATGAACTCAGAGATGTCGAGTCTATTAACTTGGAGTTTGCAAATCAAATCAAAAAATTAAAGATTGAGTTAAACAGTGCTACCAATGAATTGCATCTCAACGGAAATCAGATGGAAATGATGTCGAAACAAATAAACGAATTAAAACAATTAAATGATGATTTTGTTGAAGAAAAACAATTCTTTATTGAAGAGATCGACAAATTAAGAATAACTCTTAGCAAATATGAAAGTGAAGACAACAACATAATTGATAGATACGAACAAAGTATTAAAGATTTACAGCAATTAATTCAAACAAAAGACGAAAAGATTGTTAAACTCAAGTCATCGGGTTTAGTGTCAGACGATAATACAAAAGACAGAATAAAAAGATTAAACAAAGATTTAGAGGAAAAGACTAAACAAATAGATTTACTTAAATTACAACTCAATGAAGCCGTTGTTGATATGGAAAACCAAACAGAGATTATTAAGAAACTATATCAACACCACAAAGACGATGAAGAAGTATCTAAACTCAATCAAACAATTGCTTCTTTAACACAACAATTTAAATCCATTGAAGAAGAAGTCTTAACAAAAGATAGTGAATTACTTAACTTAAGAAAAAAGATTAATAATTATGAAAAAGGAGAATATGGACTAAAAGAGGCGCTCAAAGAAGTTAGTGATTTGAAAAAGCATTTGGAAAATAGAAATCAAAGAATTGAAGAAATGGTCGATGAAATCAATCATTTGAAGCTTGAATTAAATGACGCCGAAGACATCATCGATGACTTACAAGAAGATAACAAAGTTGTGATGAGAGATAAAACAAAGAAAAATAGAGGAAATGTTGATTTCAAACAAACAAAAAGTTCGAAAAAAGAGAGAATAAAAACTTTAGAGTTAGAACAACAACTTCTTAAACTGGAGGACGAAAAGATTGAATTAACAGAAAAACTAAGACAAAATGTCAATCAATCAACAGCTGATTTACAGCTCGACAACAAAGAAATTAATGATTTGAAAGAAAAACTAAAATCTATTGAATCTGAAAATCTTGAGCTTCAAATCGGAATGAAAGAAATATTGATCGGTATTCGCGAAACTGATTCCAAAAGTGATGTCATTATTGAATGTCCAACTCTTGAAAGGATTTGTCGTCTAATGGAGAGTCGAGCCATAAATGGCGACCTGACTAATGTGATTGCATTAAAAGCAGAATTGGATTTAGTTAGAGGACATAATGATCAGCTAAGAACAGATATCAGACAAATCAGAAATGATTATTTAAATGTCATTACATTATATACTCAATATTTACTAGACATCGATGTTATGGATAGTGAAGAACAACAAATTAATAATACAAATGAAGATAAAAGTGTTTTACTAAAAGAAAGCGATTCACAAAAATATGGTAATAATGTCCAACAAATTGTTGATAATAATCAACAATTGACTTATATATCAAAAGAGACACAAACACATCATACATCTGATGATACATTTGTAACGACAATCAAATCACAACAAGTTATCAAAAGTTGTGATATCTTTACGCAAACTGAATACTCATTGAACAATGAAATGAAATTAAATGATGAAATGAATGAAATTAAAGACAATCAAATTGAAAGACAGGTTATGTCTAACAAGTTATGCGACAATTGTTCCCAACTTAAGAAAGTCATTACATTTCTTAAAGATTGTCTCCAAAAATTAGAACAATATATCAAAACAAGTGAATCAAAGTTTAACCAAAGATTACAACTTTTACAACAAGAAAATCAGGTATTACTCTATAATTAAACTCTAAATACTATTATTTTTAATATTTTATTAATATTTTTTTTATTAGTCTTTCTATAGATTATATATACTGTGTATATAGAAAATAGTTATAGTAGTTATAATATTATATAGTCTAGTAATTGTAAAATTGATTATTGAAAAATTGATTAAATTTTATTTGAAAATATTTATTTATTGTTTAATTTAAATCAGAATTTGATGGATATGTTTAACAAAAGACTTAATGAAAAAGATATAAAAATTCTTGAAAAAGATGAACAAATAAATACATTACAAAAAACACTCGCAAATAGCGAATTGAATAATACATCGGTTGTTAATCTTGAAGATGATCTCAATAATGATATTATATCTTTGAAAAACTATTCAATACAACAACAAACACAACTATTATCTTCAAGTTGTAAAAATGTTTTGGAAAGTGTTATCAATTGTTTACAGGTTTTTATAAAAACATTAGTTTAGTGTTAAAATTAAATTTAATAAAAATTAATTGATTGTTAGGCAAGACTTGAGCACAAAGAAGAGTCAATACGTCAGTACAGGAATATGTTATCAGAAGCCAAACAGAACTTCGAAAATGAAATGATAGGTCTCATCGAAAGTCAAAGAGAAGGTCAACAACAAAGTGGTATCAATTTGGTCCAAATGATTGATAACGAAGAACTTCAAAGTGCTCTCAAAAGTTGTGTCAATGAACTTGATTTGTATGAAAAATAAAGTTAAAATTGTTATTCATTTAACTAATAATTCATTTATTTTAGATGTAAAAGTCAATTGAATGCTAAAATACATCAACTCGAAGAAGAATTAGAAATTAAAAATCAAAAACTTATGTCATATCATACAGAAAATGAAGAATTAAGACACAAAAGAACTAATCCTAACGTTCAGCTCAAACAGTTGGTCGAAGAATTGCGTGAAGAATGTCAACAAAAAAATATTATTATAAATAATTTAAATAAAACTATAAAAGATGACAGAGCTATGAGAGCAGCTTCTGCTGTCAAAAGACCTCAAAATGAAACCGAAAGAAGAGATAAAAAAGTAGACAATGAGTTGTTTCAAGAGTTAGCTGATCTGAGAACTACTATTGAGACGCAAAAACAAAATATTAGACATTTAGAAGTCTCGAAATGGGATTCAGACAAAAATATTAAAGAATTAAAGGAAAAGTTGAAAAATAAAATAAAAGCAAAAGATATCGAAATGGGAGAACTGAAAGAAAAATTGGATAAAATGAAAGATTTATTCAATAAGACAGACAATGAAAAACAATTACTTCAAAATAAAATAAATCAAAGAGAAAAGGTATCAAAAAATAGTCAAAATAAATGGACACAAACTAGTGGTGCAAACAATGAACTGGATTTCAATAAATTCAAACAAGAAATCAAAACGGTTTGAAATAATTTTTACTTTTTTACCCAATTTAAATGTCCATGTACAATTTAGTCAATTTAGAAAAATATTATTATTTAATAATTGTATTTAGAATTACCTAGATAATTCTACACCTATTTTCCTAAATTGACTTAATTCAACATGGACAATTAAATCAGATAAAAGATTACCGATATATTAATTTTATAATTACCGGTACACTAATACTGTACTCTATAATTGTCTTATTCTTACAAAAATTTATATTTATATTAAATTTATATTAATATAAAAATTTTCAGTTAAAATCTGAATTTAAAGATAAAGAGAATGAAGTAAACAATTTGCGAAAAGAGTTACAACTGAACAGAGATATTGAATGTGAATTGAAGACACTGTTAGAGGAAAGCGTTAAAAGAGAAAAGTTGTCGACAATTCATGAGGAAAGTCCTCAATATGACCAACAATATGAACAGCTCTTACAAGAAAACGCTCGGATGAAAGTCGAACTCAGGATGACTGAGTATGAGTTAAAACGAAGATCACAACAATCTAATAATTAGTTCAATTATTATCTTATATTTATTATATAATAATCAATAAATGTTTTTAAATTAAACAAAAATGTTTGATTTTTGTATAAAAAAATGAATTTACAATCAATTAAAGTGCTGCCAAAATCAATTGATATTAAATTGAAAGGCATATATATTTACGGTAAAGACTATTCAATGAAAAAAGATCGTCGTTTAGCATTCATATCAATTGTTTTTAAACAATATATAAAATGATTTTTAAAATCAATTCAAAGCAAATTTTAAATAATTGCTTAAAATATTTTTTTATATGTATTATAATATTAATAGTAATAACAAAATTAGATGATTGATTAATATATTTATGTGATGTAAATATATGATAAATATATGTCAAATGTATTGTTAAGCTTCTGCCTGTTGTCTTTTGTTTTTATTACTAAACATTTCTTCAATAAAGTAGTCCATCATATTTTCGGGCGCCTCTAACCCGAAGTGATAGTTTCGCAAATGGTCTTTAAAAGTGCGGTCACAATCACTGCCGTACCCGCACTGTTGACAGGCATACACTTTTTGTCCCTCATGTTTCTTACTCTTCTGAATATGACGTTTAATATCCACAATAGTGTTGCTTACATATGGACAGTACGGACACTTGTACTACAAAAACAAAAATTTTATTAATATCATTAAATTATAGATTAGTTATACTGTATATATATATACTGTATATTAGACATACTTTAGTGTTGGTGTGAGCCTTGACGTGAAAATCAAGCTTTTCTTGTGAATTGGTCACAAATCCGCAGTCGGGAAACGTACACTTGAACTCAATATTCTGTGGTGTGATTATGGGTCGGCGTCCCCTAACTGGTGTATATGGAGTACCAATCATATCGGCACCCGTTTCTGTTTTAATACCAGTAATAGAGGAGACCGCTAAAGCAGTCTCTGTATTCATGGCCCCATTACTTGATGACACCACCACTACAGCTGACCGGTTAGCGTTTGGTGTAATTGTCGTCATTCTTGGTTTCTTGTTGTTTGAAGCCAACAGTTCGTCCGCATGTTTTTCCTTCTGATGCTCCGAAAGATAGTCGGCGTGAGTGAAGCTATACTCACAATTTGGACACTTCTGCGGCTTTTCATTTGTATGTATTTCGCTATAATATTACAATTAATTTATACAATTTATATCTATATATATATATATAATGGTTATCACAAAAAACTTACTAAATATGTCGATACACTTCATGACGAGTAAGTCGTGGCGCGTCATCACAAGCCGGACACGAATATGTGTTCTTAGAGTTTGTATTTCTTGTTGTAAAACAAGTCGTCGACAAAACAAACTGCTTCTGAGTGATGCCGTGATTCATCTTATGCAAGATAATAGACACTTCAGATTTGGTATCAAACGCACATTCATCGCAAGTATGGGCCGGCTCTGAGATCTTAGTGATGGTCCGTTTACGAGTGGTTCCCTGTTCGGTGACATCACCCTTAACCAACTCTTGCTTTAGTCTTTTGAGTTGATTTTCGTGGAGACCCTTTGCCTGACTACTTAACGTCTGTTGTTGTCTTAACTTATTTTCCAATTCTGTATTCTTCTCTCTTAAGACTTGTAATTCCTGTTCCAATTGAACCCTCTGTTGTTGTTCTTCGTGTACCTGTTGTTGCAATTGTTGGACAGCAGTCTCTAAATCGGTGTTTTGTGTGTCGAAGTCATTGGTTGATTGGACCTGAATATAGATGGTCTCACCAGACGACTGGTGCTGAGGATGGCTTTCCATTCGGCGCTAAACAACAATATATAATGTCTTCAATCATCAAAACAAGTCATTATCTGTGGTATCAATTGGTTCATACTTTGAATTTATCTAAAACACTGTAATTAGCGGTAATTGTCATCAAAATGTGGCCAAAAACCAATCAATACGTTGTCAACACTTGCCGTCAAAAATGGCCGAAACGTTGATAACTGCCATCACTTGAAGCGCTTTATTCACTTTACACATAAATAACGTCACTATTACTGATTGAACCCCAAAACACATCATTTAATACTATTATGACTTTCAATTGATTATCAAAACAATTACGTTATTTGTATGCAATTAGTGACCAATGGTTTGTCGTGTCTATTGCGGCGCGATTTGCAAACATTGCATACAATTTGTCTTATATTTGATTCAAATTATTTAGTCAATCAATACAAACAAATATTCAATTATTTATATAATATATGAATCTATAAGTAGACAACAAATCCAAAAGTTTAATATATTTTAATACTTAATCTTAAAAATATTAAAATTTAACTAAAAATACTAGATTAGAGTTTTTATCAAATTTATAATAAAAAAGTTTATCACCAATAATGGATTGTCCAGTTAATTGTGGACATTAACTAACATATCTTTAAAAATTAATTTCAATTATGACCTTGATAATTCATTGTAATTCAAATGCATATCAAATTATATATTTTTAAAACAATTATTTAAATTAATTTCGTTATAGTTTTTAGTAAATATTTTATTGAATATTATAAAGTTTACATTAAATATAGTATTTTTGAACTATTAATTAAACTTAGTGTTGATAATTACCGGTAAATAAAAATTATTTAAACATAACATTATTATTAATAAGTCTAAAATAATTTGTGACTTTTGGCTTAATTTTAATTTCAGATTTGAATTTGATATAAGAATTGACTTTTTGATTAAAAACATGTGAAAAAACTAACCGATAATAAAGTTTAGAAATAATTTACTGAAATTAAAGTGCGACAGAAAATTAGATTAATAAATGAATATATATTTAATTAAATTACTGTATTATATGTATTATTGAGACAAATGTGACAAAATTTTTGATGCAATAATTATATAATAATTTTCTTTAACTTATGAAAATTGTTTAAATATTTTAAATCATAAAATATTGAAAATTTTATTATTTAGTTTACACCAAAACATACTTAGATTAATTTAATGATAATAACTAATAATTAAATACAATTTAGTATTAATAACACAATTTAGTTGATATCACTATAATATAATGTGGACGTCATTGATGAACGAACCAACAAATTGTAACAAATATTGTATACAATTAAATATATAATGACTAGAGTTCGATAAACATTGTAAGGGAGGGAAGTTCCCTAAAAAATCCCTCCAATTTTTCCGGAAAATATTTTATATAATATCACTCCTTTGATCGTTAGAAAAGGAATATATATTTTATTTTATTACAATAAATAGTATTAAAACTTAAATATTTAGAAAAAAATATTGAAATATTCAAAAATAAATTCCAATTCAATAAATGTCATACTATTTATGACTACAAATTAAAATAAAGTTTAATATAATTTTTTTTTCTAAGATTATAATAGAATGTATTGTTTAGAGTTTAATAGATTCCTATGAATTCCCAACGAGAAGGGAATATAAGGAATTTTTGGAAATATAACGAGAGATGGAATCTGATGTAACCCTAATAATGATTGATATTATATGAAGAAATGATTTTATGATTTAAATTGTATTAACAATTGATTTAAAAAGTAAACAAAACATTAGTTAAATATAAATATTGATTGATTTAATGGTAATTTTGAAACGTTATTATTAGTCCAATCATTAGATGAGTAAATAATTTAGTTTTGCCATCAAATTGATTGAATGGTGTATTGGATGAGCTATGGGTGATCAGCAGTTCCATTCGGGACACCCGCAGACTGGCCATCACGTATCGGCCCATATATATGCTCTTCAGCCTCAATGCTATCAACCATCATATGTTAGTCAACCCAACAATGAAACCGTTATTCAATTGCGATCACTTCAGGATCAGCTTAACTCACTTCAACAACAGAGGGATCAATTGCAGAAAGAGTTGAACGCAGAGAAACAAAAAGTCTTACAAATGTCACAACAATTATCAGCTCAACAACAACTCAGTCTTCAGATGCAACAGCAATACGACCAACAATTAAGAGCACTTCAGTTTGAATTATCTAAATATAAGACAAGTCCACAAAATCACGACAATATGATTCACGTTCAGAGCGGACAACAATTGACACAAAGTGGTAAATCCATTAAAGTTAACGATGAAAATGTGTGCCACACGTGTCAGTTCAGATCAAAATCTCAGGTTTCACTTCTCTTACATCAAGTGAACCACGGATTGACTCAAAAACACTTGCAATTGCCTACAACTATCTTTACCACCAAAAACAATAACAATTCATTCTTATATAGATGTCCTGCTTGTGATGGAAAGTTTACCCGACATGAAGTATATTCTCATATATATCAGGTATTTATTAAACAAGTATTTGAATAAAAGAAAATTAATGGTTTATGTATTGCTTAGTATCACACCAATGAACAGCCCCATCACTGCACTGAATGTGACCTATTCTTCACACATTATGACTATCTAACTGAACATCAAAGAGATAAACACAATAAAACAAAGAAACGGAGCACTGCTCCCAAAAATGATGGCAAATACAGTAATAAAAAGAATAAGAACAGTCCTCTTGTTTCATCACCCGGTTCTTCATCCGCTTGGAATTCATTAGAAACTATCATTTCATCAACAATTGGTACTTTTGATGAGATTGCAAACATTCCCGATGTTAATAGTACTCAACAGATAACGACAATCAATAGGTGTCAGACAACTGTGAATCCAGTTGTCCTCAAACCGGCTCCCATTGCAGTAGAAAAGTCTGACGGAGAATACAAATGCACTTTCAGTGAATGTGGTTTCGCCACAAACACTAAAGAAAGACTTGATTTTCATATGAGTGCTCACAAAAACTCAAAATATAAGTGTCCGTATTGTCCATATGTTGGCAATGTTTTGGTTGATATCAAGAGACACATTCAGAAGAGTCAAAAACATCAGGGATTTCATGTGTTTCAGTGCCAGAAATGCGACTATGGATCCAATTGCGAGAAGACTTTCAAAGATCATTTGCGACAAATTCATTTTGGCAAAGAAGTCACCGAAAAGATGATCAATTCATTCATTGATGACATGTTTGCTAACGACACGGCAAAACTTGTATAATGTAATCAATATATTGTTATCATATATCATATCTATTGTATTAGTTAATTGTATTTTTTAGTGACAAATTAATATATTATAATTGATTTATATTATATTATATTATAATTTATTACAATATAATTATTATTTGAATAATGATTTTTCTACATTTATATCACTAAATGATAATTATTTTATCGATTTCTATGTATTTATAATAAATTAGTTGATTTGATATGTTTTAAGTGTAATGATGTATACGTATGAGTGATGTGTGAAATGGCAGTCATTTATGTTATTATATTATAATAGTATTGACTGTGAATTGAGTCCACAGATGTATGTATTGTTTGCAATGTCTTTATGGACACTAATTGATGATTATTTGATCAATTGATGCCATAATTGAATGATTAGATAGTGATTGGTGTTGATTGTGGATGCAATGGGTGATCACTCACACTATTTACAGCCACAGAACTTGATGTACAACGGATACCTGCATTTGAGTGGATCCGCACAACAATCACAGCAAAACCAAACTATTGTCCAAATGAGGACTTTAAGGGAACAATTGAATCAAACAAATATCGAGAAGGAACAGTTGCAGAAGGAATTGAATTTAGAGAGACAACAGAAGTTACAGTTACAGCAGGAGTTCCAGAAGGCTGTTCAGGCACAACAAGAACTCAATTATCAATGTATGACTTTGAGGCTAGAAGTGGCTAAATATCAACAACATCTGCAAAATATACAGACATCTAGTTTAGCACAACAACAGACACAACAACAACAATGCAGTCAACAAGTGATTAAATCAGAAGAAAATATCAAACAAGAAGAGACTCATATCTGCGATGAGTGTCAGTTTGAAACCAAATCACAAGTCTCTCTATTTGTACATAAAATGAATCATACTTTGGGTGCAACCACTCCAAGACATCTTCATTTGCCGACCCGAGTGTTTACAACCAAATGTGAAGGAAATGTTAACTTTAAGTATAAGTGTACGGCTTGTGATGACTGCAATCCATTTGGTAAACACGAGATCTATACACACATCTATCAGTTTCATTCATCAGAACAGCCACACAAGTGTTCCATCTGTTTATTGTATTTCACTCATGAAGACTATTTAAATGAACACAAACTGGACAAACATAAGATGGCAATCACTGAGTCTCCTGCTGTCCACTCTGGTCGCGGCAGAGGTCGTGGTAGGGGTGGATCAAGAGGGGGTAATTCTTCTTCCAAAGGAGCCGTCCCTCCAATGCCGGCTCAATCACCAATTCCTAAGCAGTCAGTAATACAGACCCCTTACGGTGCAGTAAAACAAGAGCCTACAGAAAACCAAACGAATCAATCGGTTATCAATACGACTTCCACTCCTAAACGCAAAGCCGATGAATCACCCGATATAATCTGTTTGACTGAAAATCCTGCAAAACAACAGAATACGCAAAAGACTACTACTATAACAGTGGCCAAAGAGGACGATGAGTTGAGCTGCACTTACCCGGGCTGTGGCTTTACAGCTCCGAGTCGGGATCGGCTCCAGTTTCATATGAGTGCTCACACACAGTCTAAATACAAGTGTCCGTACTGTGCATATGTGGGTAACATTTTGATTGACATTCGGCGGCATATTCTTAAAAGTAAGAAACACGAAGGACTCAATGTTTTCCAGTGTCTTAAATGTGATTATGGAAGTGATTGTGAGCGCACATTCAAAGAACACCTTAAGAAAAGCCATTACGGACTTCATGTCGAAGAGTCTACACTTGACTCACTTCTTGAAGAACTATTTCTCAATGAAAATAATAAGCAAAGAGTTTCTGCCGAATGATTACTTTAATTGAATTCATTTATTCTTATAGTTAATAATTAGTCCAATATTTAATTTTTATTTTATAAATAAAGTATTAGATATTAATAAACAATTGGCATTCAAATTGTATTAGAAATGGTTTAACACTTGCAAACATTGTATCTGTAATAACAACACATTTCATATTTTCTATCATTTTATTAGTTTTTTCACATTTTCTATTTTATGTAAATTTCGACAAATTATTTTTATTTTAATTATTATAATGAATTATAATTATTACTTATATGTAATGTTTTATATTGACTGAAATAAAAATTAATAAATGAATTTTTAAAACGATTTTTATCAGTTCTGTATTTGATTTTACATTATATTTACAGAAATTATTTTTTATTTATTTATAAATTATATCTCTTTCTGAGGACAGTCATAGACTGCTTATGAGGACTCAAGTATTGAATCGTAGAAACAGTAAAAATATAAACTACATCTCATTAACAATATATTCAATGCTATTAATAGTTAATATTTTAAAATTTATTATCTACTGTATTGGCATTTCTATACTTTAGTAATAATATCACAATTTTTTTAATAAATAAATCTCAGAGACAGGTATTTTTAGAGATGAAAGTTTACAAAGTTGGAGTAAATTTATTAATTTTATTCATTCAGATTGAATTGTAATTTAAATGATATTTTGCAAGTAAATTGATTAATTTATCACTAATTGCTTATATGATAGAAATACAATGTTTAGATAAAAAATGTTCACTAGATATACAAAAAAAGTTTTATTGATTTTAAAATATTTAATTGTAACTTTATTAAAATAGTAACTATTTTTTTAACAATAAAGAATATTCTGGTATTAAACAATCAAACAAATAATTATTACATTAAAAATCATTTAAAAGGAGATTTTAGAATTTTAATCACTTTTGCGATCCAATTGGGTTTAAAATACCAAATACTTACTAAAAGAGAGCAACAAAAAAATATAATACCAAAAAATATCACCAAAAAGGTTGCATTAAAGCCATTGTTTAATTGCGATGAATGGTTGACTGTTTGCATATGGACTGCAAATTTATTGATAAAATAGTTGTAATCTTTGAAACCCCAGGCATTGTACAGAAGTTGATCGCAACCCAACAGATCATAAAACAAATACTTTGCTTCCATGTCTTCGTCAGTAATTTTTGTCTTTTTTTTTATTAAATTAATAATTATTAGAATTATAAATATTAGTCAAAAAATCAATTTGAAAACATACCATAAATCTAGTGATAGGAATCTTATAATAAAGCGATCCTTTAATTATATAAATATAGTTTTGGTGATGAAATGCTGTAGTTATTTGAGTGGGAAAATCCTTATGAAAATCAGTTAATTTTTTAGGTGAGTCGTGACATGAGCTGCGATCACTCATAAAACACCACAATTGATCACCTTTTTTATAGTCAATAAAAATATATTTATTTGTTTAATTAATTTTCAAAAAATATATAATAAAATATATTTATTTACCGGAAATAAAATATATAAGTCCTTTGATATGAAAGGCTGCGTCAATCTTAGCCGATGTCCATAACTTGTCATTGGATTTCCACTCATCAGACCTTTTAAGTCGTTTTGAAATTTTTGACTGCCATTCATAGCATACAAACTCATCGTCCTATCAATTATATGTCATTAAAAAGTTTAAGCAATTCATAAAATGGTTATTCAGACAATAGATCTGACAAAATATATTTCAATCAATTTTCAAACAATTTTTTCCAAAATAAGTGAAACGATTTTTTTTTTATAAAAAACATATTAACCGATTATAAATTTATGAATATAACAAAATTATTATAAATTATTATAAATTAAGATAAAAAGTTATTTTTAAAAAATAAAACTTAAATACTTTGAAAAAATATAAGCAATTATTATATTTGTTAAGTCCGTGAACTACACTATCGATATAAGTGGGAACAACCATTGAGTCGTTTAAATAATATTTTTGTGAATCTTTTGGTTTTGATCGATGGTTTTGTCGGTTTTGTAGGACATAACGCATAGCACGACTGTCCACAAAACGTTCATCTATTCTGATGGCATTATCAGTAAGTGGTGGATGCGTTGGTGGCTTATCAGTAGCTAACAAATGATACATTTTAAAAATTTGTTATAAACGTTAAACTAATTATTATGATTATTAAGTGATATGTAGTGCACTCACAAAAGTCATAGTACCAGAAATAGTTGCCTCTAAATAATACAATCATATTATTTTTTGCTGATCTCGAGTAATGGTATGGATAACCATAAAATTGGTTCATTGATAGGATACCATCAAAACCGGGAGATATACACAATGGTTGAGGACATCCCAACCAAACTTGATTAAAACCAATAAACTTGTATTTATCTTTTTCAGTCTTTAAAAATGTTTAAAAACAATTAATTGATTTAATTTATCAAATATTATACAAACGCACCGGTATTTTGTAGAGATATAGAGGTCCAACAAATTTGTATTCTTTGATAGCATTTTTTCCAATCATTATTCTTTTAAAACGACTGTCCACTGGTTTTGGTTGTGTGTCTCTGTTAACAATTGGTAAGTGATCTCTTGTAATACCATCGACTTCAACATAATAGCTATTATTATTGTAAACGACATAATATTTGGTACAATTGATCACTTGTTCTTTGAATACGATATCAATTTCAACTGACACTCTATCGGTGCAATCATTTGGAATAAATGTCATATTTTTACTGTAATTTAAGTGATGTTTCACTGAATTTTTCTGTCAATATTTTTTTTAGAAAAAAAAGATTTTTAATAACATATTTTATATAACTATATAATTAACATTAATTCTTACCAAATCTTCTAAATCAGATTCATAAATATAATTTGCTAAACATATTTTTAAAATACAAATTATTATATAAAATAAGTAACTTAAAAAATTACGATAAATTAAATTCATATTGAATATTAACAAAATTTAAAAACTTATAAAATTTTTCATTTATAATTGCAATATAAAAAAATATCTAAATTGCAACAAATACTTAAAAAGCTGAATAAATAAATTAAAGACTGGTTAAATAGTACTTTATATTGATTTTTATTATTATTATAACAATTAAAAATACATTTTATTATAAATAAACAAAAAAAAAGACAATTACAATATTAATCAATCAATTGAAAGGCTGACACCGTTTGTACAGTTTTATAGTTTAAGAGAAAACTAACTGTATTTGAAACAAAACGCATCATTTTATTTTTCACCATTAGTTTTATAAAATAATTATTTATATATCATAAAGAAAAAAGTAAAAATTAAGTATTAATATTTGGTACAATTTTATTATGATATATTTTTACTAAAAGTAATATATTGTGCTTTAATAATAAAGTTTACGGTATAATAATATGCATTACAATATTTAAATTAAAATATATGTTAGCTTTTATAAATTTAAGTTATAAATTATAACATATAATACATAAATTTTATTAGTTTATTATATTTTTATAACAAACATATATTTAGTATTTGTGTAATAATAATAATTGTTGTTCTTTAAGCAAATAACATATTTTTTAGATACTATAGTATTTTATTAAAATATAAAGTAGTAAATACAGATAAAATCATTTTTTCAATTTATCGCTAATTTTCATTTGAAATATTATTTATTGTCAATAATTATGTAAAAATTATGTGTAAAATATGTAAAAATTTATTAAATTCCTTATATATATTTAACCATAATTTAGTAAATTTAAAATACAAATTAAAAATTAATGGTAAGTATTAAGTGGTTGAAGTGCTTCCATTGGTTGCTTTATTTATGAAGAGATCTTCGACAACAGCATCGATGTCCTTATCTGAAGTATCATCTCTGAAATGTCTTGTTCTTAAATGTTCTTTAAATGTCTTTTCACAATCAATACTGTAATTACATTTTGGATGTGATTTACATTCAAATACTTTTTTCCCGTCATGTTTTGTACTTTTCTTAATGTGTCGGTATATATCACTCAATATATTACCCACATATGCACAATACGGACACTAAAAATTAAAAAAGAAATATATGGTTAAAACATTATTAATAAATAGTAAAACAAATACACAATTATAGGTATAATACCATACCTTATACTTAGAGTTTGTGTGAGCGCTCAGATGAAACTCTAACTTTTGTTTATTATTAGTAGTGAAAGAGCAGTGAGGAAATGAACACTTTAACACTTCATCGGCCATCACTTGTGGCGAATAAGCGTATATCGTAGGTGTTGAAGGTGTTCCAGAACTGGTTCCAGCAGTCGGTGTCTCAATAGGTGTGCCATTGGCTGAAAACATTACTGTTTGAGTGCCTCTATTCGCTGTTGGTTTATATACGGTTGTAATGAGCGGGTCTTTTGGTATCTCATAACCAGATATGGTTATAGTTGTCTTCAATCTGTTTGTTTTACTCCTTTCGTGTTCGTGTTTGTGGTGAGTCCTAAGATAATCAATATGAGTGAAGTAAATGTCACATTCATTGCATTTGTAAGCCATCTCTTTGGTGTGATTTTGATAAATATGAGGATAAATCTCATTACGAGTCAGAGCAGTGCCGTCACAAATGGGACACATATAGAGATACGAATTGTTTGGGTTTCGGTTACTAAACATATTTGGATGAAGAATAAGCCGTCTTTGATTCGGATGAGACAACTTGTGATTAATTGTATGCAAAATAAGTGACACTTCAGACTTGGTTTTGAAGTCACATTTGTCGCAATGAAAGTCATCTTTGGATGCGTCGGCTGTCAATGCAGTCCTAATTTTATTCAATTCTGACTCTTTAGTCTTCAATTGATTTTCAAAGAGTTGTCTTTCTTTCTTCATTTTCTCCAATTCCAGTCTTTGTGAATGTAATGTACTTTCATTGTCTCTCTTCTCCTTTAGTCTCAATTCCAACTCATTTTTCAGTCTCTCTTCAAGTCTATCCTTCTGTCTTTGTTGTCTTTCCAATGAGTCTTTCAAATCTCTCATCTCTTGTCTTAGCCTTTCATTATCTTTTTGAACATATTCTTCGTAAGTCAATCCCTCTAAAGCACTCAATTCATCCAATGAATCAGCTTTTCGTTTTGTACCCGAAGTGATAGCAGTGGTCATTATATTATCGTTTTTGTGACTAATCTAGTGATAAATGTAACCAAATTGTCATCAATTAGTATATGATATCAAACTTGAAATTAATTTAATTTAAATCATTTAAAACACGTTTCAAAAGATTTATTGTTTTCAATGAAATAATTGATAAATAAGTCATTCATTGATTCCGTTACTATGTTTTGTGTTTATTATAGACTATATTAACAATAATAGCCTTAATATTCACTAATAATAATAATAATTATTATTATAATAATCAGTAAATTGTTTGTCAAATAAATGCTTAGAAATGACGGACAAGACGTCAAAAGCCAGCGATTTATTGGAAAATTTGTTGTCCGGCGGACACATCACTTCGGAACAGTGGCAGACATATAAACAAATCAGATCTGGAGATCTCATCTGTAGTGACAGTGACGGACACTCCAGTGATGAGTCCGAAGACAATACACAAGTGGACACAACTTCTACTTCTAGTTATCTGCCGATTGCCAGCACATCGACCAATCCTTCGGTTCAAATCGAGGAAACTTCAGAATCGGGTCCAACCAAATGGGATTCAAATTTGACCGTTAGATATATTGATGGAAAAATTAGTTTTAATGAGTTGGCGGATATCATGGAGAAGACAGAAGGAGATGATATCAGTAGAAAAGATTCTGTTGGAACCATTACTCAGACATCTAGTGAATCAAAGGGCAAGAAAAAGAAGTCGAAAATTAATAAAGATTTAGAAATGACACTCAAATCAAGTTCTGGAACTCGTCCGCGAAGACGACTTCCCCGTGATTTACAGGGATTGGTCGGTGAGGCCAATATGATGTTGGCTCGCGGCAACCACGACGAGGCTATCAAAATGGCACTCGAAGTTGTTCGACAATCACCAGATTGTGCCGAACCATTCCAATCATTGGCTATGATCTATGAAGAAATGGGCGATGATATCAAAACTTTTCAATATTTACTGATTGCCGCATATTTGTGTCCTTCAGATGGTGATGGATGGGTTAAAGTAGCAGAAATGGCGTCTGATTTGGGCTTTTGTAAGCTTGCGATCAGTTGTTATACAAAAGCTATTAAGATATTTCCTAATAATATAAAACTGCATTTCGAGAGGTGTCAGCTCTACGAGAAAGTTGGAGACATGAAGAAGGCTTTGGAAGCGTATGAGAATCTTATGAAAGCCCTTCAACCAAATGATGGAGAATTGGCACTTCAATTGGCTAAAGATATTGTCAAAATTCAATACAATAACGGAAACATATCATCAGCTATTGAAGTGATGGAAACAGCACTAGAAAAGCACAACTCATTTGTTACATCTGAAGAAGTTAATGTCTATATTGAACTATTGATAACTAATGAACAATATATCATCGCTTTGTTGGCATTTAAGAAGTACTGTGGTCTCAAAATATTGAGTTCAGGAATTGAAATCAATGATTTAACTAATGATATTATCACCAAATGTGATCTAACCATACATCTCATGTATTTAGTGCTTCCTATTGACTTAAGATCTAAACTAATTGTCACATTAATAAATCTTCGATGTCTACTCTCAATCAATGACTTACTCCAAGAACTATTAATAGAAAGTGCTGAAGAAATTGGTGATTTATATTTGGATATTGTCGACGCTTTTATTAAAATGGATTTACACGAAAAAGCAAAACTAATGCTTCAAAAACTGGTCGACACTGAGACTTATAATGAGGCCTCAGTTTGGATGCGATTCGCTGAATGTCTTGAAAAGACCAAAGAAATAGAAGCAGCGATTATCGCATTTTCAACGGTTGTAAGACTGGCACCAAACCATTTTGAGGCCCGATTAAGACTATCAACCCTTTTGTTAAGTGTCGGCAAAGAGAAGGAAGCGCTTGAAATTGCGAGTCAATCGGAAAGTGAGTCTCAAATTGATTTGGATTTACTTGAAATGCGGTGCCGTTTACTGTACTCACAAAAGTTTTGGACTGAATTCACAAAGTCTGCCCTTATTTTGTTGACCAGTGATATGATATATTTAAAGCATAATAAAGAGATTTCAACAATGATTACTTCAACTTCGTATAGAACTCGTATGGAATCGTTGCGTGATATTCATAAAGACTTGGGTTTGTCTGAAGATTCACAATTTCATCGTTATATTGGCAATAGTATTGATCCAGAAGAATGGATTGAAATCTTCGTTAAATTATTAAATGTTTTGCTATATAAAGTCAAAGACTATAACGAAGCCATAAGAATAGTATTTTCCGGCTATACATCTAGTGTTATGTCCACCAAACAGGATCTCATTAATTATTATTCACTCATGTGTTGCTTTATCTCGAAGAATATGCTTTACACATATCCATTGATAAAGGCGTTGATCTTTCGTAATATAGATAACAATCAAATCTGGAATATCTTCTGTCCGGTTATGTCTCAGTTTTATCAAGACTTAAGACACAATCGGTTCTGTATTCGTCTATTTATCAAAAATCCTGATAACATAGCATTAGCTTATTTTAATGGACACAATGCCCTCATGAGCGGTAGCTATAAGCACGCATTAGCCGAATATGTGGCCATTTTGAAACAGTGTCCTAAAGATTCTTTGGCTGCATTTTCGGTGAGTCTGGCTTTTGTTCACTTGGCCTCACAGAAGTTCACAAGTAATCGGCATTCAATTGTCATTCAAATGTGTGCTTTTCTTGATCTATATCTTCAATTGAGAGGTGAATGTCAAGAGTCGTTATACAACTGCGGACGTGCTTTCCATCAGTTGGGACTCCTTAACAATGCCGTCCACTTCTATAGACGAGCTCTTGATTGCGATACTCAGATCAACGCCAAAAATAAACACATTTTTAATTTAAAACGAGAAATTGCTTACAATCTGTCACTTATATACCGTCACTCGGGTGCCAATGATATGGCATTACTTATATTAAGACAACACTTTGTTGTATAAAATTAAGTTATTAAAAAATTTATCAATATTTATGAATTTGTATTTTTTAGTAAAATGTATAATATTTTTGTTAAATAAAATAATTGGTTTATTGAATTAAAATTATTTTAATATACAAAAAATTGCTGACAAAACCATATGTTAATCGATATACAGTAGTATTAAATTTAGATTCAAAACAAGCGCTCAATATCTAAGTTATTATAGGTTGGGTTAGCGCGCGATTCAATGCATGAATAGAGGCATCAATTGGAGGCAAACTTATAGACAAACTTTAAATGATATCTATTTATGGTTTATGTCATTACGTTATCATATAATGTATTAATTGTTTTAACATATGTTTAGTTAATTGATTATCACTGTCTGATCAATACAAATGATAAATTAGTTGACAATGAATATGTCAGACGATGAGAACCGAAGTGATTGTCTTAGTGTTAGATCCGAAACATCTGATTACTTCACATTCAGTGAAAGCACACCAAAGAGTGTTGAGTCCATCTATTTTGACCACAAATATGTAATTCATTACTATTTATTAATTTAAATCAAATAACTGACGCAATGCTTGAATTTGTCTTAAGGCTCGTTCACCGCCATATTCAACCATCACATCGTCAACCACTTCCAACACATCTCCATCAACGGATCCAAAGAGAAAACTAACAAAAAAACATAAATTATTTAAAGGCCGACGACTTTTTGACACCAAAAGCGACTCTTGTTTGGCACCACTTTCAGAGAGACAACAGTTGGCCATAGCTTTACAATTATCGTCAAACACATCACCTGAACGTGAGATCATTTTTATTATTATTTACTTAATGTAAATATACTTTAGTATAAAATATCATATAAATAAACTTTATTTCAAATAATTAACACATTAATTAAAATTACAATTTATTGAAATAATATTCAAACAAATATCAATTTAAATACAATTAATAACTATTTTCTAAATGACATAAATTTAATTCAAAGTTTGTTTTAAATAACTAATGATAAAGTGATTCAATCAAATCGACAAAAGCATTGAAAATAATGCTAATCTGTAGACAATAGCCAAGTGATGAAACTATTCATTACTTTTTGATTGCTTTTTGTTTCTTGGGTTTCACTACAAGATAGAGGATACCTAATCCCAACACTGATAGTGTGGCCAACGAGACATTTCTGCGGCCAAAGTCTGTAAAAGAGTTAAAATAACGGGAGAGACCCGTAAACTTGGACTCATCCACTGCATCTCCGCCGGCCATTGCTATAGTCGTCAATACAAATGTTAATTTGATATATCAATTATCATCATTTGACTGACCTATTAATTAAGTGATAATCTGATGGATCAGTTAGAAGTGCCGACAATTCCAGACAAAGTCAGATTTAAATGCGAGAAATAGTGAAATGACTTTCAATAGTAAACAATACTTAAAATATGTTATAATTTACGGCATATTAAAGCAATACAAGTGGAGACACCTATTGATGATTCAATACATACTATGCTATGAAAAGCACTGCTTTTTGGTTATCTTTTTGTGTAAAAATATTTTTGTCTAATCTATTCAATGATAGCATTGATAATAGCATTGAATTTGATATATCATAATGTAATGAGTTATACGACTATTGACTATATATACAGTTATATAATTGTTATATATATATGATTATGATATATATATTTTATACTACAGTATACTATAGTATACTACAGTATCTCAATATTGTATGTATTGTTAATTGATATGAACCTAAAATTGTCAAATATATACAAATTTAATTATTTGATTGATATAATCATATACTACAGTATCATATATAACATTGTGATGTAAGTATTATATTAACCTTACATTTAGTTTTAATTGTTGTACTTATTTGCATCAAATGTACCGAAATTTTGTAAATAATTTTGTAATAACAATAAAATTTATGCAAAATATACAAATATTTACAGTATATATATATATATATAATTTATAACAATACATAAAAATTTGTGATAATTATCTTAAATATTATTTTATAATTGATTTACTTTTAGTTGCTATAAAAAGCTTAAAGCTATGTAATAAATATTATAACTTATTTATAATATTAATTAATTGAATGTTAAGCTCAAGTAATAAATAGTTATAAATACATAATAATATTCATATATTGTTGTTATACATAATGGAAGCTATTGTATGACAAATATGTTATACACTGTTATATAATGTTATATAATGTGAATGAATGCCTATTAATATAATGATATGCTATATATAGTGTAATTAATGAGAGGTCAGCCCTGAGAACAGGTATTCAAAGTAAGACACATCCCTGTAATGAGTGATTCATTTATAGACTATATCTCTGCAAACATGACATCTCATTACTGATAGTTTGTCTCATTTTGCTCAGGGATTAGTGAAAATGGCTCTAATATTATAGTATTATTGATTGCTATTTGTTATTAATATTTAGACGAAACGACATCAAAGAGTAAATATGAGATAAAAAGTAGTCAAAGGGTTCGTCGAAATCCAAAAGGAGAGACAGATCTTCACATCGCTGCCATCAAAGGGGATCTGTCGAGAGTTCAACAGATTATTGCTGACAACAAATACCACATCGATATCACTGATTTTGCAGGTATTGTATTAATATCTTTATTATTGACATAACTTAATCTCATATATTAATGATTGATATTAATTTAAAAGGTTGGTCTCCGATACACGAGGCCTGCAATCGTGGCTTCATTCATATAGTGGACACATTATTAAAAGCCGGCTCTGATGTTAATGCAAGAGGTTATAATAAAGATACTCCTCTTATAGATGCAGCTGTCAATGGTCACCACCATTTAGTGTCATACTTGTTAAGACATGGCGCTAATTATTTTTTGACAAACGGATCAAACAAAACAGCGCTTGAAGTGGCCAAAAGTCCTAAAGTGGTTGAAGTAATTAAATCTTTCATTGACGAGAAGATGAGAAAAAATGGTGGAAACTCTAGAGATAACAATAATACAAATAAAAGTAGATCCTCTTCTCCAACCAATTCTCCAGTGAAGCCATCCTCTCCTCGTTTGACATTAAGATTCCATACAATCAAAGATTCTAAATCCTTGGTCACAAACCTTCCCAACAGTACAACAATGTCTTCAACTAAAACCTATAGTGTTTCCAGTGCTTCTGATAAAGACAGTGATACCACTAATGACTATAAAAATGATAAACAAAATGACAACAATAGGATTAACACATCCAATGGGAATAACTCTGAACCAATGATCACTGGTGTGGATCATAATTATACATCTGTTGATTCAACACAAACTTCTTTAGATGAATCAAATCGAAGTCGAAAACGAAGAAAAAGCAATGACGGAAATGTTTCGTCGACGAGTAACCATTCAGGGGGTGCATCCTCTCGAAGTGGTAGTAGTTCTTCTGTAGGATCATCGACTCAATCGACAACTAATCACAATAAGAAACACCATTCACATCACCATCATATGAATATAACAAATAAAACAAATAATGTTAAAGATAAAAGTGGTAAAAGAATTGGCTCTTCATCTGACAGCGAATGCGTTGAAGGTTCCGATTGTGATAAAGAGTCCAACTCTAAGGAAACCAATTTCAACGCCACTTTAAATGCTACTTCAAGTGAAACTAATTCTCCGAAAGTGCCGCCACTGAGGATAGTATTGCCGGCGAACTCATCTAACACAACATCAACAATGAGTTCAACTATATCTGCAAATAGCAGCAATTCAACGATATCTTCATCAGTGGCGTCGAGTACAACAAATTCAATGGCAAAATTTCCATATGTGGTCACATCGGAGGAGTCGTTTCAAAGTGAAAGTGATAGTGTTTCCGGTGCTGTTGGTTCTCAAAGGATTACCAGAAGTAGCCAAAGGGTTGCTCAGCAACAAAATCAGAGATCAAACCATTCATCAGCTGAACATCACAGCGATTCCGAAGAATCGGCGCCGCAAACGGATTCACAACATCCGAGAAAACGTAAAATTCGTAATAATAATAATATTACGGCTAATCTTAATAATAATAATACAAATAACAATAATAATAATACATCTATTACTTCTAATAATAATAATAATATTAATGATAATAAAAGAGATTTAAACACAAATAACTCAAACACTTCAGTAAACAATTCTAATGGTGATAACGATAACGATTCTTCTTCATCGACTTCAAGTGTCACACAAAACTTGAAAGACATCTCACAGTTTGCATTACCACAAACTAATTGCTATCAAATGTATTTAAGTATTAGGAAAAATGTGGAGAAAAAACGTAAAGAAATGTTTTCAGTGCCACCAAAAGCACCGCAAGGTTTTGCTGATTATTTACTTAATAGATGTTCTTATTTATTGCATGAAAAGTGTGGAACAGATAAAAATGGTTCAAATAATAGTAATAAAGAAGGTATTGGTGTTAATATAATGTCAAAACCAAACGTTTTAGTGCCGCCGAGTAATCTTAACGGATCCAAAATGATTGATGTATTTAATGAACAAGAAAAACAACGAAATAAACTTAGGATTCAACATATGATTGAACGCCAAAAACTTATTTTATCGGCAGAACAGGAAATACTTAGAGTTCATGGAAGAGCTGCCCGAGCGATGGCTAACCAAAGCGTTCCCTTTTCTGTCTGTTCTATACTAAAGGACGAAGAAATTTATAACATATTTGAAACCGAAAGCGAACAAAACGATTCACTAACTAATAATCACTTAAAAGGTGAAAAATCACTATATCTGGGCACTAGTGGTATGAGTGCCAACCGTACCCGATATAATGGACGCCTATTACTCTCATGGCTTCAAGATGTTGCCGACAAATGGCAAAAAACAAAAGAAGTTATGCTTTTGAGACATAAAAAAGAATCGGAATCTATGGTTGCAATGCAGAGACTTGAATGGGAGTGGAAACTCAAAGAGTTTGGTTTATGTGATCTTAAAACCAATCCTAACATCGATGGTAAACACGTACCACTCGTTAACGTTAGCGACGACTTTGAACTCTTTCCCGTTTAAGGATTATTTTCAAATGAATTAATATATAATTAAGAAAGAAATGATTGAATTGATGTGATTGTAATAGTTTTCAATTAATTCATTTAAATGAGTTTATTTTCAAATGTTTTTATTGTCTCAAATATCAAGTATTAGATTATTTTTAGTTTCTTTTTAATTGTCATTTGCTTTACTCCCAAATATATTTGCTTTAATCCTGAATTATAACGATTATATTGTTTTAATTAATAACAAAATGTTATTTAATATCTATTACTCATTAATATCAAAGAAATTAATATAAAAACCAATTTATATCATAATATTGATAATTGACATAAAATAATGTTCTCAATACTTACCAACTTTTGGATTGCTTTAATAAATACTTTTTGTTTTATTTTTTTGTCATATTTTTAAAATCAAAATTGTTTTTATCATATATTCTATTATATAAATTTGTAAATTTAGTCCAATTTAAATAAAAATTTATTTAATGTAATTTAAATCTCGATTAAATACAATGCAACGATAAATAACAACTAAAATAAATAAATATATATTTAAATACAACTTTAATTAACTATTGGTTTATCAAAACAATAATTTCTCGGATAAAATCTTGTAAATGATTTGATTCAAACAAAACCATTGTTTGCAATGGAGTCATAGTATTGATGACATTACTTCTGTGATGATTATCATTAAATTGTTTCTGTCTTTCAATTAAATCAACTAATTTTTGTCTTAATTCGGGTGAAGATAACATTTGCATCAAATGTTTGTTGTCTTTGATTTTGTGTAACAAAGACATCATTACTTTTGATTATTGAAATTGTCTTGTTTAATATCGTTAAGGAAATCAGTAATTTGTTGTCTTAATGAATCGTTTTGTTGTTCAATTTGATCCAAAAACTCATTGATTTCATCCAATTTAGTGTCTAATTGTGAAAACTCTATTCAAAATATAATCATTTATTGTAATCAACGCCCACTTAATGGCAAACATTAGACCCAACCATACCTTCAATTTGATCCACTTGTGAGTCGTCTTCTTGTTGTTCGTGATTGTCATCGATGTCCTCAATATTCATATCATCTACGAGTGTATTGATGTCTTCATTCATATGTTTGTCAGCGTTTGGATCAGCAGTTGATTTAGTCATTGCTTTCAATCAAATGTGTCATTCATTTGGCAAAACATTCACAATATATATGCAATCCTTTCATATATTAAGTGTTACTTTATTTCTCATATTTTTAAAAAAAAGTTTATCATTAATGCAATTATTTTAATAAAGATTTTTAATAATTAATTATATTTTGCATATTTTATTCAATAAAATAATATTTATTTATTTATTTATTAAATAGATATAATTTTCAAAACTTGTATATTTGTTAATATATTAAAGCAAAAGCATGACTTAATTATTTAAAAATAAATAAAAGAAAATATATTGTAAATGTATTTTAAATGTATTGTAAATTTTAATTTAATAGCAATTTCAACATAATTATGATTTTGTAAATATTTTTATTCAAACATTTCAAGTAATAACAAATAATATATTAATTCCACCAAAAAGTGTCAAATTGTTGCAAAAAATAAAATACAGGTATTCATTATATGTAGTTCAGTATAGCTTAATAGCGGAAACTAAAGTTAGTCAAGCAATTCATTTAAGGGGAATAATTGGCTTAAAAATTGTATTGTTTAAGATTATTGGATCTATTTTGGAGGACAGTTAGTTTGGCTAAACACGTCCACAAATATTTTTTTAACAAACATTTTTTACAAATGTTTCAAATGACATAAATGCTTGCAATAAATTTAAAAGTTGTTAAATAAAATGATATTCAATTTTTTGATAGTAATAAAACTTTTATTATTGACTTCGAGTCAAATAAAAAATTCGTTGCAAACCGATATCAATATCGATGGTATTTTTGATGACAAACATGTGATCGACAATGAATTTCCTCCAGAATTAGATTATACAGTGGAAACAAGTTTGGGACCAATTGATCGATCAACCAAAAAGACGCCCATCTCTGATAAGCTACAGCTGACGGGACCCCTAACTGAAACATTTACGGGAACTTTATCCGAACCTCTTGTAAAAGCAGTGGTCGTATTGAGAGGTAATGGTATAACTCAAGGTATAATACATTTATTGCAATTGGGTTCGGGTCCGACTCACATCTCGGGCACTATTATTGGTTTAACTCCATTATATTCACATGGATTTCATTTTCATGAGAAGTCTGCAACTGCTGGCTGTGAAAGTGCTGGAGAACACTATAACCCAACCCATCAATTACACGGCGGATCCAATGATCCAAACGCTCACATCGGAGATCTGGGAAATATTAGGGCAGACCTTAAAGGCATCAGTAAAGTCCATATTATCGATCATAAAATATCATTGATTGGTAAATATAGTGTAATTGGACGCTCTTTAGTAGTTCACAGAAATACTGATGATTTGGGAAGTGGTCTCAACCGGGAAAGTAAAAAATCGGGTAATTCTGGTGGACGTCTAGCCTGTGGAACAGTTCGCTTCGTTCACTATACTAAGGGATAATTATTTTATAATAATATATAAATTTAAACTAAAATATTATTATAATAATTTTTATTTTATTATTATCATAGTAACGCAATTTTATATATTGTATATTAATAATTTAATAAATTAATTCAATAAAAAATGGATTTTAAAATTCACATTTTATTCACTTAAAAACATTACAAATTATAAAAATCAAATATATATTATTTAACAAATATAGATATCATTACTACAAGAATCTTAAACTTTATATCTGTGTTATTATTATTATTATTTATAAACATTGTGTATAAATAGTGTCTAATTTACTAATAATAAAATAATTTATTACAGTTAATTATACTGAATAAATATATTAATTTTAATAATAAAAAATAATTAGACCACTAATTAAATGATTTCACATTTGTTGGGTTGAATTTCCATTATATGTATTGTTATCATCTGAGTCATCCTCTTTACCACTAATTCGCGCAACATTTCCATCTCTATTGTAAAACTGTTTTGGTTTTACTCTTTCAGGTCTCCTATTACTAGTGTTTGGATCAATGTTTGCATTGGTTTGATTAGAAGTGCTGTTAGTATTAGATCCAAACAAATTGGTTACAAAACTCCAAAGCATCACAAATGGTGTAAAAAGATATGTAAGTAATTGCGATACAATTGATGGAGAAGTGATCGCTCGCGAAATATTACTTCCAGATTTGGGAACAACTAATATAACAGAAGAAGGAGTTAATAACAACGCACTCAATGTTTCATTGTATTCATTATTTGAGAACTCCTTTCGAGGAAATGGAGAAACGAGACTAAAGGATCGTATATTGAGATTTGAAGACACGTATTGTCGAACAGTTTCGAGAGTATCATTGGCTTCAAAGATATTATTTCTGGTCGAGCCGTCCGGCAATTTGAATTGAATGCGAGCTTTGGTGTCATTTCTATGCCTAATCTGCTGCTCATTACTAACATTAGATTGCGATTCATTTGATCCAACATTTGTTGTCTTTTCATTACTTGTTTGAAACTTAGCTTTCCTGTCCTCCCTGTCCGCAGCAATTTGTGCCAAAACCCTCTGTCGGGCCAATTTCTCTTCTCTTTTATCGCGTTCTCTTTCTTGAATCGCTTCGAGCGCTTCTTTATCTTCACGAATACGTTTCTGATTCAACATTTCTTTCATATTAGTTCTTCTCTCGATTTCATCCTTTCTTTCTCTATCTTCCTCTTCTTTAGCCTTCTTTTGTCGAATCGCTTCAATCAATTGGTTCGCGCGTTCAACCTTTGAATCAATCGCAGAACTCTCTGTTGTTGATGAAGAAGCGGTAGGTGTGGTTATGAATGAAGAAGTGGAATCATTATTATTAGTTGTCATATTTGTAACCAAATTATTGGCAACCGGTGTATGACTTGAAACACTTGTCTGCATTTGATTTGGTATTTCATCAATTGATAAACTATTGTTAAAAATATCAATAGTTTTATTGATTTTTTCCATTAAAACATTTGTGTCTTCAATAATATCGGCAATTATTTCAATTGCAATGCCTTTTGCATCAATAAAATAAGTACTCGGAATAACCAGAATTGGATCTATTAAGACATTAAAACATCAAAAGATCTAAAATATTACAATTTTGTGACAATTATTATATCATATATTAAACGATTTACAGATTTGTGAGAAGAGTCTACAATTGTCTGACTGTGAATCCAATTTAAGACCAATTATTGGCAATTCAGACAACTTTGTCGACAGACTATCGTAAATGGCATTCATTTTAATAGATCTTTCGTCTTCACCTAATGTCAACAGAAGAATAACAAGTGATTCATATAAAGACTTTGATGTCTAAGAACACAGAATTTGAACAAACCTTTGATGAAAACAACAAACACTTTCTTTTCATTCTTAGACTTAATGATGGCTTCGTTAACACTTCCAGTAAACCAAAACATTGTTGACAACAATAGAGACGATAATCAATGGCTATAAATAAACAAATAATTTTGACTGAATATCACAGAAATGGATCAAATAATGTGATGATTAGTATTACGTGTTATTGTATTCAACACTAACTTAATGTTAATATTAATACTAAAGTCATATATAAGTAGTGAATCACTACTAGTGTTGAAGATTTCACTGAAATTTTTGAAACTAGAGTTCAATTTTATATAATTTAGTTAAATATTCGAATTATTCAAATATAAACTAAATGTTTAAAATTTTAAAGAAATATTTATTTTTTAATTATTAAATAATAAATCTTAACATTTTGACCGATAATAGTGATGCAAAAATCACTTCTCGAACACTAATTGTCATCAAATTTTCGCATTTTTTTATTACTATTAATTCTGATGCAATACAATATATTAATATTATTTTATTTTAGCAAAACTATAAAGTTGTAGACAAATGTTGTTTTATTTTTTTATTACTATATTTTACATTTACATCTAATAAATTAAATAATAAAGTTTTAACTTAAGGCTAATAATAGAAATAAATTAGAAATAGTAAATAAAATTTGTTTTTAAAAATTGTAATTTAATCTTTAAATAATTAGTTTATCATTTCATAAAAATTTTAATTATTAATTTTGAATACTAGAATTTAATTTATAGTAATTAAACTTTTGTAAATAAGTTATGCATTCAAAATTCGATTTTAAAACTTAAATTTAAAAAATAGTAAAATTTAAGTCTTAATTTAAAAAATAAATAAAGACAAAAAATTTTCAAATCATAACACATCACTAATGATTTATAATTTTAATAATAGCAAAAATATTACGTTAACTACAGTACAGTACAGACTCTGTACTACAGAGTATAATATAATATTAATATTACTGTAAAGGTATTAATATATACTCATTATTAATATAATACATTGTAATACACTATAGATTATAGAGATGTTTGAGAGTGAGAGTAGAGTAGAGTAGAGTAGAGTAGAGTAGAGGTGTTTTGAGATTTATTAGCGATCGAGTGATTGCTTTATACAGTATTAGTGTTTGATTTATGAAATGATTTATTATATTATAATTAGAGACCAATTACTTAGTTATCTATGATTTGTATTCATTTGTATCGATAGTCTCGACAATCAATAGACAACAGACAACAAACAACAGACAATATCACTGTATTGTCAGTTAATATCAATCTTTGCCATCACTTGACTCTCATTGAAGATCTTCCGAAAGCATTAAATGATTTGTCTTTTTGTATGTTTTGATCATTTGATACAATAGTTTATCTAAAATGAAGACAATATTAAGAGATTTATTGTCAAACATGACGTTAATGATAGTGTTGTTGGTGTTTGTGGTGATGCCATGTGTTTGGTCGTGCAATGAGGCGGTCTGCGGGTCAATAGTGTCCAAATGTATGTTAACACAGAGCTGCAGATGCGGTGACTTCAAACAGAACCGCAGCTGTAGTCAGGACTGCTTCCGATGTCTGGATTATCTATACCACGACTGCTGTTCATGTGTTGGTACGGATAGTAACCAAATAATAATAATAATGAATATATTTATGATATTAAATGACATTATTTTTACAGAATTGTGTCCGAAGGCCAACATAAGTGACACATCATTGGCGTCTAAATCTCATGTCGAAGATCTTCCAGAAGCACAGCCGGACTTATTTGCTGTTCTGACAGAAGAAAAAGATCATTTACTTCGTTGGACTTCTTATTCAATGCCATTAAAAGTGGTGATAATGGAACCAATGACTCCACAAAAATCCAATACTAATACAGACGGTTCCGATGGTATTGATGTAGAAAAAGATGTAGCCGTCAACTGTACCGTCGCCTATATGTCTCAATGTATGTCTTGGAACAAATGCAAGTCTTCGTGTACATCAATGGGTTCCGCTTCTTATCGTTGGTTTCATGACGGCTGTTGTCAATGTGTCGGCACTTATTGTATTAATTATGGTATCAATGAGTCTAAGTGTCTTCAATGTCCATTAACACCCGATAACAGCGTGAATCAAGAGATTGATGAACGCGATCCCAATACACCAACTGATGAACGCATTTCTGACTATGATATCGATGATAATACTGGACATAATCGCAACAATGAAGAGGAAACGCATAATACATTAAACGAAAAATCAGATAAAAATGATAAACAAAATAATAAGAAAACTGAAGAAAATCTCAATGAAAATGGAAGTAAAGGACTTTAAAATTATTCATTCATTGATTATATTCATAACATTTGTTAATTAATGTCACAATTAATATAACAATCAAAACATTCCATATATTCTCATAATTTGCTTAAATATATATTCATTTTTTGCCATAATTTTCATTAATTATAAAATACTTATTGCAATACGCTTTTAAATATACAATAATTGCAATCATTATAATAACACTCATATCGGTTGTGAATTAGTGTTTATTTAGTGCCTTATCTGCAAATCATGACATTTTAATATATTTTTGTCTCATTTTTACCATGATACAATTAATATTTTTAACTGTTTATATTTTAGTTTATGTTAATATCTACTTACCTGTACTGAACACTGTGTATATTATAGATATTTATGATACAGCATTATAACAACAATGAAAACAAATATGATATGATATGTGCCTAAATATATTTTAATAATTTTATCTTTTAAAATAAACATTGTATACAATACTTGTTTTAAATAAATTTTTAACATTAAACTATCAGTTGTTTATTTAGTATTGCATTACACTTGAAAAGTATTACAATTGATGCACCATTTGGTGAAATCCTATACTTTTATGTAAATAAATAATATTTAAGAAAATATGTAATTTAAAACTACTGGTAATAAATTTCAAATAAAAATTTTCAATAAGTGTAATAAAACTTAACGAATTGATTAATAGTAAAATTAAATAACATTGTATTAATAGTTTATAATTATTGTAACCATTTTATTATATCGTAATTTAATTTTTTTTATTATGTACTCAGAAATGGTTTATTAAAATCTATAAAATTTTTTTTATAATTATCATAATATACTATAACTTTTGATTTTAAATCATTTTATTCTTGTTTTTGGCTTATTTTTAAAGCCTTTTCTCAATTCTTCTCTTTTAGCGAGTCTTTCGCGAAGAACTTTATTAAGTTGTGAACGACTTTTGATTACCTGTGCTTTGATCTGTTGTCCAGAAGGCACGGGTTTTATTAGACTTCTCTTAACGAAGAACTCAATGGTATAATAAGAGACACCAACAGTTGTGGCATATCTGGCGGGAGTCACCAACTTATACATTATTAGAGCAATGGCTATATAACCAGCAGTTCCCGCATTTGTATCAGTATTTAGCACTTTATATACAAAGTCGGGAAGCGGTAGTTTCTCGGCGTACGGCCGGATAAACTCCAGTATTGGCTTCACATCAAAACCACTGTTTTCAATATGACATCAAATATCAGTATTATTGCATCACTTAATCAATCAATAATACAATTAAGACAAACCTCTTAGCAATGATATAACAGCTGCCAAACCATAAGAGTCCAGTCACACAATGGACAGGGATTGAGATATACCAGTATTTGACAAACATATACTTGAGTTTCTTAGTTAAAGACAATTGTTTCATTTGTTTCCATTCATTTATTTCATCCACTTTTGGCACTTCTTTAACATTCTTAACAATTGTTTGTTTAGTATCTTTGACAGCATTTCTGCATATTTGAGCCAATCTTTGATTTTGTGAAAACGTTGTCCAAAGACATCGTTTCGTGTGATTATAGTTTACAATTGACTTCACAGATGATATCAATTGTGGTGTACTTCTTGTGGACCAAACATTCAGTGATCGGCTATAAGTCATTTGTGTCCATTTGTTATGACTTTTAACACATTTAATACAAATGTCACGACATTTGACTGATTGTAAAAAACAGAAAGACTTTTGACACAAATTAAACATAATATCAATCAATCAATTAATTACAAAACAAAACAAATTAAATCAATAGTAATATTAGTTTTAAAGATAACAAAAATATTACAAAATATAATATATTTATATTCATTAAAGTACTCAAAACATGTGATTCATTGATATTAATATTATTGTAAATTTAATACAGTATTGTATTGTATTGTATTGTATAGCGATATCTATAGTATTCTATACATAAAATACTGATAAACTACAGTATAATGTAATAAAGCATTGTATTGACAGAGTCTTAAACAGCGGCGACGATAGCGGCGATGCTTTTAATTTCAATTATCTGGTCAACAATACGTTATATTTAAAAGTGACCAAGGGCAATTTGTAGATAATTTTAAACTAAACAAGATTGTAATTGATTATTAATTAACTAATTGTATGATTGGGCAGATAATTGCAGTCGACTATCATTTTTATAATTTTTTTTAACAGTCCACTGTATATTATATGGCCAATCATACAATTAATTAAAAAATGACCAATTACAATCTTATTTAGTTTAAAATTATAAACAACATTGCCCTTGGTCACTTTTAAATTCAATGTATTGTTGACCAGATAATTGAAATTAATAGCATCGCCGCTGTTTAAGACTCTCTCTTGTATTGATCGGAAGTATTGTATTATTAATACTGTATAATACAGTGTATATTATAAGCGCATAAATTTTTTATATTAATTTATATACTTTTAATTCAATTCAATTTTTACAAATTATTTAATATATATTTGTTAAGATTATATAAACACATATTTTTTATATTACTAATTAAATGTTTATTTCAAAATTATACTTTTAAATAACAAAACATAATACAAAAATATTTAAAAAACAAATTATAAAATAAAAATAAAATATTGTATAATTTATATATAAAAATGTAAACATAAATAATTATATGACATAATATTATTGATTAGTTGATTATTATTATTATTGAATATATGATAATTGATATAAATATTTAAAAATTATGGTAATAACTATTCAACTGAGTTGTTTCAAACAACCGTAAACTGTGTCCACAAGTAGTTCATATCGTTGTCTCTCTTCATCCAAATGTGTTTTCAGTTGTAATAAATTCTAAAATAATTAAATTTAAATTAATTTCTAAAATAAATTAAATATAAATAACAAAACAAACCGCCATTTGTTGACTTAATTTTTCCGATTCTTTATTAATATTACGAAATTTATTCTTGAGTTCAATACTTCTTTTATAAAGAAATTGTTTTTCTTGCTTTCGTTCTGAATGTAATTATTTATCAATTAATATAATAAACAAATAATAAAAATAAAATTACAAACCATTAGAGTATCTGTCGTATGACTCCATAATGGCCTCAATTCCGGGCCATTCCTGTAAACAATCGCTGGAAAAACACTCTGAATTGTCTTCTTCTTCATCTTCTTTAGAAATGTTATTTAACTCATGTTTTGTGTAACTCTTTTGCTGTTGTTTTGCTGCAGTTTCTAAAAGAACCGATTCGTGAAATTCTTGTACAAAATCTTTATTCAACTGATTATTATGAAGTGATGATCCATTTGATTGATTGCCGAATAAAACAACTTTCCTTTGAGAGCGACTAGAATTCAATCTATTGGTATTTGAACTCATATTAATTGGTTTTGTCGTCTGAATGCTAAAACCATTATAATTACAACGATTATCACTTGAATTAAAACAAAATAACCACTTATTTAATGTTTCTTCAGTCAAATTGTTCAACAATTTAGTCCAACATTTGTTTTCTTTAATTCTCATTAATCTTTCATTCAATATTCCGTTCCACAAGAATTCAATCTCTCTTTGTTTTTCATGAGATTTTTGTTCACATAAACCAATTCCTGACATAAAATCTAATTTCAATTCAATATTTCTTTCTTCAGATACTATTGAATTGGGAAGTGTTTGACTGGCTTTCAAGACATCCGTGTCTTCTTTATTATCGACAAATGACTTCATAATATCAATTGTATCTACAATTCTATTGTCTTCTTCTTCTTCGACTTTTTCATTTAATTCGTTTTCTGGTGAAATTTGATTCAATAATTTTCTTCGTTTAATATATTTATTGAATTCAATTTGATTTTTCCTTTTATGTGTTGTTAAACTAAAAACGTTTAAAAAATGCATTTTTTGTGGACTTTCATCCAATTCTAACGGTAAACGTTTGGTTAGAATTATGTTATATTTATCTTCACTATCATCACTATAATCTGCTTCTGAATCGGAATCACTATCGAAATCATTATCTAAGTATTTAATTTGTCTTTTTTGCTTCAATTTGATTTCATCCAAATCAAGTTTAGACACCATTTTTTCTTCGACTGATTTTTGTTTAACAAGATTTTCAATACTATTAAAATCAGTGATACTTTCATTTCTTAAATTATTGCAATTCTTTGATAAATCAATTGTTAACACAGTTTTGTTTGAATTGCTTAACGTTCTTAACTCTAGATCTCTATTTGTATGATTGACTTCATTTGAAGATAAATGTTTAATAGTCGACACAATCTTTTCATTTCTTTTATTGTTTAGTCCATTATTTGATAAAATATCAAAATCGACGCCTTTTTTACTACAGCTATCGATTACAGAATTTTTAATTTCGGAATTAGAAAAAATTACATTTGATTTTTGATTGTGATTTATCGTATAATTAGTAGGTTTATCGTTATTATCTTTATGCTGCCATAAACTTTGTTTATCTGTATGTAATGCACTTACATTTTCATTACAATTTGAAGACAAATTTAACGGTTTGTTAGCTGAAGCAAAATCATTATTATCTTTTTTGTCCATCAAATTGACTGAATGTAAACTAATATCTAACGGTTCTTTAGGTAATCCACTCACAAAAGATGCGTTTAATGAATGATTAGAAACATTAACTTCACTTCTATTATGACTCTCAACAATCAGTCTTTCATTTCTCATTTTTTCTAACGAATGGTGCAATTGATGTGGACTTTCAATAATAGGATGAACGGGTGGACTATTAATATTAATTTCATTGGGTTTATAAGCACTTTGAGATAGTGTATGATTTAGAAGATGATGTCTATCTTCAGCAATAATACGTTCAGTCTGTGAATTAAGACTATCTGAATAACGCATCAAATTGAACGGCACAGACGATACTGCGCCACTTCCAGCAACTGGAAGCCATGGTGACGAAGAACTATGAAATTGACCCCTTGTAAGTAAATTAATTCTGTCCATATATGAAGCATATGAAACATTTGGTGATGGACTGGGATGTGATAGAGGTATTGAACCCGAAATTGGAGATAAATGATGAGGTAATGGTGGGTAAGGAATAGCAAGTCCTTCATAAGGCATCAAATGTGGCGGCAGTTGTGATGACGTAAGAGATGATTGCAAATTCTCTTCAAGACTTCTGTACGGTTGAAAACCAGACCCATTGTATTGTTGTGACACACGATTACTACCAATATTGTCATCGATTATATGTGTAGGAGGTCTACAAAAATTTCATAATAATATAAATAAACCAATTTTCAATATATAATTATACTATTCTATAAACTAACCTAATTATTGGTGATTTTCTATGCAAACTATTATAAATTGACTCTTTTGGTATCTCTGTATGTCCTCTATGTTCATAATATTGATGTGAATCCCTTTTCCTTAAATTATCATTTCTGTCGACCTGATGAGCCGGTATGGGAGCAATGGTGACAATTGGTGGGTTTGGGGCTACTAATCCATTCATATATCGCCTATTATGATATATAATATTATAACAATAAATATTACGGTAATACAAAAGTAAAGTACTCTATATAATATACAACATTAAATTACCCGATCGATTGATTGTGTGCTCCAATGTTTGAAAGTGATGACTGAAAGGGCGATAAACTGCTATTTTTCATACTATTTGATGAATGATTCATAGATAAGCATAATGCTGAAGATCGTTGCAATGAATCACTGGTTCCGGCCATCGGAGCAATCGTAACAATTGGTGGCGATGGGCGCATATAAGTGCTCTGAAATGGACTTCGAAATGCGGCTAAATTGGATTCATTGTTTAAATGCAAGGAACTGTTAGCACCATTCTGTTCAGACTCGGAACTATTTATCGGATCAAATGGATTGGACTGTTTGGCCAGTTTTCGAAGAGCTGACGCAAATGATGAACTTCTGTTTATCGCATTGGAATCAAGTAAACCAAGTGTTGCATTCATTAACAGTGTTGATGGTGGTCCTGGACCTGTTACCGATGCTGGTGATATTGGTGACATTGCATCGTTCATCTAAATTTCATTATTAAATATTATAAAATTAATTATAATTTTGGTCTTGACTTCAATATTAAATTACCGGTAATTTATGAACAATAGTTGAATGTCCATCAGTGATGCCTTTATTAGTTGGTGCGACAGTAATCCAATTATATTTTCTCATTTTGATCGGCACTTTCATCCTTTCATAATCTTTCCATTGAAGTGTTAATGAATCAAAACATGTGAGACAGGCCACCACATTCTCGCCATCAGATAATGTTAAGGCACCTGAAGATACTGTATAATTAGATTTATTATTGACATATAATATCATCGAATCATAACATACCAGAAGGTCTTGAGTGCTCCAATAAAAACGGGAAATATTTGAGAGCAATAGACCTAACCTTTTGACGAAATGTGGTGACACCGCATATAAAGCAAATATAATCTCTACAATTATAGGTTCTTCTCATAGGATCCCTGTCCTCAATAGCAGTCGATGCGTTATATGCAATCCATTGACTAATCAATGAGTGATAACAAAAAGTACAGACCAGAGCACAGTCCTGATCTTTGTCTCTCTCATCACATGCTTTGCTAGTTATAGCAATCAATTTCTTGAGAAATGGAAAAAACGGATAAATTCCTAATTCATGATTAATAAGTGGAGGAATTCTTGGACTGGAATATAGCCGAAATGTGTGTCCGGCCGGTGAATACTCGTTACAAATCAAACAATTAATTGACTTGAGTTGTGGTCCACCCAATGCTGACAATATGTCATCCATTGGACCACAGATTTTAGTTCTCGAAGAGTTGGCCACCGAATACGTGTTGTGCGTCGGCGTCGTTACGGTTGTCAGTAAAGGTTCGCTAATAAACTGCTGAAGAGGTGGTGGAGACGACACTTGAACTTTAAGTAGCGGTGGAGATGGAGGTCGCAATTCGGTTGGCAGACGACCGGAACCAATGCCAGCCGCGGCAGACATCATGAGATAATGGCGTTGGCCTTGAGGTATAAGTTGCGGTTCCGACGCCTCCAGAGATTGCATTGTCAATCGCGTTAAGTCACACATTTGTCACGTAGAGGACGGCTTCTGTGCCGACACTGAGCTGTAAATGTCACCAAATGGTCACTATTATGGACATTGTCTTCAATTCATTGTCTCAATTGTGTTCACTTGTGATCTCCATCTTTGTCTGCCTTTGTTTGCTAAACAATAATATCGTTCAATACTAACAACAATACAGTACTATATATTCAATACATTTATTCATTGGTTTTGACAACAATTTCGTCAATAAATGTCAACAATGTTTGCAAACAAACACCACATGATATCACATGTCATATGCATTGCGTTTGTCTTACAATTGATGAGAAAATGACAGACACTTCTGTGGATCAGTTTGTTTCACATCATTTAAAGCTCATTGATTTGGATCACAACGAAGAAATCAATCAAAACAAGTGAGTTATTATAATCACAAATGAGTTTATTGTCACAAATTAATTGATGAAATTATTAGGTCATATCAACAAAAACTATCACTAATTGATCTCCAGAATCGTGGCATTTGTCTCATTAAATTATGTAAACAATCGCTAAGAACTGGTCTCTATGGCCGCACAGTTGTTACGTTTGGTCCCATGTGGTCATCACAAGAGTTGCCTTCAAATACTATATCAAACGGTGATATTGTTGGCGTATCCGTCGGTAAAGACTCTTTAATCATTGCCTCCGGAGTTGTGCTTAAAATTATTGACACGAAATCAATTGACGTGGCTTTTGATAGAGATATTAATGAAATTAATGAATACGAAGATAACCAACGATTTAATTTGATTAAACTGTCTAACGATGTGACTCATAGAAGACTTAAAACATCTCTTAATGAACTGAATAAGAGTTGTCATCATTTGAAGAATGTCTTATTTGGCGAAACAACGATCACTGATAGTAGTGATGAAGTCTATAACGAAATAAATTATTTTAATTCAAATTTGAATGCATCACAAAAAGATAGCATTGAATTTGCTTTAAAGCAGAAAGAAGTGGCCATAATTCATGGCCCGCCGGGCACTGGAAAAACAACTGTTTTGATTGAATTCATTATGCAATGCGTCTGTAACTATGGACTCAAAGTTTTGGCAACCGGTCCATCAAATGTAAGCGTTGATAATTTGGTGGAAAAGTTAATTCAGACAAACATTGAACGAGATATTGTCCGACTCGGACATCCCGGCCGTTCTGTCTCTCATTTGCATAAATACTCTTTAGATGCCGTCATCGGACAATCAGATGATTATAAGATAGTATGTGATATGAGAGAAGAGCTACAAGAGTTGGTTACTAAACGTAGCAATTCTTACAACGAAATGAAAATTTTAAGAAAAGATCTCAAACAGAGAGAGAGAAAAGTCATAAAACAAATTCTAGAAAAGAAAAAAGTAGTTTTAACAACACTTACTACCGGTTCTCCCGACGGTGTCTTAAGGTATGATTGACTGTACAAACCATTAATAACTTAAATTGATTTTTTGTCTATAATTAGAAATATACTAAATTCTGATGGATTTTATCCTTTTGATGTCATTGTGATTGATGAGTGTTCACAGGCTATAGAAGCTTCGGCGTGGATTGTCTTGAATTGTGGTCATAAATGTGTATTAGCTGGAGATCACTGTCAATTACCACCGACTATAATATCCGAAAAGGCAGCAAATGGTGGTTTAAATATTTCATTAATGGAAAGATTAATAAAACAATTTAATGACAAACAAATTGTACGAATGCTTGACATTCAATACAGAATGAACGACAAAATAATGAATTGGTCTTCAGAGCAATTTTATAACAATAAATTAAAAGCTAACCAATTGGTTAAAGATCACAATCTCAATGATTTAATTAAAGCATCAAATATTCCTCCTCTAGTATTGATAGATACTGCAGGATGTGATATGAATGAACTCGATCTCGAAGATGAAGAATCAAAAGGAAATGAATATGAAGCCGATATCGTCTTAATTTATGTCAAACGTCTTATTCAAATAGGATTCTCTCAGACATCAATTGGTATAATAAGCCCATATAACCTACAGGTGCAGCTTATTAGGACACGACTTCATGAGTATCCAAAAATTGAAATCAAATCAGTGGATGGATTTCAAGGTCGAGAAAAAGAAATAATTATTTTGTCTTTTGTTCGATCAAATGACTTGCAAGACATTGGTTTCCTTTCTGAAAGAAGACGTATTAATGTTGCCATAACTCGTGCCAAACGACACGTAACACTGATCTGTGATTCTGATACTGTATGTAATGATTCAACAATAAAGTCATTGATTGATCACTTCCATGAAAATGGAGATATTATTTGTGCTCAAGAATTTAAATCAGAAATGCAAAATATAACACAATTTTCGAGACCATTAAATTTAAGGTTTAAAACAAATGAAATTAATAAATCAAATCAAAAAAGCATTCAAAAACAAAATTCTAAACAAAGTATCGGTAATAAAAAAAATGAGAAATCAATAATTACATCAAATGTTAAGTCAATTATTCAGACAAATATTAATGAGAAGTTGGATGAGAAAAGAGAGTCAGAAATTGAAATGAAAATTCAATTATTTATTTCAGACAAATCTTCTAATGAATTATCATTTCCATCTCATTTGTCTTCTTATGAGAGACTTTTGGTTCACAAAATTGCCGAAACATTTCAATTAATTCACGAAAGTGTTGGCGAAGGAAATGAAAGGTATATTATTGTTAAGAAAAAGTTGTCGAATAAAAGTCTAAATAAAGAACATAAAACTGAAAAGTCTATTGTCGTCGCGGATCAACTTAATTGTGATTTAAATGCAACAATAGCTAGTGGTAGTAGTGAACAAAAGAATAATTGGATTAAAAAAGATAGTGTAAAGTCTAAGACAACAAACAATGAAAGTGAGAAAAAAGCAAAGAAAAACAATAAAAGTAGTGATTTAAAGAAAAATATTAATTTGTCAGCTGATGATGACTTGGATCAAATGATAGCCAAAGTGAAATTAGCTGACAATACTTGTAATTATTTAAATTGTAAGACGAATATAGTTGTTTTAGGACAAAAATGTCAGTTTTGTGGCCACAGATTCTGTTTAAAGCATGCAATGCCTGAAATTCACGGATGTGGGGATAAAATCAGAGATTTTGTCCGATCAAACACTAGAAAAGATGGTATCGTTTATCCCGGTTCAGGAGTTATACAAAGAAAACCATTGGATTCACATAAACGACAATATTTGGAGAAGAAATTGAACGATAAATTAAATGAAAAATCTAAAGAACGCAAAACTAAGACAAAATCAGAGAAATGATTCATATAATTGTTAATAACTATTAGTTGACTTTATGTTTATTAATATATTTATAAAATATGAAAATTTAACGAAATAAATATTTTTTACATAAAATACTGATGAAAATCTTCATATATCACAGAATCTCAGATTTTTGTAGTGGTTTAGGCCTTTCAGACTAGTTTTGAATAAATGCTTTATGTTTGCAATTGATATACATTTATATGCATTTCATTGATATTTAGTTTGCTATCAATTGAGATATCGGACTCTTTTTCATAAAGTGCTGATAAACTCATGCGACTAATCAATGGTTGCAAAGATTTGGTGACTATCGGTGAGAAATGTTTAGTCAGTTCAATAGCCGAAGCATTGGCACACTTAGCTTCACAGGAAACGGCCCATCGGTGCAAAAAGAGGTTATATTTGTTACCTTTCGAGGAACGTCTTAAATTCATGAGATGTATATTACATGGAAATGGATTGTGTAAAAAGTAAACCTCACTTAATGTACTTTTAAAAGTGCTGTACATTAGTACGGGTGGTGTCAACAACTTCTGTAATTCTAATTGTGATTCTAATGTTGGTTTCAATTCTTGTGGGACACGCGATGGTACTGTTGATACTCTTTCTAATAATAATTTAAATGTCTCTCGAGTTTTCCTATTATCGACAACTCCTTGATTAAGACCTCTTTGATCATCTTGAAGAAGACGTCTGTCCAAAAAGATGTCGACCCAACCCGATCGAGGACTCGTCGTTCCCAATGGTTGTCCCGATAAGACACTTAACCGATGCATTTCATCTTCAATATAAACAGTGGTAGGCATTGGATAAATATTTCCTTGGAGTGGGATTTTAGTATAACGTTTGCGTTTAATCATTTGAAACCCATTGAGATCCGTATAAAAAATATCACTGTTTTCTATATCACTAAAGAATCGGATCATTAGTTCTTTATTTCCAAACAGAGAATGAGTTATTAGAAATTCATTTTCCATTTCAATATATTTCTTGTCTTTAATTACAGCGATTTGATGTCTAATAGGTATTGGTTTTTCAATGATTGTCTCAAATTTGGTCAAAATATTTCCTTTAGTAATCCTAATCTTGCAATTGCTGTAAACCAAGTCCTGAGCGTTTTCATTGTCGGGAAGAAATATATAAGCGCCACTCTTCTGAACTTTTTTACTTCCGGGTCGAGTACCGTATGTCATGAATTTCATCCTCAAGTTTATTGTCATGTCATTGATAGTCATCTGACGGAGCATACCGTCAGCGCCGCTAAATTTAAGTCCAATGTTATCGGTTTCTAAGTGTATTTCAGTGGGTGTTTCATCATATGATATAATGTTTTCGGTTATATTATTGTATTTATTATCGAAATTATATAAAGTGACAGCACTTGGCGTCCGATGACTTTTAATATCATTACAAACTTCAACACTATATTGAACTAAACTCAATGCCTTCATATGAATTGTAAAACAGGCCTCAATTCTATCATCTAATAGCTTATCCATTGCCCAAACTTTGTTAATTTGAATGTTTTCCACTTGAATGCCATCATTATCTTTAATACACCAATTATTCAAAATAGGTTTCACATGAATACAAACCAATTCATGCGTTGAGAATCCCAATGAATTAAATATTACAAAATACCTAAAAATTTAATTAATTCATAAAAATAAACAAAAATTAATTAATATAAATGAAATACAAATAAATATTATATTATATATATTATATACCAAATCTGATCGTTGTTATCAATTGTGAATACAGTCTTAACGGATGGTGTGTATGAATTGGGAAGTTTATCAACAAATTTTAGTTCATTTAAATCATTGGTCTCGTAATGCAATAAATTTATTATGGATTGGGCACTGATTTTCTCCAAATTTTCCAATGATTTAAACATACGATTAGCGTAATCATTGACAACAACATCTTTAGCTGTTCCAGTGATACCGTCGTGATGTTGAAATAGTGCTAAATTTTGTCGCGCGTAGACAAACATTGGTAACAATGCGTTAAGTCGATCAATAGAGTGATGATTAACAATCGTTGCCAATGAATAGATAATTTCAGTACTTCTCAGATGAGACTCTAAAATACGTTCAAAACGCTTATAAAAAGGCTTTGAGGTATAATATCCGCTCCAATAGTGATCATCTCTATCACTATATGTAAAGAAATCACCCGTAAGTGTTGGCAAATTAGTTTGTCCTTTAAGTGATTCAAAATAATCACTTAATGTCGCAAATTTTATCTATTATTACAAAATGATATAATTTACTATTCGCTCAATTATTGATAAATTATTTAAATTAATTCCAGAAATACATACTTCAACATTGAATTCAGGTCTTGAATTCATATAATCAAACAATTTTTGATAATTTTCTGACTGTAAATCCCATTCATCAGTTTTATCAAAACGAAAATCATCCCCTATTTATATATAATATTAAATATTGTTGTTTAGTAATAATAATTATTATTTTATTAAATGTCTTTAATTATTCCAAACCTATGGGAACTAAAAGTGATTTTGTTTTATAGAGCATAGATTTTTTTCGGTACTGATCCAAAAGTAAAAGAGATCTAAGTTTAAAATAAACAAAATTAGTTGAAATACATATTAAATAAATATAAATGTGGCAAACCTTTGATGAATATTATTATCGGTAATCTTCTGTGGCGGTACTTTCCACGGACATTTGACACGTGATGGCGGCAATCGTTTGAAGTCAAATTGACAACAAATTTTCGGATCGGGACCACACGTGTGCGGGACATCATATGAATAGAAGGGCTCGATGTGCGCTACTATATCATTGTCGACATTACTTTCCCAGGATTGTCGCCAACGAAACTCAAGTTGTTTATTATAAGCTAAATATTTTTTGATAGCGTAATGCACTCTTTGAACTACCATTCCTTCAAATCCCATTTCTTTAAGAATAAAAGCCATTGTAGGTGAGAGACCAAATGGATCAATAGCCCAACCATATTTAGGTTTAACTCCCAAATGATCCATAAGCCATTCGTGTCCCTCAACTAATTGTGTAATTATTGCAAAATAGTGAACATTTGCCTCATCATTCATAACCCACCCGCCGGTAACGATCTCAAGTTGACCGGATTCTGCCAATTGCTTCATCTTAACCCTCATTTGGTCATCTTTGACTGTCTCCCACCACGCGCTTAAATAACTAGTTTCGGCCCAAATAAACTTAAGTTTTGTATTTTGACTCAATTTATTTACTGAATTATCTAAAATATGTTTGGTTTGTTCTCTAAAATATCTGTCAAATGTTTTAATCCAACCTGGGTCATTGTGACTATTGATAATATAAATAATAATAATAATACAATAAGACAATATGTTTAATATAAAATATACAATTAATTAGACAACTAACTGCTTTACCTGTGCGGTACTACAAACACTTTCAATTTGTTTGCTTTAGTAAATGCCGTTTCATTAACTATGAGTTCCCAACCCTGTTTCCAAACTCCTCCATCCGTATTATCAAACTTAAGCTCTTCATAGACATCACTTAGCGATATATTTGATTTAAATACTTATAAAATTTAAAATAAAATCATTTAATTAACAATAATTAAAATGACACTAAAAATTATACCATTTTCTGACTTTTTCGACAAACAGATAGAGTTATCGCGAATGTAGTCTAATATTTCAATTTCTTCATTTTGTTTGTTAATGTTTTCATTAATATCTTTAAATACTTTATCTAATTTATAGCGAATACTTTTCAATAGATCTCTATTCTGTTTAAGACCTAATTCAAGACCAGACAATCTGTAATTGATTTGTTTTTCTATATTATCATTATTATTGACAATAGTTTTCGGTTTAATTTCAAGTTCATCGATAAGTACAAAGTAATAGACAAATGCAGTAAAAAGTGAAATAAGAAAAACCAAAATAATAGTCAAATATAGAGAACGCGTTGACTTTTTTTTGGTCAATCGGTACATCTTTTCCAATGGACAACAACCACAACCATTACAATCACATATAACACCTATTTTGTCAAAACAATAGAAATATCAATTAGTTTTTATTGCCGAACATACCTATAAATTATAGTATAAATATAGGCTATATTATAGACTATATAACTTTTACTTAAGCTATAAAGATTACATTATATACATAAAAATATTTATATTATAAATAGAAAATCATGATTGACTCGACAATTATTATTTTAAAAACATTATACAGGTATTAGCTATTTAATTAATACACAAATTGTGTAAACTTTTTACAAAAAACAAAATAATTTTTAAATAAAATACAACTAATTATATGAAATGGCATTACTATAGATTCTGTGTATTATATAATTTATACTAAACTATTGTAAATGATAAAATACAGCTAATATTGTATATTGACAATCATCAAGATTTTTAATATTTATTTATATAAATTGAGTTTAAAAACATTGGTACCAGGAACAATCTATGCTTATAATATTATATTATTTTATGTATAATATAATAACAAAATAATAATATATCAGAAATAATATAACAAATGATCAATAATAAGAAATAACAGATAAACATATATTTTATTAAAATATTATAAAACATATAAACACTAGAGTTCTTATTCAATGCAATACATAATTTTGATAAAATCACATAACTATCAGTTTTTATAAAAAAAAGTTATATAATGCAACAAAAATAGTGTATTAATAAGTGGGCCGTAAAATAATTTTTATACAATAATTATTGTAATATACAGTAATTTACATTATTCTCGATTTCCTATAGTAATGACAAATATACTTTAGTTCATAACATTTGATAACTCTAATGATTATAACATATTGAATACACAAAAATACAATATATAATATTAAATTTCATATACTTTATATTATACATTAAATGTATATTTTGTAACAATACACATAATATAAAATATTTTGAAGGTTGTATCGACATTATAAGTAAAGTATTTTATGCAAATAATTAGCAATAAATATAAACTAAATACTTAATTTATATAAACCTAATAATTTAAAATGCTATTTTAAAAAAGCAAAATAATTTTAATCAACTTTAAAAACAAAGGACATGAATGGTAAACATAACGGTTATTAATATACAGTTTACTATTTGTTATTTTCATAAAATTATTAAAGTAAGTGTCGAATAAATTGTTAATTTAATTTTTAATTAACAGGTTTTATATTTTTACATACAATTAAATATAATGAATATATTATAAAAATTACATCATCAAAGAAATGCTAATTATTATATGAAATACTGAAATATCAAACTTTAATAAACTTTAAAATAATATATTAGTAAAATGTTAAAATTAGAAAATTATTTAAAGATAATTTTGTTTACTACAAAAATTATTTATTTTATTGATAAAATATTATTTATTAATAAATAAAGCATAATTTATTTTCAATGACAAAATAAAAATTATTTAATAGTAAATTTAATACTGTGACTATTTTTTTTATTAACTACAGTAATAATAAAATTTATTTATAATAAAATTCATTAAAACATAAGTAACCAATAGTTTGTTTAAAATTTTGAAATTCAAATAAATATGAAATAAATTTAACAATCTCATTTTTAATTTATTTTAATTATTAACTAAATTTAAAATAAATGTTTATCAATATTATTATTACATAATTATAATTATTATCAAAAGCAAACTGCAAACTACTGTATATAACAAATAGTAATAATTAAAACATACTGATATATTGATGATAAAAATTATTACAAATATTATAATTGTAATAAATTTTGTATTAAAATTGATTATTAATTAATTTCGATGTTTTCTACAATATATATATCATATTAATACCTAATTAACAAACTATTATTTTTGTCATTTATAACACATTTAACAATTGGGTCATTCATTCATATTGTTTTAAATTGTAATACAATTATATTAAATAAAGAAAATATTTATAAAAACTGATCGCATCATTGATTAAGTCATAACTTAATATCATTTAGTTTGTATTGTTTGAAAAATGAGACCAACAATAGACATACACTAGACATACACTAATCATAATTTATTACAAATTATTATAATATCAACAATCAAATCAATTAATTTTATTTATCATATATACTATCACTGATCAGTGATCACTAACAGCATCAATGGTATCACCAAATGACTAGAAGATCATTGAGTGATATCTATTAATAAATGTGTCTTACCTTTGATGAGAAATATATCTAAAGAAAACACATCCAAACATATATACGACCAGAAAATGAGTCATCAATTGGTTGTTTAGTTTAATCAATCAAAAGACAAATCACTACAAAAAATCATTTAATTTTTAATCAATAGATCACTAAATATTGCAAATGTTTTTTATCACATCATTTACTCAATGCATGTCTAATATTAATATGCATTCAATCATTCAATGCAATGATCGGCAAAACTATGTAAACACTGTTTAGATGTAATGTATTATAAATACTGTATTTATGTGTTATATAACAAACATTTTACAGTTATTGATGACAACGCTATCTATGAGAAAGATTTGTCACAATTAGGGTTCGATTAAATTCTATCCCTCTATTTATTTAACAAAAGTTGATTATTTACCCAATCCATGGATCAGCAAATAAGGATAAGATATTGATTAACAATTATTCAAGAGATTACTATTCAGTCTCTTATATATCTCAATATTAAATGACTATTTTTAGAGAGAGAGAGAGAGAGAGAGAGAGAGAGAGAGAGAGAGAGAGAGAGAGAGAGAGAGATGCATATACAGTATAATATTTATTTGTATAACAAAAAATTATTTAATTTCAAAAATTAAAACATAATTCAATGCATAATTCAATAAGTATTTATCGGTAAGTGTTTGTCATTTTTATTATCCATATTTCGCGGTACCTTCTGATGAGTCCTCCGACGACAATAGACAACGAAATAGCTCTATAAAGGTATAAATTGTGTCGCAGTTCGTGACCAATGGTATCGTAAAAGTTTGTCTGTTAGGCAACAAAAATATAGAGGAAATTGCAATCATTACTAAAAATTTTTATATGAAATATATTTTTGCTTTCTAACTATGAAAGAGAGGAAAACTAAAACAATTTTTAATATTTTCCGCGAAAAATAGAGAGATTTTATCAGGGAATTTCCCTCCCTGGGAAAGTTTCCATAACTCTAGTCACATGAAGTCTAATGATTTAATTTTTTAAATTTTATTTTTACCAACTCATCAAAAGAGTCAATATCTGAATTCGTTATGTCTGTTTGTCTGACTGTCTGTCTATCAATCCGATTGTTAATCTAAACTACATATTCCCTTAGTTAGCATACGTAAGAATATATAATCTAATCTAATTGTGATTAATCCGAAAATTATCAAATAATAATACTTAACAAAAATTTTCAAAAGTATTTCAAACAATTTATTACTATTTAGTAAATTGAGAAATAAAACGATAAGATTTGAATAAAATAATTATCTTATTATAGTTCAGTGTAAATAGTATGGGGAGATATATGTATGCATTTGGGAGAGTATTCGGTTAGACAGGTATTCGACTGATTAGTTTATATTAAATATCTGATAAACCATACATTCAATTTAAAAATGACCAAGAACATAATTGTAGATAATAGTCAACTATTTTATGTCAATGTTATTATCTAGTTCGTTTTACAATCAAAATTGACCAATTACAATAATGTTGAGTATAATATTATCTACAATTATGTTCTTGGTCATTTTTAAATTGAATGTATGGTTTATCAGATATTTAATATAAACTAATCAGTCGAATACCTGTTTAACCGAATACTCTCCCAAATGTATACACATATCTATCCATAGTTTTTACATTATTATAGTTTATTCTATCAATAATTAATTTCATATAATATTGGAAAAACATTATTTCAATAATTATTGTCTATTTTAAGCTATTATAACAATGATGTTATTTTTATAATATACAGTATTAGTATTATAATTAAAAGCAATAATAATAACTAAAAGATTATAATTATTATAAACATTTTTTTTGTAAATTATAATAAAACCTAAGTTTTCAAACTCATTGAAACTTTCAATACATAAGTAATGTAACGATATATCGATAATCGTTTGAAAGTATCGATTGTCGGCTTTGTTTGCATTGAAATGAATGAAACGGATATTTAAAGCAAATTGAATGAAACGATTGATTTGATGACCATTTGGTGATAATTTGGTGGACAATGAATGAAATGTCGGAACTGTCAGACTGTGGCTCATCGGCCAGTCGTCATGAGAAGAGTTTGGGATTATTGACCACACGTTTCGTGAGTCTTCTTCAGGACGCAAAGGATGGCGTACTCGACCTCAAAATGGTTTGATTGACCACTCATTGCATTTGTTTTGATTTACATTTAAATGATTAAACCAATTGTCTATTTGATGATTAGGCCGCCGATACACTGGCTGTGCGACAAAAGCGCCGCATTTATGACATAACCAATGTTTTGGAGGGCATCGGTCTGATTGAGAAAAAGTCTAAGAACTCAATCCAATGGTTAGGTGCGGGTCCCGGATGTAACACAAGAGAGATTACCGACAAGTTATTGGCCCTAAAGGAAGAATTGGTTGAATTGGACGATAAAGAGATGGAATTGGATCAACACTTTTCTTGGGCCAAACAATCTATTCATAACATAACTGATGACTCATTTAATAAAAGTATGGCATTTCTTAATCATGAAGACGTCAACAATACTTTTGCCGAACAAATGTTATTAGTAATTCAAGCACCAGTTGGTACTCAACTAGAAGTACCACTTCCTGATGCGGATATATCTGATGATATGTCGCTTTATGATGCAAATGACATCGAAGGAAGGCCTACTAAGAGAAGAAAATATCAAATTCATCTTAAGTCGAGAAGTGGACCAATAAATGTAGTATTGGTTAATAAATGCGAAGACAATTATCAAAAAGAACTGATCCAAGTGTTGAATAACGATAACAATGAACTAACAACCACTATAGACACCATTCGCATCGATTCCTTTACTCCTGAAAAGAGTACAACAAGTTTTACCGAAATTAAATCTCCGATTAAACAAAACAATGAGAGTGTCATAACCGACAATACAAGTACTCACACTCATGGGACCAGATCTGCCACAAGAGCTGCTAACAAACCCAATGAAAAACTGAATGATTCGCAGTCACCCAAAAAAGTCTCTAAAAGAGGTATCAATACTAAGTCTACTAAAGAACCGGTGAGTAATAATTTAGTGAATGAAGATATTATCTCAGAGATGACGTCGACGCCACCTCTGCGGCAATTATCTCCTCGTAAAGCAGCGCAACACCACCTTTTTGTTACTACAACGAGGTCTCAAACACAGAAACTCGATGTCACTAAAGGAGCCAAAGGACCGGTAACTCAAACTAAAGAGCGGTCAACAAATAAATCTACAAAACAAATGACATCAAAATCGATAGAACTTGAAGTGAGCGAAGATTCAGATCATATCGACAATGTGTCTGAATATAACAAAACACGTATACCATTGGCACAGAAGCAGATTAAAGATATCGATGATATGGTTACTCCTGATGTTTTCGCACCACTTCTTAGACTTAGTCCACCACCAAATGGTCGCGACTATTGTTTTAATTTGGATAAAAATGAAGGCATATGTGATCTTTTCCTATAATATAAGCTTGAAATTCAATATTGATTTCCAATCATTTGTCAAATCATTGACATCACGACTACTATTATTCACAAATCAAGAAAATTCATCACAATTTCTAATTATATTTTGTTGAATACATTAAAAATGTTTTCAAAACTTGTTATTTAGTACTAATTATATATAATTATAATGACATTTCTAATAAAAAAAATTATTGGTTTATAAATCATGAAATATATTCAAGAAATGATAAAACAATTGTTTATTTCTGTTCCAATTCAATGAGGACTCCATTGCAGTCTTTCGGGTGCAGAAACACCACATCCTTGCCGTGCGCTCCAGTCTTCGGTGAATCAGATAATATACGAATTCCTTTTGCTTTGAGGTCATCGATGGCCGCATAGATGTCGTCCACTTCAAGACATATGTGATGAATGCCTCCACTCGTGTTCTTTTGTAGGAATGACCAAATGGGAGAATTTTGTCCACCAATTGGATCCAAGAGTTCAACTTTTGTGTTATTCAAGTTCACGAAGACTGTGTTAACGCCGTGTTCTGGCAGAACATTGGTGTCACTCGTGTTAAGTTTGAAGACATCTCTATAGAGTTGCGAACCATTATTCACATCATTGGTAGCGATGGCGATGTGATTCAAACCCAACACTTTCCACGGCCTACCTGTCCGTTGACTCAATTGTTTGACACCAATAATGCAATAGTTTTTCACTAATAAATGCTTCAATTTATGAGAATTTCTAAACAATGGTAACAGTGATGACATCGTGTGATATATCTATTGATTTTGAAGACTCTTTTGTTGTTGACTATTGTCTATCGTCTGTTGACTTTGTGGTCTGTCTTTTGTAAAGTATTGGTATATTTGTATCGACAGTATTCCGAAGCCAGCAATAGTAATGCCAATACACGTGTTGACCGCTAATCGATGGACTTTATTACCGATTTGTGACGGCTTCGGGTATTTGTACATCACTTGAATCACTTAATGATATTTGTGTTATAATTGCTATCTATTTATCATTCATTCACTGCTTTTATCTTAAAATCTGTTTAATTAAAGTATTTTTTTATAAACATTTCAATGTTTATGATTTCAATACATTTATGCACTGCTATTGCATATTGTGTTTAAAAATGTTTTCGACGATATTTATTGTATTCATTGATTGAATTATAAATAATTGGATTTAATTGACATTCAATTAATTATAAATTTATTTTAATGTAAAATTGTATTCAAACTATTAATAGCTACACGTAATAAAATGTGTATCAATAGTTAGCTCAAAACACGTGCAACAATACTTACGCGCTTACAGTTTATTATAAACAGTATATTTTATTTATTAATTTTTTATTTAATAAATTAAAATTATTAATAATCGCATTAAAAAGTAATTGTTTGCGTGACATAAATATGACACAAACATTGAATAAATTATATAGTAGTATAATAATAGATAATAAGTCATTAATACTAATACTAAATAATATTATGGAATATACAGTATATTAATACTGTATATTGAAATGATTATTATTAGAGTTAGAGTTATAAAAATTATTAACTTTAAAATATATGACAATTTTTATAGGATTAAAAAAATTTACGGTTATTAAATACTAAAATGTAAATTAACCATATTATTACTATCATAATAATTATATATATATATATATATATATATATATATATATAAATATTCAAATAGATAATTTTAAATATTAATTACTATTTAAATACTTTTATTTTTAATAGATACATATAATTTATTAATTGTCAAGTTTTTAAAATAAATATAATAAACATATGACATATCTTATTATCTTAACTTTAATAATAGTGTAATTCAATTGAAATATTATTAATCCTAGTATTTCCAGATTAAATTCTGAATTGAATTTTATTTAGAATTTTGTTTAGAATTTTGTTTAATCATATGTTATAACTTATAATTTATTATCTAATATTATATTTTTATTATTAAAATTAAAATACATTTATGTTGTGTTAAAATGTGCAATACATCAAACATTGACTTTAAGTAACCTATAAATTATATATTATAAGGAATCCATAGTAAATCATATGAGTGGACACAAGGCATCAAAAGAGGGAATCTAGAGATCAATGGATTAGAAAAGAAATTAACAAAAACTCATAAATTCTTAAATATAATAATATATAATATATTAATCAAATTTAAATCAAATTCATATATCATTTATTATATGCTCTTATCATTAATTGTTGAAACTTGTGTGAAACAAAATGTTTTCAAATAACTAATATTTTTTAAATAAAATAAACAATTAATTTAATAATATAAAACTACTAATATATTGATAACTACTTGATTTAATAAAATATTACTGTATATAAAACACTTATTTTACCAATTAATTACCTGTTGACCACTACATTTGTATTTTATATTTATAGACAAACAGATAAAAAAATTTCAAAATTTGTAATAATTATAAATAAATTAGACTTTTTTAAATAATTTTATTTATTGAATATAATTATTAAAAAATAAAATTAGTTATAATTAAAATATTAGTAAATAATGTCAAGGATGGGTTGGGTTAGTTAAGTTAGGATTGAATTTCAAGTGTTTTGAATTTAATGATAACTATCAGTAAAAATAATTTATGTGACATTTTAGTAATTTTACCCATAATTTGCTAAATTTGTGTGATTTTCAATTTACAGTCCATTTCGGTAATTATTACATCAAATGGCCTAATGTTTGCCGAAATTGTTAGCATTACTTACGTATATGTCTTATATTATACTGTATTATATAATAGAGAAATGTAGTGAAAGTGTTGTATAGTTTTGCCGGCTTTTTGATGCAATGCTTGAATGATATGCCGATAGAGTGTATGCATTAATAGACTGTATTGTAATATGTATTGTAATACTAATACAGTGTATATGCCTTCCAAGTGTCACAATATGATTGGTTACAACACTAATGACACACCCATTGAATATGTGAACCAATGAATGAGTTCCACGAATAGAGTTCTTCGACTTGTGTTTGAAGGCATTACTTGTATTTAAGTGAGACTTAAGTAGAGATCAATTGATTTGTTTGAACACTTCAACAGACAATTGATTTAATTGTCATTTAATTTACATTTAATTAATTGAAAGTATCGGACAAATCACTGGTCATCACAATGAAGATCTTAGGATTACTGGCAGTGGTTGTGGTACTCGTCGACAACAGTGTGGCTAAAGTATACTTCAAGGAAGACTTCTTAGACGCCGATTGGACCAAACGGTGGGTTCAGTCACAACACTCGGGCAAAGAGTTGGGTGAATTCAAGTGGACGGCCGGCAAGTTTTACGGAGACGCCGAAAAAGACAAAGGACTCCAGACCTCACAAGACGCCCGATTTTATGCCATTTCCGCCAAATTCCAGGACAACGCCTTAAACAATGAGGGAAAAGATATGATCATTCAATTCAGTGTCAAACACGAACAGAACATCGACTGCGGCGGCGGTTATGTCAAAGTGTTTGACTGCAGTCTTGACCAAACAGATCTTCACGGAGAGAGTCCCTATCAGATCATGTTTGGACCCGACATTTGCGGTCCGGGAACTAAAAAAGTTAGATATTTTGACGCATTGATGATAACTATAATTACTTTTGAATTTGTATTAATACTAATTTATTAATTATTAGGTTCACGTCATCTTCAACTATAAGGGAAAGAACTTATTGATTAACAAAGAGATCCGATGCAAGGATGACGTGTTCACTCACATCTATAGATTGGTCGTTAAGCCCGATAACACATACAAAGTCTTGATTGACGGAGAAGTTGTTGAAAAGGGAGAACTCGAGAAGGACTGGGCATTCTTAGAACCGAAGAAAATCAAAGATCCCGAAGCAAAGAAACCAGAGGACTGGGACGACAAGCCTAAGATTGATGACGAGACTGACACAAAGCCTGAAGATTGGGATCAACCCGAATATATTGCTGATCCCGATGCCACCAAACCCGAGGATTGGGACGATGAGATGGACGGCGAGTGGGAACCACCTCAGATCAATAATCCCGCGTACAAAGGGGAGTGGAAACCAAAACAAATCGATAATCCCAACTACAAGGGACCGTGGGTTCATCCAGAGATTGACAACCCGGCCTATGTCGCCGACACAGATCTTTACTTGCAAAAGGAGATCTGTGCCGTTGGTTTCGATTTATGGCAAGTCAAAGCCGGAACCATTTTCGACAATGTATTGGTCACAGATAGTGAACAAGAGGCCGATGAAGTTTCTGATGAAATAATGAACCAAACGGTTAAAAATGAAAAAGCAATGAAAGAAAAATTGGATGAAGAAGAGAAAAAGGTATTACTTTTCATTCAATAATTATTTTCTGTCTGAATGTCTATTCATGAAAATGATGTTTTTATTGGGACGTAATTCTGAAATTTGATGTCTTTTTTTACTTTATTTCTGATCTATACTTTTAATTACATTTGTAATTGTTTTTATACTCTTCATTGAAATATCTAATCAATTGATTTGATTAATAGGCCTCAGAGTCAGAGTCTAAGGACAAGGAGGACAAAGAAGAAGAGAAAGAGGAGGAGACGGAAGAAAAAGAAGAGGAAGATGAACACGAACACGAAGAGCTCTAATTTATATTTAACTCATTATTTAATGTTTTATATTTAGATTCATTCAAATTTTCACTCATAATATTAAATTAATAAAACAATTTTTATTTAAAAAGTTATAAATTTGTAAAATCAATTTTTTTGATAAAAAATAATTTATTTCTTTTTCTTCGGTAAAATATCCATAAATTTAGAGATAATTCCTAACATGATTTCATCGGTTCCGCCAGCAATTGACAGAACTCGGGAGTCTCTAAATGCACGACTGATAAGCATTTCTTTAGTATAACCCATTCCTCCAAAATATTGTAGACATTTATCAGTGACTTCACGGCTAAGTCGTCCGGCTTTAAGTTTAGCGATGGAGGCCAAGAATGTCACGTTCTCTCCGTTTATAAATCCATCTGAGATTTAATGTAAATCTATTAAAATTGATCCGAAAAATCACATTTATGTTAAATACCTGACGCTCTGTAAATCAGAGATCGCAATAACTCGACTTCACTCTTGAGTTCAGCAAAAGTGAATTGAATGACCTGATTATCAATGAGAGGCGATCCAAATGTCTTGCGTTGTTTGCAGTACTCAATGGTTTCATTTATGATACGATCACAATTGGTCACAGCTTTAAAGGTTTTAAATATATAAAAGTATATAAATATTAGTAAATTTTCATTAATGCTAAATAATAAAATATTGTAAATATTATAAAAATTAATGTGAATTAATTTAAATTTAATGTGAATTAATTTGAAATATACTTTTATATAATTTTATACTGTAGTTAATTTAGTATAGTATATAAAATAATAATAATAATTTTATTTGTACTAGTTTATTATTATTTAATATTTTAAACATGTATCTAATCATTTTTTAAACTAATATAATTTAGTATTTATTGAATTAAATATTTAATATAATTTTTTAATAAGGGATATCACACTTCATTGTACTATTTATAAAATAAAGTTGTTATATACAGTACAGGTATAAAAAAAACTTACCGGTAATTATAAATGAAATAATTTTACACTACTTTAGTCAAAAATTTATGATAATATCAAAATTATTTCAAACCCACTTTCCCATACCTTTTCCTTAATTCTCAACTCCATTATATAGAAAATTTATTCCCAGAAAACAAGTCAATAAAAATATTCTCACAAAATATCATAAATTAGTTTGTTATACAAATTACAGTATTATTAAAAATAAAGTTTAATAAAAAAATTAATATTTTAATATTATAACAAACCGGTGGCCGCAGAGCACAGTCGTTCGTCTTGAAATTGTATCATTTGATAAGTAAATCCCTGTCCTTCCTCTCCGATTATATTCTTGACGGGAACTCTTACGTCATCAAAGAAAATCAATGCCGTGTCTGAGGAATGTAAACCCATTTTCCGTATCTTTTTCTCAATTTTAACTCCCGGTGTCTTCAATGGCACACAAATCAATGATTTATTTTTATGTGGAGCTCCTTCGCGAGTATTGGCCAAAAGACATATCCAGTCTGCTTGAGTGCCATTAGTAATCCACATCTTATTTCCGTTTATTATTAGATCATCGCCTTTACGCTTAGCAGTAGTGAGAAGAGCGGCCACATCACTGCCACCCGTCGGTTCACTGACCCCAACACAGGCCATTAATCCCCTAATAATCCACATAATCCCCGGCAATGGTCGGCGCCAAGAATTCTCGTTTTAATTGATCGCTTCCAAAGTTAGTGAGTGCAGGCGTTGCCATATCTGTTTGGACACCGATAGCCGCAACAATTCCTCCGCAATTAATATTAGCCAACTCTTCAAAGAAGGCTATACTATAGGAATAATCTAAACCCAAACCATTATACTCTACAAAATAATATATTTTATTATTAGTTAATTAGTCGATAAGTAAACACTTGTTACCCGTAGGTCTAGTAATCCCAAGAAGACCGGCTTCGCCCAACTTCTTGAAGACCTCATGCGCCGGAAAGATCTCATTTTCTTCCCATTCATCGACATAAGGGTTAATGTCTTTTTCAATAATCTAAAAATTGATATCAAAATTATTGCAATTTATTAATAATTTATTGAAAACTCATAACCTTTTGAACAGTTTTCCGCAACTCTTGGTGTTGTGTCGTAAAAGTTAGACTTCTCTCTGCTGTCATTACGTGACATCTTTGAAAAAGTTTTGTTCTCAATATAAAACTCGAAGAATAGGTTCTTAAATGACTTAGAAATGTCATCTTTTGACACTTTAAGCTAAATTAATCAATCAATTAATTTTAAAACAATAACAAATAATTTTATTTCCTTATATGTTTGTCATATTTATTATATCATTCAATAGATATTTAAAATTTAACTATTAATGTATGACATAATATATATAAATTAATTATCAAATCAAAACAAGTCATCGTATAAACAGATTTATCTTAAATTAATTAAATTATAAATTTAATATATACTACATTATGTTATATAAATACATTTACTTATTATACTGTATATAATGTGAAAATTTCCTCAGATATCAAACTATTATACACTGTATTATTATACTGTAGTTAAAATAGTGACTATTAGTTATACTCTATAACTGGTTTGACTGAAAATCCCTACTTTTAAATAGACTTGTCTTTCAATATATGTATTATTAACTCATAATTAAATTATACATTATATATAAATTATAAAATATTGTATTTAACTAATATAATAGTTTGAAATTATATTTATATGATTAATATATGACTAATATAAAATCAATGTTGTAATTTATTAAATAAATTGTGTACAATATATAGATTACTTATAAAATTATATAATTATTTATATTCAACCATTTTATATTCAGTTAATTTTAATTGCAATCACTAATTAATATTTCTTATATATAAATATCAATTATAAGAATAACACTATTCTTTACACGAATAGTGTTATTAAATCATTAAATAATTTATGCAAATCATTAAATAAAAAACTATATGCATTAGTAGCATATTTTTGAGTAATAAAAGTAGATAACTTAAATTAGAAAAAAATAATTATATTACAAAATTTGTTATGTATTTGATCTTTTTAAATATACAAAATAAAATTGTTATTAACAATTAGGTTTCGCAATTAATCACATGTTTAATATAATTGTTTAGATTTTTGTTTTATGCGGTTATAACCACTTATACAGAATAGTTGACAAAATTGATTCCTAATTGAATTTGTTATAGTATTGATGATAATGTACAGTATTTTTATGAATAACAAATTCAACGATCAATCAATTTAGTCAATTGATCTTTATATGTGGTTATAACACATACAGTAAAAAATAAATAATTATTGAAATCAATTGTAAATTAAAATATTATTCTAATCTAATATAAAGAATTTAATTTTAGATAAAGAATTAAACTATTTTTTATTGTCACCGATTTTGGCTAAACTTATACAATATATTAAACATAAAAATTAAAAATTCTTATATAATTTTTTTAAACATTTTGACGGGAAGTGAAGTAATTTTTAAAAATGTAAATTCAGTTTATTTAATAATTTTTAATTAACAAATGACAATTGAAATATTTTTTCATAAATATATATATACTTAAAATAAATAGATTTTTTTCAACAAACTATTTCATTAATTATTAATGATTAAATTAATTATATAATAAAAAATTAAAACAAATAAAACAATTTAAATTTTCAACATATATTACCCCTTGGTTTTCGAAAATGTTTTTTTTTAAATCGAAGACTTATTGGAATATATTTTAGTAAATTAAAAAATATGTTCGTAAAAACCAGGGATTAATACATTGTTTTCTATTATATAATTAATTTATATGATTGAAATAATCTGTTAAAAATGTATTGATTTTTAAGTATATATTTATGAAAAATGTTATAATTGTCATTTGTTAATCAAAAGTTATTATTAAATAAACTAAATTTACATTTTTAAAAATAACTTCATTTCCCGTCGCAATGTTTTCAGAATTTTATATTTTGTATAAGTTTTGGCCAAAATCGGAGAAAATAAAAAATAATTGAATGAAATTCTTTATATAATATGAATGATATTGTTTTGCTTTGAGACTAAAATTAATAAAAATTTTAATATCATCGATAAAATTACTTACAAATAATTAATATACTCTATAAAATTTATATTATAAATATTTAACCAATTATTACATTTAAAATATATTAATAAAATCTAATCGTATTCCTTAACAATATTAAATTAAATCAATTTATTAGTAAATTTTGCCGTTATTTTTCAGTTTTTAATAATTGTATTTTAATATAAATTTAAATAAAATTTATTGTATAAAATGACATTGCTAAATTAAAACATTAGGAAAATTTATTCCTAAGCATATAATTTTGATTAATATTTATCCAGGTGTATAATACCACTTTAAAAATATATTTATATAACAATAAATTAAAATTAATTGCAATATTTCTAAACATTTTGCAAAAAGTAGTATTTTTTAAATAACAAAAATATTTATACATTTCTATTAAAACAACGACACAAGTGTAATGCAATATACAGTATTTGCATGATTTATAAATTAGTCATAAATTACTTTATTATTTACAAATATTTATAAGTATATTATATTAGAATTAATTTATATATAAAATCTAACAAATAATGAGATATCATATCATTGTTCCGATGAAGTGGCGGATAGATTCAGTTTATGAGTTGGTGTCGAACTATTGCTGCCAATCATACGATCCAACTCCGCCTGAACTCCCATTCGGTTATCAGTTATATTATTTGGCGTTCGAGGAGATCCTACTCCTGGAGACCCAGACTTTCGATTTAATAGACTATTAAAAAATGTTTGCAATACACCTTCACCACCGGGGGTACCCTTTGAACCATCAATCTATCAAAATATAAATATAATAACAATATTAACTACATTAGTAAATACCTGTGCGCCTGTTGGGGGTGTATTTATCGGCGTTCGCCTCTCAGATTGTTTTTGAACAATTGGTGTCGTTCTGGTCGGCTGTCATATCAATAAATCAATTACCGGTATTAATATTTGTCAACAAATTACATACAAATATATTTAATAAATAAACATCAGATAGAAAATTAGTAATCAAAAAAAACAACTCATAACAGGTCTGTAAATCTCATCATTTGATAAATAAAATAATTATAAGAGTAAAACACTTACAGGAGTTGCTCCGACAGGCATTTGTTGATTAAGTTGTGATTGCATTTTAAGCAGAAAAACCTGATCGTCCTCTGCTGTCGTCTCAACTTCTTTTTGAAGGGGCTTTTCATATCAATAATATTATTAATCTTAAATTGTATAAAATAAATCAATTCAAATACCTTATTAACAATAGGACTACCAATCACTTCATTATAGTCATCGTCAGGAGAAACTGATTGTATATTTTCATAAAGAATTGCGATTTTCTTTTCGTTGTCCCAACCGGTGGGTCTAAAAAAATAAGGTTTAAAACAATTGCTAATAAAAACAATAGTTTAGATTAAATCATACATAAAGACGGCATCTTTTTCAACAACGAGTGCAGGAGTTTTGAATTTTAGTCCATATATCCTATGAACCAGATATTTGTATAGTAAATCACAATTCTTGTTTACTTTTACTGAAACATATAGCAATGAGGCACCAACTGTTCAAACAAAAACATATATATATTAATTTATGGCAAATCATATGTAATTTATTAGACAATATTTAATACAATCAGAAACAGGTAGATGTAATCATATAACTCATTACAGGTCTGTATATATCTCATCATTAAATAACAATTACCGGTAAAACTTAGTCATCAAATAACTTACATTTAAGACAAAACTTTCTGATCGCTTGTTGTATAAAATCAAAACTTTCTTCTTTATAATCAAATTCCTTCTCTAATGTTGACATGTAATCAGTTTTAGTGATAACGACTATGATATCGATTCCTAAATTATGTGTCAGTACGCCCTCAGGCAGTGGACTGTTGACTGAATTACAACTAATACTGTTTTTGAATGACACCTCTAAATCACTATTACTCCGAAACTTTACCGGAGTATTGACTAAGCTTTCCATCTCATCTCCCGGTGATATATATTCGAGATAACGCTTTAAATCTAATAAAAAAACAAATAATTATAAATCTCAATCTAAAAAACAATATTTGATAACTAAATACTTTGTTGTTTATAACTATTAAAAACTTCTCGATTAAGATTGAGATTCTTCAGATGATTGTCCAACACTTTTGTCCATTTCTCTAATGAATTAATGATATCCCACGGTTTGGTCATCGAAGCCGTCAAAAGTATGGTTGTATCGGGAATTGTATAATCATTGAGAGCAAACTTCAGAAGCTGTGAATTCCAACTACAGTTGCCATCGAGTATCCAAACACCACATTGCGTCTGTTCGTCACGATATTCATCGCGAACCAGTAAATGGTGATACTCTAAACCTGATCCCTTCCTCGTGTCTTCAATGCCCTGCATTTTGGCAATAAGTGATGTCTTTCCTGAATCATTGTCGCCTATAATTAACAAAACATTACAAATTTTACACATCTTTTCAACATATCATTCAATTTTAACGCTTCATTGAGTTCAGTAAACAGTTATTATAAATATAATTAACAAAATAGTAATCATTTATAAATAGTTTGTAATCAACTAATAGCTATTGTGCTAATTATTTGTGTAAATATGATATATAAACAAAATAATCGATATATTAATAATCAATACCTAAAACAATGATTGATTTATTTGATGGCAATTTGTTTGTGGCCGACGTCTGCACTTGAGTTAAGATCGATGACCTGTGGATCAAATAAAACTGATATTAAGATGTTATCCATAAAACATGTCTTCAATATTAATGGTCACCATTTGGAAAGCAATTCAAGACTTACCAAATGTTCTGTTCTTCGCATTCATTGATACTGTTATGGTGTGAGTGGTTGTCGTTGTTGGCGATGAAGTTATGATTACTTTTGATGCCATTAATTGACGCCATTATATGATATCATAAACAGAGAGTCAATGATGTATTGAAAAGCATTGCATTTCTATTCATTTCAATGCTTTCAATGCCTTCAATGTCTGTCAATGACTACAACTTGTGGTCAAATCAACGAAACAACACTTACTATACTATTAAACACTTACTACGCATGCGTTCACTTGCAATACAATACGTGTCATACATTTGAATGCTTTAATTTAATACACATTAGTATTAAACATAGCATTCAATTGCATTCAATCGACTCATTTGTAACGTTATTGTTGTACACAATGTATGAGTCACTCACTATTCACACCTTTACTTGGGGGTAACCAATGGGTTACCAATTGGTGACTATTAGATGACACCAAATGTTGTCCAAACCTGTCATTCCCTAACCCAACCCAACCCTTGGGTAATACAACATAACATAACTATAATACTGTATATAATAACAAAAATATTATGAAAATTGAAGGAAAGTTTGACAAAAATTGTTTGATTTGTCCATTCATTCCATTGACTGTTACATTGATTTCATCACAAGTTTTAAAGTTAACTAAAAATTTAAATTAATTAAAAATTCTATTAATAATTGAAAATCAAAAATGCATTGAATTTGTGTATAAATGAGTGCACTCTAGGAGTCTATAAATAGCTGTCATTTAAGTTGTTTTCATAAACTTTTTATTTATTGAATACAAGTTTGCAATCAATTGAATCAAACATTGATTTGTTGTTTAGATATTATAATTACAACCATTGCTAACATAAGGCATACATTTGATTGACTTTTTTTTGTATCAAATCATTAAAACTATTGTTTAAAGTCTTGTTTATTGAAATTATGTTAAAAACATTGAATTGTTTGAGTCGTTTGAATGAAAGACGTCTCTTTGATAAACATGTATTGTCTTCACTATCGATGATCACTTCCAACAGACAATTGGCGACAAAGTCAGAAATGCAGACAACGAAAGGTTTACCGAAACTAATAGTTCCAGTCTTTGATGAAACAATACAAAGACTTAAAATAGCGGTCAAACCATTTGCTAAAAATGGTGAAGAATTGCAAGATTTGTATCAAACTATTGATGATTTTGCCAGAAGTGATGGTTGCGGTCGTAAACTGCATTGTCTTTTAGAGCATAAGTCTACTCAGACAAGCAATTGGTTATCTCATGACTGGTGGATCAATAAGGCATATCTTGAGGGTAGAGATCCAGTGATGATTTGGTCCAATCCTGGACTTGTATTTCCAGAATTACAGACTATGAAGAATGCAAACAAGGGATTTGTTGCACAATTTATTTCACGACTGATATTAAGTGTAATTGATTATAGAAATGCACTGAAAAGCGGTGATAATCCTGAAAAGCAACCAAAGACTGGACCTATTTGTATGGATCAATTCAGCAAAGTGTTTGGTACATGTCGTATACCTGGAAGTAATATCGATGACATCAGATTTGGTACATTAAATAGCAATGAAATATCTATTATTATTAGTCGTTTTAATAAATTTTACAAATTATCACTAATGCAAAGTCATGACAAAGAGGCAACTCTTGCATCCATTGAAGCGGCAATTCTTCACATATTATCTCAAACTTCATCAGAAAGCATAGCATTTGGAAGTTTCTCAGCTCTTCCACGAAATGATTTCTATACTGTCTATCAGTTATTAAATGAAAATGCTTTAAACCATATAATTGAAAGTGAATTTGTGGTTAACATCGATCATATCGATGTCCCTAATAATGGATTCAACGATAATGAAACTTATTATAAAGTTATGGGCAAACAATCACTTTATGCTGATATCAATAATATAGGAAATCGTTGGTTTGATAAAACTATTCAATTAATATGTGTTACTAATAAAAGTGGCGATCGATTGGTTGGTTTGTCCTTTTGTTATGAACACACTCCAGCAGAAGGAGGTATTGTTGTCCAACTGATGGAACACACGATTAAACATTTAATGTCAGATAAAACCAAATTAAGTTTAACTCAAAACACAAAACTGGAAGAGTTATCGTTAATACCAAAAGAAAATATCGATAAAATTAGAGCTTCGGATGAATTTTCTAAAAGAAAATATTTAGAATTTATTAATTCAATTGATTTAGAAATATTAGAATTTAAAGATTATGGCAAAGAATTTGTTAAAAGTCTTAATTTTAGTCCCGATTCATGGATACAACTGGCCATTGCACTGGCATTTTATAAAGTTCACGGAAAAGTGGGTGCAACCTATGAGAGTGGCGGTACCCGTATGTTTGCTTTCGGTAGAACTGAAACTATTAGAAGTGTTACCGAAGAATTCGCACAATTTTTTAAAAATCCTAACAATCAAAGTCTGAAGAATGCAATCGATAGTCACAAAATTGTTGCTAAAAATGCTGTCACCGGACACGGCATCGATAGACTACTATTAGGTATTCATTAAGATTATACCTGTTTTTAATTTTTTTTAAATTTCAAACAAATTTTTATTCCGTAATATTAATTATTATAGGATATAATTGTGTGGCACAAGAAATTAAGAGTAATTTGTGGAAATGGGGTATTCCTGAGTATGTTAGGGATAATCCATTAAACCATTTGGATTATCAATCATTAGATAAACTTTATACCAATGATCTATACAAGAGGTCAAAGCACTTCCAATTGTCGACATCACAGGTGGCTTCAGCTCTTCCCCAGTCATTCATGTGTTACGGACCTCTTGTTACTGATGGATACGGATGTTGTTATAATCCATCTAAAAATCAAATAATTTTTGCCATCACTTCATTCAAAGAGAATAATGCAAATACTAATGCATTGACTTATAAATCGGAATTAAAAAATTGCTTAAAATTTATGCAACAAATTGTGTTAAAGCAATCAAAATTGTAATTATATTATAAATTTATTGATTGTATTTTAATTTTTACTCTGTTTTTCTGTTAAATTGAATTATGTATTACCGTTAATAATAATTGTAATAAACAACTCTAACAAAACTTGTGAAAAGTTTGTGAAAAGCAAACACTCAATATATATATACAATATTTATATTATTTTAAATAAAGTTCGAGTTATTATTAAGATTATAAAATTATGTAATAAATATATAATAGAAATTGCGTTCAATTTTCATGAGTTTATTTAATGTAAATAAATTTATCAATAATATGATCATTGATAGCATAACTTTACATTATTATAGTTAATTATACAGTATATGTTTAACGGCAATCAAATCGGTTAATAATTACATTACCTGTACTTAATGTTATTATGTTTATACAATTAAATTAAATTGAATTTTACCATTTGTTTATCAATAAATATTTATTAATAGTCAAAGTTTGCAATTAAATTACAAATGATTTTTTCTACAATTAAATCTAGAAGTAATTGATTATAAATTAAACTGTATTTAACTTATATGAGAGCAAATTGTAGTGTATTTTCTACACATAATTGTTGTATAGGTTTGTTGATTATTGTATTAATATTAGTGTATTTGTATTATACTGTGATATGTGAACACAGAGTGTGTATTGTAATTGAAAAGTGTCTCAAATAATGTGCTTTTAGTGAGTGTTTAAACTGAAAAACAAATCAAATCATTGCGTGTTTTATAGTCAACACAGAGTCTCATAAAACGTTTGGTTAAAAACAACATAAATCGCTATATTGTTGTTGTTGTTGTCGTTGTCGTCCATCGCTGACTATATTAAGTGACCAATTGAGTGATAATTTGTCTCAACAAAGATGGCATTGAATCCCAATTATGAACAAATTGGCAAAACATTTGTACAGCAATACTATGCGCTCTTTGACGACCCAACACAACGATCAAATGTCGCCAACTTTTATACGGTTTGTTTCTTCAAGACATTTGTCAACACTTGAAGACCATTATCATGTCTTTCTATTGATTAACCATAATATCAATATCTTATGGTTAAGTGTTGATAACAATGTCTTAAAAATGTGTTGTTTTTGTGTGTTTGTCATCTTTAGGAGCAAAAGTCGTTGATGTCATTTGAAGGAAACCAATTGATGGGCAGAACGAAGATAATGGAGAAAATTCAAAGTCTGACATTTCAGAAGATTCAACATATAATTACCGCAATCGATGCTCAGCCGACCTTCGATGGCGGTGTTCTCGTCTCAGTGTTGGGTCAGCTCAAGACAGATGACGATCCGCCGCATACCTTCAATCAGGTGTTTGTCCTGAAACCAGCAAATGATAGCTTTTATGTGGAACACGACTGCTTCAGACTCTCACTCCATGTCTAACCACTTCTTGTGTCTAAAAATACTTTTCAATTAAATTCAAATTTCAATTCGCATTCAATTAGTCTTCAAATAAGTAATCGATTTATAATTGAGTAAACAATGAATTTAACACCAAATGCAGTGATTATTACAATTGTTTTTAAAAAATTACAAAGTTTTTAGTCTTGAAAAAACAAAAGACATTTTCAAGTTATCATTTTATTGGATTTGAAATTAAAAAATACAACTTTTGTTAACTTTTAATATTAAATAAAACGTCTTATAAGTCGAATAATCACTTCTTTGTTTTCTTTTTTTCTGCCTCTTCTTCCTTCTCTTTCTCGATTATAGTAACATATTTGTCAATCTCTTGAGCGGTCAAGAGTGCCATTTTTTGTCCGAATTCCATTGTTGCCACTTCGAGGTTCTTTCCCTGAACCACTTCAAGCAATGCCTTAATGGCTAACTTAATGGTAGCCTCTTTTGATTCAGCGATTTCTGCCGAATAGTTCTTTTCTAAGAATTCTCTAACAGTTTTTGCATTTCTTCCGGTGGCGTTTGCCTTCCATTCGTGATAAACACCTATCAAACATGTTATGAAAAGTCAAGTCAATTACTTAATTGCATTCATTACCTGATGGATCTGTTTGGAAGAGTCGTGGTGTATGATCATCATCGAAGCCACCAATAAGAGTAGATATACCGAAAGGTCGCCTACCATTGGATTGCGTGTACTTTTGTTTCAATTGAGCGATGAATCGAGTGATGTATTCAAGAGTTACGGGATCTTCAACCGTCAGTTTATGACTTTGACACTCAACACGAGCCCTATCTATAAGGATTCTGGCGTCGGCTGTCAGACCTGGCATTCAATACAATAAGATTAAGTAAAAACGTATCAAATGTTCAGTCAATCAGCTTAAACACAAACCGGCGAAAGCCATCACCACGTGATCGTCTAAAAGACATATCTTTCTAACAGTTCTCTCCTCTTGAAGTTTGGCCACAGACTTCTTCTCGACGGCCAAAACAACGACATCTTTGCCACGAACGCCAACCTGTCATCACATAAAACAGTCATCACTTGAATCAAAACAATAGTTAAATCATACAGCAGTTGATCCCTTCTTGACGGCCTCCTGTGCGTACTCTACTTGAAACAGGTGTCCATCGGGTGAGAAAACAGTAATCGCGCGGTCATATCGTGATCCCGACATTTGGTCAAACTTTTCGGTCAATTAATTGAGTGATAATAACAAACAAATAGTTATTTCAATTCAATTGAAAGCTTTGTGACAATCAATGAGTAATCAGTTTTATATACTATTAGTTGTAATCATTGTCTCCATAGATGTCAACACTTATAACAAGTCATTCATAGCTTTCATATTACAGTCAAAACACTGTATAATAAACTTAAAAAACTAATTGTCTCTATAGTATAGTCTATACTGTAAATTATATTTTATTAAATTTAAAAATAATTTAAAAATATTACTTTTATTATATCAAAGATATGTTTAATTTTAACAAATATTTTTAAAATATGTTAGATTTGACTGAATGTTAATCAAAACCTAAACTCGATATAAGGTATGAGTATTGCAGTCAAACATGTTTTAAGGAGTCAAACATATTTAAGCCTTTAATTGATTATTAAAAGTATTGAATGTGTGCTCTATTTGTTAAACTAAGTGCCAATTATTTGTAGATATTTTGTTTTAAAGTTTAAAGTTTGTTTTAAATCAATTAAATTAAGAAAATTAATTAAAAATATTATTGCCATAAAAATTAATATTTTATGTTAAAATAAAAATGAAACAATTATTTTTGCTTTTAATTACATCGATTTCAGCTTTAATTCTGCTATTATTTTGGATTTATAATGGTATGACTTTTTATATGATGTAATATTAATTTATAATTAGATAATCAATTATAAATGAAACTATTGTTACAATTTAACATATAATCATCAGGAGGTCCATCAATGCATTGGCATAACTCGGATGTATTTATATTTTCAATAATAAGTTTGATACTTGTGGCCAGTTTTGTTGGATTTCTTCTAACAATATTCCGTATGTACTGTTGGCCAACCATTCCGGGGTTAGACCCGACACCAACCACACTGTATACAAACCCACCGCCCATTGGTTCAGTTGAGGCCGAACTGCTTAACGATTACATACCAGTCTTCCCAATGCATCAATTGAAACCTGTTGTTGACCTCAATTGAAATTTTATGCATTAATCATATGTTTATTTGATATTTATTGCCTAATAATTTGTAAAAATAATTTTATATACAAAAATAATTCGGTAATTCAATCGATATTGCCTATGGTTACTATGCTATCGTACAATCGTTTTTGTGGTTATAATTGTTCTTATAATTAACATATCTATGTATTATAAAGCAATCAATTTTTATTATATTTACTAAATGCACAATAATTGGTGTTATATTGTATCACATGTTTGTGACTAGATTTAAGACACTTATTATAAGTACATGTTATACATGAATTTAATTCTTGAATAATACAATAGTTACTATTTTTGATGTTTACAAACATTTTTTTTAAATATGTAAAATCATTAAATAAAATTGAATATATGTTTAATTAGTCTTTGGCTTAATTGGTAATTTAATTTGAATATTATATTTGTAGATTAAAACAGACAAAATAGAAAGAGCTATACAATAGACAATTATAATAATAAAAGCTATCAAATTATTGACTGCCATTGTGTCAATTGTAAAATTAATAAAACCTGTTAACAGGTTAGCCACTAGAAAGACCAACATTCCGCTGTAACCATAAGCTGTAAATATAATACTTTTATGTGAATCACCCGATAAAAAGATATTCAGGTGTCTTAAACAATGTACTATAGATTGTATAATAAATTCAAGTCCGATATATAATGACAGCAATGAAACTATCCATAAGACAAATGCAAGATTTACTTCCCGTCGGGATGTCTTCTCAATGAATGTATTACTCAATTGTGTCAATACAATAGTAATCAACGACAATACAAACATTCCTAATGAAATCTTAAGCCATATTTTGATTTCATATCTAATGATAAAATAAAATAAATTAAAAATTATTTACTGATATTAACATAACTTTATACTGTAATAAAACCTAAGTTTTAAGGTGTATTTCCCAATTTCGACAAAAATTAAGTAAATTGGTATATAACCCAATAAAGAAAGTATACCCTCTTTATTGGCAGCAAATAAACCAATCCTATTATCATTTTGTATAAACTCATTTAAACCACAATTCAAACATAACTGATATACGATTATCACAACAATACCACAAAAGCCAATATTAACTTTAGTGGAGAAAAGGATGAAAAATAAAGTTGAAATCGTCTGTAAATAAAAATTTATTTATATTTAATATCATTATTAAATATGTGATAAAATATTCAAACTTTGGTTATGGCCAGAGTAAAGAAGAAGTTCCAATGGAGTCCATATTCTGTAATGTGTTCGTGATATTCAAGACTTTTAACAGCAATCAGTCTTTGAAAGCCTAATATAATTAAAGGAATCGTTGAAAACAATGTCTTCTTAAAGAGAAAAAAACGTTGAAAGTGATGATCGCTTCCAAGTCTGGCTTCGGGAGAAAATCCGCCGTTAATGGCAATGAAAGCGCCGACACCGACATCCATAAGACTATAGCCATAGATCTCTGTTTTGGCAAAACGTCGCGGAAATGCATGAAAATCAACGGCAAGTATTGATATACAAACGCATTGCATAAGAGTTGAGAACAAATTAGACACAAATGGCAACCGATTCTTGTAATTCAGTCTCAAATCCAACAAATCTTTTATCACTATTTCTTTGGGTCTTCTCTTGACTACACATAAGATAATTGCTATAAAAGTCAATACAATGATTGCAATATATATGAGATGATTATAATCCGATAATATTGTCACACTTAAGGCAAACGGAACCATTATTATGAAGAACTCTATCGTATAGCGGATCCATTGTAGTCTATAACCAATCAATAATAATATTATTAAATAAGATAATTGAGATAACAATAAATAAGTACTAACTTTGGTTCAGTCAAAATGGGTATTAAAGACAAGATAGCAATCATCAAAAAGTTAGTCAATTGGTTAACACTTGTAATGGCCAGTATTTCACCGATTGTCGACCCATTGTGGCCACGAATAAATGCTTCCCGAAGTAAATTATACTCTGAACTCATGAGGATATCATTAAAATACAATTATTATTATTATAACAATGAGTTGTAATAACTTTGTTAATCATTTTATCAGTTATTGTCAATTCATAAACATTTCATAAATAAGTTGCAAACAGTGTTTAGATTACAGCTATTGTATAATAATAAGCGCTTATTTCAAAACAAATAATAATTTAGATATATTATTTGTATTATAATATAATATTATTTATAACTAAAATATTGAATTATAATATAGACATTAAAGTGAAAAATTAAATTCATATGTAATATTAATCAAAATAATTTTATAAAAATTAAATAAAAAATATAATAAAAAATATAATAATAAATAATTACAATTAAATTTTATTGTATGACTTCAGATATAATTATAAAGTAGTATTTATAAGTTATAAATTATAGATATACTAACAGAATTAATTTGATATATCATTACAATTATTGTTTAACTTTTAAAAATTTAATATTAAAAAATACAAATTATATAAACAATTGCCACACATCTCACATCTCGGGTGTCATTATTTCCGTCATCATTGACTATAAGACAGTGTACTATAGCTGATGAAGGTTTGATGTGAATCACCAAAACTATATCGATATCTTACAACAAATAGTGATTTAGTAATTTAATTATCAATTGAAATCAATTTTCATTTAAAGTAATTTACTTAAAAAATTAAACAACTATGTGATTATACTGCATGTGATATTAATTATGGATAGTTTGTTGTAATTAAAGATAAATTAGTGTTTGAAATGATTTTCAATAGTTTTTATTAGCTTTTAGTAATAAATCAATTGTTTTTTTTATTTGAATTCTTTGATAACACGAAATAATTAATTGATACAAATGTTAATAATGTGATGTTATCGACAGTCAAACAGTATTTATTCAATCAATATAATCAATAAACTATTTATTTATCACATAAATATCAATCTTTATAGCAAATTATCGATAATCAATATATTAATATAACGTTATTGTACTGTATTTTGATAATACCGTACAATACAATACTGTATAACCTTTTATAGTATAAAAATACAATTAAAAAACAAATATACTTTTGAGTCATGAAATGAAAGTTATCGCAAATATTTCGACTTTTCATTAATTAATGTAAATTTCTTATTTTTTATACAAAAAACATTTATCATATAATTTATGTATTTTAGAAATATCTCTCAAGAATTTTTAAATACTTTCAAAACAAAGATTAAGTGATAATCAAAGTTGTTTGGTATGTGTCTTGTGCTTTGAATTTCAATGAATTTCTATATTAATTCATACATTATATTGTAAATTAATGTTTAAAAAAAATCAGTCAATTCTGTAAAAAATATTTAATACAATTCGTGACTAAAAATTATAAATTGATTTCATTATATATTTATTATATATAAAATTCATTAATTACTTTCATTTTCAATTTTAGGCGTTAAATAAACGCAATTTAACTTATATTAAATCATTTTTCTTTCTTTTAATGATTTTTCAATTATTAGCCATTTAGGTGTGGTTTTCAAGTCATTCAAAACAGTTATAAAGTATAAGTAATTTTAGGATAAAAATAATTGAAAATATACCACATTTTATGTATAATAATTTTTTGGTATAAGTTATTACTTTTAAAAATGTTTGAATCGATATCTTGTGACCAAAACTTAACATTTTCTAAACTAAAGAGTTGTTGTGATGTCAACCAAATGATTAAACAAAGTTTTGACAACTTTAGTGACACTAACGCTAAAGGATTAACCCGTAAATCGTTTGACAATTTATTGTCGGCTCTATTGGTCAATGAAGATAACAAACCCTATCACATACCTATCCAGTGGAAGACACATTTGTTTAACTTATTTGACACCAATGGTGATGATATCATTGATAATCAAGAGTTCCAACAGATGTGGAACAACTGGATTCATACAATTCTGGAGCCAACGAGCGCTCTCATTGTAGTCGATGTCCAAAATGATTTCATTAGCGGCTCTCTTGCCATCAATAAATGCGAGGCCGGACAGCAAGGAGAAGAAGTGATTCCAGTTATCAACCAATTACTCGATACCATACCATTCAATAAAGTCTTTTACTCTCAAGACTGGCACCCATCAGATCACATCTCTTTCTATGAAAACAGAACTCTTCGTAAGTTTTCATCGATTGAAGGCAAGTGTCCGTCAAATGTCAATCTATACGATACGGTTGTGTTTGAGGGTCCGCCACAAACACGTCAGAAGTTATGGCCAAATCATTGCATTCAACAAACGTGGGGATCATTACTCCATTCACAGCTTAAGATTGTCGACAACAGTGTCTTCATCTATAAGGGAACTCAATCTCATATCGACAGCTATTCTGTCTTTTGGGATAATCAGCGCTTAAGTCAAACCAATTTAGACCAACAATTGCAAGGACTGGGAGTCAGTGATGTGTATGTGTGTGGTATCGCCACTGATATATGTGTTGGCTATACGGCAGTCGACTCGTGTCAGTTGGGATACCGAACGGTACTCATTGACGACGGGTGTCGGGGAGTGTCCGACACAGCCATCAATCAAACCAAACAACAACTCGACCGCAATCTTGCAGTGTGTGTCCATTCAAACCAAGTCTACCATTTGGTCACTGGAAGTGATCGCAGACCCGAACTCGCATACAAAATGGCAATCAAACAGTTGGACCACTAATTAAAATAATTTTTTAATTTTTTAAAATTTTAAATGACTCGAAAATTATTTTAGATATTATAATTTTGATTACATATTTGTGTTTTAAATTAATTTTTGCATAAAGTATTGGCGAATATTTGCATAAAAATTTTCGGACTCTCAGTCCTAAGCTAACCGATTATTATTTTATATATATATCTATATATACTGTATGTATATATCATATGTTTATTACTTTAATCAATGATTTAATTATTTGTTTAATTCTATTGATATTCTAATTAATAAATTCAATGTTAAAAATCTTCTCATATATTGTTATTCATGTTTTAATTGTATTATTAATTGTATTATTCATTCATTCATTGATTAACTTTCAATAAAACCCTAAACTGTAAGTCAGTGTTAATTGAATACATATTTACTAACATTTAGTGATATTTAGAACAAAAGTTGGCATAAATTAAATATTTTAAGTCACAGTTGAAACAAATATTGACTTTTGATTGAATATATGAGACAAACCATACATTACTTGCAATTAATGTTTCAATTATTACTAAATATATTCATTGACTGCACTTTTACCATACATTTCTCTATTTGAATACAAGTTATTACAGTTATAGAAATAATGTTATTTGAATGCAGTGTTTAATGCTATAATAAATAGTATGCTTTGAATGTAATCTCAATTTTGATGACCAAACGTGTGATTTATTGCAAATATAGGCAAATGTGGGTAAAGTGTGGACAAAGTGTGCGTAACATTGAATATGTTTTGTTTGAACGCAACTCAAGTTGAAGTCTAATGCAAACTACGACTACATTATAAGTAATACGTATTACAGTTAATACTCTACAGTAGTGTACAGTATATCGTAGTAATAGAATCGATATAAACGCCAATTATTACGGTTTGAAAGCCATTGAAGCCATTGCTAACAAATAGAAAGTGACGCTACAGTACAGTACTGTTATTCATATATTAAAAAGTTCCAAATATATGGGTTAATTGAAACAATGTTTTCATACCTTTTATTACAATAGCAACTCAAATGTAAAATGAATGTCACTGTATGTGTATTGGAATAACAGTATTGAGTATTAATAATAGAAGTAATGGTTTATTTAGTGACTGTTTATTACACATCAATAGAAAATACAATTTATTTTATGTTCAATTGAATCACTTTTATTAAACATCACTCAAAAACATAATAGTATTTTAATTATATATTTTAATTAATAAGTAATTTAATGTTAAATTTTAAATTAAAAGTCCATTAACTGTGAATACGAAGCAAATTGTGTGCAAATGTTATCAATTAATTAAATTTTAAATTTATTATAATTGATGTCTATTTTGTCATAAAATAATATATTTTTGAAGAAATTAATATTTTTGTTATATTATAGTGAAATATATATATATATTGTTATAATTATAAAATAGTTGTTAAGTATCTATAAAAGTGGTGTTTCGGTCAAAATGAGTGTCACTGAAGAGTCCAATCGTTGCGATATTGTTGGCTCTGAAGAAACCAATCGATTGGATAGCAGTCTGACTGATGACCAGATAAACCGATTAGATGTGACCGTCAAAGATGAGACCAACCGTTACGATCTGAGTCCTAGAGATGAGTCACTTAACCGTTCGGATAATAGTCTTAAAGAAGAATCAAATGAAAGCATTGATGGCAAAGATTATACTCAAGTGTCTGATGGATCAGATAGTAATCTTATGAGACAAGCATTTGTCGACACAACTGCTATGGCAATCGATAGAGAGTTTATGTATAAACTTATGATTAGGTAATTAACGATTAGTTTAATATTAATTAATGTCATAATTAAGTTAATGTTATTTATTTTAATAGTCAACTATTATATGATGGACACCGAAATGTGGCAATAGTTTTGTCAAATAGTGAGAAACTCAAGCATTTGGTTCAACCGTCACAGCGTTTGCATCATTTGTTGTCAATGGCATTCAAAACTGAAGGAGGTATGCATTGATTACATGGTTTTTATCATTAAATGAGACTAAATGTTTGATTAACTTTAACTATAGATTCTCCATTAAGTGATGATAGCATTCATGCCATGAATCTAATAGATCTCGATTACGAAGTGGATCATAACTCGAGCTCATCGCGGGCTAGTTTTTATGACACTTCGACTACCAAAGACTACTTCAGGAGTCGTTCGTATTCTCCCGACACAGAATTGATGCCACTTCCTCACAGAATGCATGGGTCACATGATCTTATAGGTCGTATGATATCAAAGACATCACCATTGGCTGATACAATGCAAAGTATGACCCATTTAAGTACTACCGATTCAATCGGTTCGCGTCCCGGTTCAACACCAGATATTCCCATTCAATCATTTGGTCAAATAAATAATGGTTTGAGATCTATAACTCCAAATGCCGGTGACATTACCTCTCAAACTAGTTTATTGGGAAATTCTGCGCAAGATATCAATATATCGGATCTTTTACAGCAAATAAATTTGGCTCAATTTATGTATATGAATGGCGATCCCACAGCTTCGGTGGCTTCCTCTACAGCCGCTAATACGCCGTCTCCCACTCCGATACCCCCATCAGTGCCTTTAGATAACGGAGGACTTGTCCTAAATGAAGCCGCTCTTAAAAATATTAGTCAATTGGCGAAACTTAGTGCTAATGAGGGCCAAAACGGTTTATCGATATCCAACTCGACGTCCCCAACTTGTCTTACCTCACCTATTGGTCGAAGTGTTTCTAATACTGGAACTAAACCAAATACAATGCAAATTCGGTGCAAATTTGGTCAATTAGGTCAACAAAAGGGTCAGTTTTCATCACCTCATGGATTCTGTCTTGGAGTCGATGAAGAGATTGTCATCGCAGACACAAACAATCATAGAATTTGTGTTTTTGATAAATCGGGTATTTTATATAAAATGATTAAATTTTTACCGATAATTAATTAAGTAATTTTTATTTTTAGCCGAATTCAAACACTCATTTGGTGTTCCGGGTAAGGATGAGGCACAGCTCTGGTATCCCAGAAAGGTATTGTTATAGTTATTATTATTAATTTTAAATTACAATAAAATAAAATATAATACTTATTAGATTGCAATTATTCGTAATGGTATGGGTGGTGGCACTGGTAATACAGCGCCTCGTTATGTGATATGCGACAGAGGGGCTGAACGCAGCCGAATGCAGATCTTCACCCGATCGGGTCATTTCGTACGTAAGATTGCTATTCGTTATATTGATATCGTCGCTGGTCTGGCAATTACACCTCAAGGACACATTGTTGCAGTGGATTCAGTATCGCCCACAGTGTTTGTGATCGCAGAGTCTGGAGATCTGCTTCGATGGTTTGATTGTTCAGAATATATGCGCGAACCATCTGATATAGCCATCAATAACCACGAATACTACATTTGCGATTTCAAGGCTCATTGCGTTGTTGTATTTAGCGATGAGGGACAGTATTTGCGCAAAATCGGTAGTGAAGGGCTGACATCATTTCCTAACGGAATTGACATATCGGACGCGGGAGACATTCTGGTTGGCGACTCTCACGGCAATAGATTTCATGTGGTTGTGTTTGACCGGTCGGGAACATTGATCAGCGAATTCGAGTGTCCGTACGTTAAAGTCTCGCGTTGTTGTGGTCTGAAGATTACCAGTGAAGGCTATGTCGTGACATTAGCCAAAAACAATCATCACGTCCTCATCCTTAACACACTTTACATCATGTGAACCACCGATACCTACACTATAATCACAGCAACACATAGATGTCTATTGATAAACATAACAAACATAAAGTGAAACGTCGATCAATACAACGATTAGTCAGTCAGTTTCGTATCTATTTTTAAATGATTTCAATTTTCAATCCTATACTTTGGGTCCATATATAGAAACAAAATGATATATTTAGTCAAAAGCAATATTAAGTTTTTTTTATGTGTTATTGAAAGCAATAACTGTTTTCTCTTTTTTCTCGCTCTATATTAATATAAATATATATATATATATATATCTTAAGTACTTTTAAATCGTTAGTTCTTAGAAAACAATTGCCATTTAAGCTAATATTTTAGGCTAAAAGTACTTTTAAAACAAACACATGTTTAACAAACAAATATTTTAGAGAAAACTAAATGAAAGCATTTTTGAGTAATTTATGTGATTTTATGTGACAACAGTTTAATCCGTTTAACGTTACAATATTTACTATACATTTACAACATTTACAATATAGACATTTATTATTACTAGTCTTATCATTCAAATCAATTGATATTTAATTAATATTTAATTGTATTTCAATTATTTTTATGCAATTTTTGTTTGTTTGTTTTTTTTTGAATTTCCTTTTGCTAATTTTTACTATTATAAGCAATAGGATTTTGTTTATTTATTATTATTAATTATTGAAAAATTTTTTATTACGATTTTCTGAATTTATTATTTTATAAAAAAGATACTCATATTTGCAAATCAAACTTCACTTAAGTGCCATTTTATTGTTGATTCAAAAGAGTAATTGAGAAAAAATTTAAACAAAAGTTTTAAATTATAATTTTATTAACTATTAGTGATTTAATGTTTTCTCAAGTCTTCCCCATTATTACTGAATATAATTATTGTTGTTATTAATATTATTATTAATATTATTATTGGTTATTATTATAATTATTTTTATTTTTTGATATCATTGTTTTGCTTATCAAACATTCCAATGATTAAATTATTGTATTTTGTTTTGATTATAATTATTATTATATATTTCTAGTAATTAGTTGTCTAGTCATTTGACAGTCAACAACATAAGTGAATCGTCTAATTAAAAATTGAAACTAAATATAGATTTAATAGAAACAAAAGCAAATTAATAATTGCAGGGTTTTGAACAATGTTTATTATAGTTTTGTTTATTATTTTTAAGATATTTTTATTATATAATTATTAATTAAATTTTTTATATTTCATTATATCATTTTGTGGTTTTATTTAATTGAAAGATCTATTTTTTAAATAAAATTATTTTTGTCAAAACAAATAGAAATTTATATAATGTTACGAATCCAACAGTTATTATGTGCCCAAAGTCAATATAAAATTAAAATAATTGGGCCATAAATTGGTTAAAATAGTTAAATTTGAAAATTTATTGTTATATATATATATATAATAAAGCTGTGACTGGGTTTGAAAGTAATGACATTTACTATTAATAAGAATTTATTATTATTATACTATATATTATTAATCGAGTATTTAATTTATAAATTACATTAATTTTACGATTAGATATATAATATTTTTGTGCCCTTTTGGCGATTGATATATATACACACATATACACATAATATATTATATAATTATACATTATATTAATATTGCTATAAATATATATTATAAAAATGTACTGTATACATAATTATAATGAAAAGTTACTTGTATAATTTTATCAATTGTTAACACAAAGCAATGCCCTTTTGGCTCTCACTTATATTATTATAAAATATTAATTGAAACAAAAGTCAAGATTATGTATATTATATATTCTCTACGTTATTGTATTTAAATATATTAATATAATATTATTTTTATGTAATAGTAAATTACTTTTTTCTGAATTTTTTGAAAGATACATATTTTAAAGTATCTTAAAATTGATATTTTTTGTGTATTTTAAACCATACTTAGGAGAAAAATATTTGCAATCTATTTTTGCTTAATATTTCATAATATATGGAAAAATAGTCATCTCTATATATATACGGTACAACTTCATTGAATACAATCACTTTTCTCTATTATATATTATTTATACTTTTATTTTTGCTTTATTTTTGATTTACTTTATTATTAATTATACAATTTATGCCTTATTATTACAATTATTATTACAATTTGTTGTATTATTTTATTATAATTATAATTATAATTATTATTACTATTATTGTAATTATTATTATTACTATTATTGTAATTATTATTAAAATTATTACCATAAATAAAGTTACACTTTAATAACTATTTTTGTATGTTTACTTAATTTAATAAAGTAGTTTAAATCATAAGTAACTACTGTATAATGGTATTGATATCACAAAACAAAGTAATTATTTATTAATTATATGGCTTTGGTTTAAAATAAATTATTTCTATTTTATTATATTTTAATTAATATTTTGTATTATAACATTCATATTGTATTTGATTAAAAAGTTATTGTTAGCATAAACTTAATAAACACTTTATCAAACAAGTTTCCATTTACTCGTCTTAACTTTAATTATAATTTAATAATATTTTATTTGGAATATAATTTTTTCAAATAAATTATAATTTATTATTCAATTATATGATTATATATAATAAACTTTTGGCATTATTTTGCATTTAAGAAATTTCAGACAAAATTGTATTTTACATTATATTCAGGATTTTGAACTTAAACTTGAAATTATAATTTTGACCCAAATATAGTTTCACATAATATTGTGGAATAATAAATGAATTATTTCTATGAAATAAACTAAATATATTATAATCTGTATTAATCTCTATTGACTTTTACCTGAATTTACTATAAACTAACAAAAAAATTACATTTTGATTGACAAATAATTTTTAACTAATTATTATTAAAGTTTTTCCAATTTTAATCTATTTGTATTGCCATTAAATAATTTTGTTTTTAAATATTGGATGGATTTTACAATGTATTTCACTAATTATGTTTCAGTCAATCAAAATATAGTTTTGACAAATAATGTTATTTAACAATCAATTTATACACATGAAAAAACTTAAAATATATTAATAAAAACTTACAAAAACTATACAAATGTTGTTATTATTATTATTATTATTTTAACATTTTATATTATATGATTATTTATATTAAGACAAATAAATTAAAAACAATTTATAATAAAAAAATAATATTTTAGGTATATTTGAGTTAAAAATAACAATAAAATTATGTAAAACTCAATTTCACTAAACTTTTTATGGGCTATCTGTGAGAGTATGGCAATGGATTGCATGAACGAGATTTATAAACAGGTCTCTCCACTCAATGCCCTCATCAGCACTGGTATTATAGCACCAGTTTTTTTACTGTTAATACCTATAATACTGACATCACATTTCATCCATTTATCCAAATAATTTGTATTTCCAGATCAAGTATGATAAAGATGATATCACAATTTATAAATAATTGTTAATTTAGTAATATTATTTTTATTATTTGACTGATTATGATAACTTAATGAAAATATATGTCAATTTTTTTTGGATTATAAAATGAATATTTTTGTTAGTTTAATGTTTTTGGTAAATATTACATTAAATCATATAATTATTTTTCATATCAGCATTTTTTCTGGTCAACTCAACAATTAATATTTTAAAAAATAATATATAAATTTTATCATTATTTTAGCTAAAAATTGACTATCAACATTTTTAAATAAGTGATTTATAACAAAATTATTTATTTAATAATTATGTGGTTAACTTTTAATTTTAATGTATATATTAAAAAGCTCATAGAAAATAATGTGATAATAATAATAATATCAATGTTATTGTGTATTAAAAGTCAAAAAGATTTTTTTGGAGGATTTTATTCATTTTATCCTAACTATCAACACGACATACCAGCCCCACATCACTATATGGGTCCCATTCCGTTTGGTCTACCAATGGGTGGTTTCTCAATGAATGGTAGGGGACCGGCATATGGATTGCAGGCTTATGTAGTTCGTGGAGTGATTCCGGTGCCAGTCGTCCAAAGCGTATCCATTGAACCGCAAACTAAATTTCCGTCGCCTTTGGATTACATCAAAGAGTTTGCTTCGTTTCTCAAGATATTTAAATTTCTTGATAGACATTAAACTAATTATTAATATTAATGTTATGTATAGAAACATATACTCCATATCTATCGTAAATATATATTCATTTAGATGTGAATAAATGTATATAATTATTAAGTTAATAATTGTTATTTAGTTAATACAGTAATTATAATATTTACTTAAAAATAAATGCCATTTAATAATTAGATGAGATTTAGTGAATTAGTGAGTTTAAATATAATAAATACTATTGTTTGTTTGTTTTATGATTTTATATTAATAATATGAAATTTAATTATTTTTTATTATATGATTTTTCTATAACTCTTGTAAATATATACAAAAAAAATATTATATTTAATAAAAAACTTACAAATTAGAAACATAAAGCAATCAATATAATTTATAAAAATTATGATTTACATAAACTATACCCAAAATAAAACCTATTTTGGTAAAATTAAAAAATAAGTAATAATTTTAAAAGTTGGTAATTATAAATTTTATATAACTCCCAAAATAATTGTTTTTTATGATTAAATAGATATAAAAATTTGTTTGTTAATAATACTTTATAAAGTATCTTTATCGGTAATAAATATATCCTAATATGCATTAATTACTATTTAAAATATTATTATGTTTACATATCTGCTAGCTTTTATATAAAATTTTTAATTGAAAAATAAGTTTTAATTTATCATATAATTTATAATGAATGTTCATAATAAAATCAAAATGAAATTGCTAATTTTAACCCATAAAATTGCTAACTAACTAAGTGATAGTTTTGTATAGTAAGTTACTATTATTTATAAGCAACTCGTTATGTAAGTTGAGATAATTTTTATTTATTTGACCTCTTTTTACTATAATAACAATTATATTATATGTTACTTTTAATTTTTTTATTATTATAATTTTATTTGATTTTAAAACAACAGTATTTATTGACTTATTAGACTAATAATAATAAAAATATCAAAATTATAGAATATAATTTAATTTCATTATATCAATATAATTAATTTAAAATTTTTATGATAAACTATTATAATATTGATGCCAATAGATGTCATCCCCAGTGTTCCCAATACTAACCCTTTTCATACTGGTTTGACGACTAACCTACTCTACCCTATATAA